CGGGCGCCCGTTTCACCTTGTGAAACCATTCACCCCTGCCCACGTCCCTAAAGTATCCCTTTCCCTTCCTTAACGTCTCCCGGGGCACCCGGGCCCGGGGAGTAAGTCCTAAAAAATTTAAAGTACGCCAGTAGCTTCCAGCGTCCGCGCTGACAGCGACAACAGGACTGCTTGATTTCTCGTCGTCCTCACCGGTCCGGATCATCAAGCCATAATCTATGATTTTCACAGTTCCACCTTCATGATCACCAGCACGGGCTTCGGGTGCCTGTTCAAATTGTTGAGTTTTGAAGAAAGGAATGGTCATGAAGACATAGACATCCAGTAACAACGTCATGTCATGGTCCCTCTTATAAAGCTATATAAGTCTTTGTGTGAGGCCAGTCAGTTAAGTAGTAACAATCTTCTTCGAAGAATTATCAACGCATCAAGTTCTTGTCAATGATGTCATGGACTCCATGATCAGACCAGGTCTAAACCGGAGCCCGTCAGACGGAGATGATGAACAACACGAAGTGAAATAATTCCATTAAGAACAAGCTAGACTTAGTACCTTAACCCACATCAGGTTCGCCATTCGGAAATCCCTATGGGCAATCCATCCGTAGTCTCGACGAAAAGACGCTAGATGCTTCAGACCGATTGCACACTGATTTGCAGCTGAGCGAATCTGGTCAAAAGTGAAACCACTTCGCAGCTTCTTTGAGCGAAATCGCCAACCGTGGATAAACTCCATCACGATGTAGTCGATCGCATCTTCGTCGTACATTCTCATTCTTGCGACTTCTTAGAGGTAGGTTTTTGGTGCTCGCGGGTTCCCCCGCTTGTTATGCCTTTCTCCCTTAGGAGAGGCATAAAAAGCGGTAAGAAAAGCACCTTTAACCTACCCTTAAACTTCTGCTCGTTCTACTGTCTTCGGCCAATGATGCAGCTGCGATTCTAGCTTTCTGTCGTCCATCAATGTGTTGTCCTTGTGAACCGTATGGTCCTCGAGCACCCGAACGAAGTTTGGGTGATCCCCTTTCCCGTGGATTTTCTGTGACCACGAATATTCGCGGTGGAGCATGAAGACCGGCGCCGTGTTTTTCACGAATTTCGCGATCTTGATGGCTCGAACAGGTCGCGCCGGGTCCTTCATGTCGCGAGCCTGATGATACAAGTCAGTAAGAATCCTAGTCGAAAACAACAAAACCCATAGTACTTCTTAGAATCTGACTGATTCTTAGGCCTAGCCCTCTTCTTCTATGCAACGTTGAATAAAAAACCTTCATCACGTATCTATAGCTTCCCTCCCCGACAACAGCAAATCCTGAGGATACAAGTCAGGAACCCTAGTCGACAACAGCAAATAGAACAGCCATAGTCCTATTTATAATTGAGACGGACCTGCTAGCCCTCTTCTATGCAACGTTGAATGAAACCAGTAATGTTATAATAGAATCCACCCAACTGCAACTCCTACTTTTAACATCGCAGTGTAGTCTCACCTCTTCATCATGTACACATAGCTCTTACCTTCATCACGTATCCATAGCTTCCCTCCCCGACCCGCTCCATGTAGTCCCACCTCGCGTCTGGTCCGTTCTCGCCATTGCGGTTCCATTTGTGAGGGTAGCCACGCTCACCACCCATTTTCGCGTAGCAAAGGTTCACCCAGGACTCCCACGTGACGACTTTGACTTGTCCTCTAAGGTTCTTCACAAGTAGACAGCGTCGTCATCGCTAATTACCAATGTCTTGTCTAAGGTTCACAGGTAGACAGCGTCAAATCTATGTTGAGAGAGTTGACCTAGTAGCTATCGCGCGTCGACTTCTTTGCCATCCTCGATTGAAGCTACGGCGACGTAACCGTCGTGACGACTTCGACTCGGAGCACTAATGACTCGCTGAGACTGGAGCACGCGGTGGAGGTTACATTCTCTCGTGTTATTCGTTAGGTGGTAGGAGTAGTAGTAGTAGTAGTAATGTACCCATTCGTGGTACAATGAGGTACAGCGTTTTCATGACAAAAATGTACTCATCAATACTCCAAAATACTCTGCTCAACCTAGTACTCAGTGACAATGTACTTCTCACGTACTAGAGTTTAATGCCAATGTACTTCTCAGTGAAAGACCTGACAGATGCCATTGCATAACTCGAAGACGACGTGATCTTGATCTTGATCTTCCTTCTATTTAGAGTTAGGTTACATTTTTTCAGTTCTTCGTCTTTTTCAGTTACTGTCTTTTTTTCAGCCGGTCCACTGATTCAATTTTTTTCAACCACAGACGCTACCTTCTATGAATGGACGAAAACCAAGAAGCGAGACAATACAAAAGTCAAAAAAGATGGAGACTTTCCATGCCTTTTGTCTAAGGTGAACGCGCGCAAAACACTACAGCCTCCTTTGAATGGGTGGCGTATGCTCTCTGGAGTGGCGTCCTTGGTGTCCCTTGAATGGGTGGCATATGCAGATCTGTCACTTGCATTTGTTGCCTCTACTCAAATTCAGTGCCGCTATCCTTCTTGCAATACCTTTCAATTTCCATACAGAAGTAAAACTAGCAGCCGTAGCATGATGAACTTGTACTACAACTAGATAGCGTTAGCGAATGAAAATGACTACTGACTTATTGATTCAGAATATGAATCTGAAAACTTTTTGTGCAATATGGTTATGACACGCTCTCTGCAATCTACCTCTAAAACAACATGATCTTTACATGCTTCTACGTGACGAAAAGCGAAAGCGAAACGAAGTTACTTCTTACTTAGGAGCAGCTCCAAAATTAAGGGCAGATGAGTAGATACGTCACTGCAGCAGCAAAATGACTATTTTTTTCTTACGTGAAGTAGAACTAGAACTAATAAGTCCTGACTTGTACTGTTCTGGTATTCGGTAGCCTGATTTTGATCATGGGGGAAAACAAGAAGAGAATCCTCGTGATCGAATTCAGGTTACCATATTTACTGGAACCATTTGTGACTAGATGAGGTGGGTTCTTATGGAAATGTATGTACATTTCAATTTCTACGCGTCCATGTCTAGCATTTGACTTGCATCTATGACTATGCTGTGTGGTACATGAATCCTGCCGCCAGATGGCGGCACATGTATGACATCTCTATCATCTCCATCTCTATCTTCTTCAGGCACTGGTGATGGAATAACTTCGCCGCCTTGTTCATGATGCTCAACGACTTGGCTCATACTGACAGCACTTGCGTTTTCGTGATTTGAGACCTCTTCATCTGCGATCTCTTGTTCTTCGACGCTGCCCTTGCGAGGACGTAGCTCTTGTTGCGCAGTTGTACCAGAAATAGTCTTCTTGCTTGGAGTCATAATTGGAACAAGGTTCATCATGTTCATAGTGCTTGCTTGTCTTTGTGCTTGTCTATAATTTCCATCACTAGTAGGGGGTTCTCCCATCGGGTTCAAATCCGACGATCCTCTATTGTCAGATATGATCCCTCTTCTATTCTCACCTCCTACACCAGCACCTTCTTCGCCGTCGTCTTCTTCTCCCTTCCCTGCCTGAGCCAGAGCACAGCGCTCCAGTTCTTCCTCGAAATTTAGAGGTAGGCTTTTGGTGCTCGCTTACCCCGCTTGTTATGCCTGTCCCCACCTAAGGGAGAGAGGCATAAAAAGCGGTAAGAAAAGCACCTTTAACCTACCCTTAACAAATTTTTGATCAGCTTCTTCTGACCCGCTTCCGACCACAGTGCGTCCATGACGTGCACATAGCCGAGATGGCTCTCTTTCGCCTTGGTCCAACAAGAAGCATTGAAGTCCTCTACCTGCGGAAGAGAGGCTACGTCTACTGCGATTCCACGATCCTTAGAAACTGTGCTGATGAAGAAGTCAACATCAACAAAGTGTGTGTGTGATCATGTTGAACGTCATGAGGATGAGTGCCATCATGAGTGCCACCCCCACCTACTTGTCTCGCGTTCATTTATACTAGAGCAACCTCACGTTTCTTTCACGTGAGAGAGATCCATCATAACCTGACTCCGCGTCTGAAAGAAGTAATTGATCCATCCATGGAAGCCACCTGCTAAAATGTGCAGCTTGATCAGGTAGGGAGCATGTCGATTCTCCAGACGCTCTCTTCGGGTTAGAGGATGAGGATGCATGTTAAATAGAAGGAGAGAGAGTTGTCCAGTCGTAGTCCCTGATCTTCGATAAAGATAAAAGATGGCTTGATGAATGTAGTACAGTTTCGATACTAGTAGGTAGCGGCTCTCAAGCCCATAATCTAGTAGTTATAAGTTGTAGTTGTTCCCCTTGATGTACGAGAATTGACTATAATCTCTGATATTCCGCTAACGCCGAGCAACACCGCCGCGCACGCAGAACCGAGTACATGCATGTGAAAACGACGGATCGAACTTTTCGTGAGCGCACCTCAGCCATCAAAAATCCCGTGTTCGCTATCACTTCATTTGTCTTCACGTGTATACTATCGGGTATATGCCCTCCCTCGTGATCGCGACCTCGCACATCTTTAGAGGAGCTCGCCCCTATTCATCCCTGTGGGAATCCCTCAAGCATATGCGTCAGTATCTCCCTTCAAGGAAGGGGGCGCATATGTGTGAGGGACGGATGTCTACAGGGATGAATTAGGGGAAGCCTTAGCATCTATTACCAGGATATCTGGGTCTCTTCCTACTAGTCTTCTCCACAATTCAGCAGGTGTGATGGTGTCTATCAATGGAAATTTGAGGTCTTGATCCCCGGTTGATTGTCTATCCGTCATTGGCACTAACCCAGCTGTGAGAGAGTTTTGAGCCTGTATCGAATTGCCGCTGGAGGTGGGTGCCATCCTCTGACTCGTTGGGTCTCGTCCTGATGGTTGTTGTACTGCAGTACTAGAGGAAGCTCCTCCTGCTCCACCTGGTGCTCCGGGTGTAGATAATATTGATGTAGCTGGAAGTAGCATGTTGTTTCCGATGTTTCCATCCATAGCATTCCCTAAACCAGGCACAGGCATATCACCTCGACCAAGAGACATCAGGACTGTGAGGTCTCTTAAATTGGTTCCCCCAGCAGCGTTCATGCCTCCAGCACCCTGTTTGAGAGCACTAGCTGCAATGGCCGCAGCCAAAGGTCCCGGACTCAGGTCGTTGAAAGCATCGTAGCCACCGGTGCCTGAACTACCGGGACCCTCTCCCGAATAGCCATATGACAGGAAAAAACGTACTCATAGTACTCAAGAAAAAAGGCATTTTCCTAACTAATAGGTAGTTTCTTGAGGATACTAAGTACACTTTTTTCCTCCCTAAGGGAGACTCCATCGGGACAGCTGCTGGGTGCATCAGGGGCCCACCTGGGCCCATCTTCAGAACGGAGATGTGTAATTCGTTCTCGGGTGAGGCTTTGTCGAAGAGGACCGAAGAACGGGCGTTGTGCTGCGAAAGCGAATGTGATTGTGGTGAGAAATAAAGCCCTTAGCTCGCAAAGGATGTAAGACGACGAGGAGAGAACAAATGTAGGACGCGCAAATGCAGAAAGGGCAAGTCGATTGACTTTGTATGTGTGTATCCCTGATGATGCCGTTCCTGACACCCGTAGAGATAATTTCTGAAAGTGTACTACGTGACTGACGTCAAGACGCTACTAGCAGAACATGTCAAACCATGCCGATATGATCAACATCACAAGTGTGGAACTTCGCATTTAAGAATCAATAAGTACCCAATCACTGCCCCTTCTCGACACATGTTGAGATTGCAACACACTTGCTCCTGTACTTGGCAATGCAGTCCCTAAAGCCGTGGTCGCTTGGGTCGTCCTTGGAGACATGCAAGTGTGGATTCCGTCACGACAGTTGCAACGAGCCGTGAACATCACCGTCTCGAGCCCTCCAGCTCCTTCCTGTGATTGGCGACGACCCCACAAGTTTGCGCCGCCCTCGAGTATATGGAAGAGGCTGCTTTTTCCATCTAGGCAGACCATCTTCCCCGCACTTCTGTTTGTTTCCTCTTGAAAAAAAAACCTCTTGAAATGAGAAGTGCCAGCAGGATGGTCGTGCTCGTGAGGATGGAAAAAACATCCTCCATAGAATAGAGGCAGAACAATGATATCTTCTTCTGGATTCGCCTGTGCGAAGGTTTGGCTACTGGTTCCAGGAACAGGTTCGCAGAAGAACTCATCGTCATGGTGGGTTCTTGTACCTTTCAGCTTGTCTTTTGTCAGCTCGTCATCCAAGGGTACTCGCGTTGTAGAGCCACCTCCTATTTTTCCAGACGAGGATGCTCCTCCCGCCGTGGTACCCTCAGCCCCTGCGGCTTTTGGCGCATCCTCTAGGTAGTTTCTAGCGAAGGCTGCTCGGTCCAGGATGATCGAGTTAGAACGCATCTGACGCACAAGACCTTGACTTTGCTGTCCCGGTGCACCGAAGCGGCTACGCTGATAGTCGTCTAGAATAGAAACGCGTCTGCTTCGCGATGAACTGGCGCCACCGCCAGCTGCCATAGCACCTGCGGAGATTAGAGGAGACACTCTTTCAGGGTACCTACACTTGAGTTACTTATTTCTTTGATGAAAGAAAAAATTCGAAAAACTGAAATAAGCGAGTAACAGACGAGAATAACCTAGATACTGTTGAACAAGGAAGGGTAGCCTTAAATCAAGCTACCTCCCTTATTTCAGTCAGTAACTCGGTTATTTTGAGTTTTCGAATAGAGGAAAAGTAACCGAAACCGATTTCAAAAATTTCTTAACAATGGTCCCGGCTATTTGATGAAAAAAATGGAGAAAAAGTAACCGAAACCGATTTCAAAAATTTCTTAACAATGGTCCCGCCGAAACCCCAGCACTGTCTCCCGTTGGGTCGTCTTCGGCTATGGCTATCGGGCTCTTTTTAGACCTTCTGATGCAGAAATCCATCTTAGTCGTGAGCATCTTCGTGCCCGTTTTTTACTTCAAGACGGGAACAAGATGCTTCTGAAGATGGATTTCCGGAAGTCTACTTAATCTTTCCCCCCGATCCACAAGGTATTGTGCTCGCTCGACGACTCGGCAGCGGTACACGCCAGAATCCTAGACCACCGCCTTTCGCAGTCGGCAACACGCCAAGAAAGTCCATGCCTGAGTCTTGTCTTTGAGGGGTGCGGTTGAAGCGAGGAGCCATACTACCTGCTTGGGAAGGTGCTGTTCCAGGCGGTGGGAGGACGGCGCCTCCTCCTGGAGGTGGCTTCGCTCCGACTCCTGTCTGTTCCTTTAAAGGAACTACGGACGAACTCCAAGATGCGGGCATCAACGACGAGAAGATCCCACCAAGAGATGCGCGCCGTGAGGACGACACTGCTGGGCCAGAAGGTGCGGAAGAGCCAGTTGATGCGAGACCAGTCGAGGGAGAAACGTTGAGTGATACTAAGTCACTCGCTCCAGCTTGCTTCTGAGCAAGTGCGGGCGGTTTCCAACCCTCACGCCTCAACGCCTCTGCAAGCCAGTCGGGCATTGCCTTTGCCCCCACTCTTAGATGAGCTCAAAGCATTTCATTTCTCCATAATTCCAAAAAGGAATCTGCGAGATGAAATGACACTTATACATATGGAAAGAAAATCTGTTATCATTATCATGCTTTTCTTCTTCAGAAACTTGATAATGATAACAGATTTTCCTTTCATAATACAGAAATGAAATGTATTGAGCCTTAACACTGCTTGTTGAGCTGAAGCAGGGGTTATGGTTGTCGGACCCTGGTCTTTTGCTGGATTCGCGCGTTGTCCACCTGTTAGACTTGTTCCACTTCCTGGAAAGCCTGACTGCCCTACCACTGCTCCAATATTAGAAGTTGATTTAGAGCTCACCCTTATCCATCTTGAGACGCATCCTGAGACCGTTCCCCCCTTGAGGACGTCTCTGCGATGCTTCCGAAGATGGATAAGGGGAAGCCTTAATTGATGTCCCACCCACACCCACTGCTCCACCACTGTGACATCCACCTCCTCCAACCTTCAACATTCTATTTTGATTGTTGTCAACTGTAGGAAAATTTTCAGGATGTTCTAAAGTATCGGACCCCTCCATTGAGTTTCTTCTGGCTGCGTCAGCAGGAGCGCTCATCAGAGCGGCTAGAGGATCCATGGTGAAGAATGGAATGTCATCCTCGGTTGAACCAGTGCCGGTGTAGGTGGAGAAAATCTGTGTAAACGGATTCTCCTTGCGCCTGTTCTCCTTTTTGATCTGCTGGAGGCGCTTACCTGGTTTCAAATGAGAACGAGAAGTCAATTATGAATGTTAAAGTGAAAAGTTAAAGTTAATGCATCATGGTTGTCAACTAGATTCTATTTTACTGTAGGGTGCACGACATCTTCCAGCACATGCCACATCAAGTACGTAGTGTGACACCAGTAACAACCTCATCAATATATTGGTCGTGGAGCACACCTAACTAGGAAGCAAAAATACAAAAGAATCAAGTAATCCAATTATTTAACGTCAAGAAAGTCTCTCAGTACTCTTAGTCGCCTGCGACGCAGCCCTATCTCCAGACAGAGACGCGCGTCTTCCAGGAACCGAGGATCTTCGTGTGGGAACCGTCAATGAGCTGCGACGTCGCTGTGCCGTAATCGGGTCCTTTGCTTCTGCGACCACTGTGTCTTTGTTGCTCCCTATCGTTCCGGTCTCTTTGATATTTGGGGCCATTGCATTGAAGATTCCCGCAGTGCTGGCATCTAAGGGCTCGTCCTCGTGAACCGTGGTGACAAAAACTGACAAAGAATTCTGTCTCGACCTGGCTAACAATGTAGAACTTCGAACGGCTTGATGTCCGCCAACGTCATCCGCCCACGCTGGCGCTGTGTTCCGACGTTGCATGAAGGCGCTCTTGTGCATTAGAGTGTTTGTTTGGCGGCCCTCAAAGTGACCCTGCGTTTGGCTGTTTCTGTTTGTTCATCTAAACCTTAAGCTGTTCGGCTATACATGTAGAAAACACGACAACAGGTACAGAAGCGGCCACTTACATGTTAGAGGCCGCTCATTAACTTACATGTTAGAAGGAACAACTTTCTTAACGTTGCAGTCCCCGGCAAGCCTTCGCCAATAGGCAGCTCCGCAACGGCGTCATCCGCTTCGTCTTCGTCCGTGTCTGAACCCGGTGAGCATGGCCACGCTGATGGCGGTGGAGGAGCTGCATCTTCTTCTAGTACTACAGCATCTTGTTCTGCAGGTCGTGGTGGAGCTGATAAAGTATCTTGTCGTGTAGTAAGTGCATCTGGCCGGTGGGCATTTTCTGGTAGACCAGTGGAGACGAGATGTGCTTTCCCGCCGTCGTCTGGTGTCGTTTCTGCTCCGGTTGTCGACGCAACTGTGCTCTTGGTAGCAACGACTTGGAGAACTTCTGTGTCGTCGATTGTTGTTGCAACTGTACTTGCAAACTGGAAGTTCTTATGATCAGCAGATGTTGTAGCGAATCCTGTAGCTGCATGTGCGTCTGACATAGTCTTTTGCACCAAACCTTTCTCCAAACCTTTTGTAGAACTTCCCTGAAATCCACCAGAACTTCCAAATCCACCTGCTTTGGTCATTTTGCTACTTCCTGCTGCCCATTTCTGTGCTTCTGCTAACAGAGTTGCGTCTTTCAATGAAAGTGACATATGTGATGTCTCCGAAGGCCCAATTGTCGCCAGACTGCTGCGCAAACCATCTGCGCCGCCCCACACCGACCCTGCCTCAGCGACCCCAGCGGACGAGGAGGCTTTGATGTCCGCGAAGCTCCTAGAATGATGCGTCGAGTTGTAGAGATCATCTTCCTCTATAGCGCCGTCAATAAACTTCTGCCTGCTAGTACCGCCACTACCCGTCCCTCCGTTGAATCCTAAAATTAGCTTCAATTTCTCGGTTACTGAAGTTCGTTCCTTGCGAATGGTTGGACCTGAGATCACAGCCATCTTGCTTGGACTTCCAACGACTCCGGTTGGCCGTGGACCTTGCTGTGGAGAGGGTTCAAGCGCAAGCTTGCGCATGCTCTGTTCCACTCCGAATCGGATCGCGCCGTCGACCTAAAGGCAGAAATGCGCATATTATAAGTTCAACCAACACGACTGCCACCTACTTGTAAACCTCCACGTCCACGAGGACGACGACCATTGCCATTATCATTCAGAAGTACCTCATACTGAACCTCGTATCGCAAGATGTAGTCCGCATAGACGACGTAGAAGATCCGTAGGACCAAAAACACCATGGTCACAATCTGCACCGCACCCATAGTGAAGCTGTCCTCCCCTTCACTGGAAGGGTTACACGACCCACCTCTCTGGTCCAGCTGCAGCGCCTCATGTGGCCAAACGAGGACTATCAGAAAGAACAGTATGATGATTAAAGGTCGACACTCATTGGTCACCGATTTTGAAAGAAAAGGGCCCCATGCCTCTCTTCATTTTTTTGAATTTGGTTTTCCCGTGGTCTCTACTCAGGGGTCTGAAGGAACAAAGACCCCTGCGAGTCCCTCTGGCAGTTGAATCTGAAGGCTGCTAGTCTAGTACTATAATATAGCCAATGGCTGTATATAGAATAAGATCTCGATCATTCTAGATCCAGGATCTCAAGAACTATAGAATTCATTTTTTTGAATTTGGTTTTCCCGTGGTCTTTACTCAGGGGGTCTCCTCCTCGGTGTCAGTGGCCAACCTCAACGACCAATGAAAGTTGCGCCTTAAGATGACGAGCTCCCCGAGTCCACGCAATACCTGTTGCCGCATCATCTCGACGACGTAGTCGCCGGCTTGCAGCCTCAGCCAGCGACGCTCGTGAGCGCGGAGCTTTTTGAAGGCATTCGCACGCTTCGCTTGAGAACGCGCTGGACTCCAGTCGATGTGGATTAGTGCTACTTACCAAAAGTCCTACGCGTTCTCAAGCGACTAGTTACGTGGCGACTCCAGTCTTTTTTGGACTACTTACCAAAAAGACCAACTAGAAGAAGAGGAAGGAGTTTATTTTGTATTAAACTTCCTCAGTACGTAGAAGATACCTCGTCTTTCACTACGTTTCTGTGTATCTTTTCAATCAAGAATGGGATATTGAATAGCCCTACCTTTTTTCTATCCAACTCTCGACTTCGCTTGAGAACGCGCTGGACTCCAGTCGATGTGGATTAGTACTACTTACCAAAAGTCCTACGCGTTCTCAAGCGAAGCGTGCGAATAGTTACGTGGCGACTCCAGTCTTTTTTGGACTACTTACCAAAAAGACCAACAAGAAGAAGAGGAAGGAGTTTATTTTGTATTAAACTTCCTCAGTACGTAGAAGATACCTCGTCTTTCACTACGTTTCTGTGTATCTTTTCAATCAAGAATGGGATATTGAATAGCCCTACTTCGCTTGAGAACGCGCTGGACTCCAGTCGAAAAAGAAAAAAAACTCCAGTGCTACTTACCAAAAAGTACGTTTCTGTGTATCTTTTCAATCAAGAAGAAGTCCCAAACAATACTAGCAATAGTACTATTACATTATTACTATCATTATTCGCGCGCGTGACCCTCTCGTCTCGCACGTGTCGCGCTCGCGGCGCCTTTACCATCTGTCTCTACGGACGGCGATGTGAGGGCGCAAAGGACCTTCCTAAATAATATTGAATAAGTAGCCCTACCTTTTTTCTATCCAACTCTCGAATGGCTTCTTCGCGGGCTTCGGCTATGTCTTCCGGACTCCACTTCACCTCCACATTTACGGCCCATTCGGCCGCACTGAACGAATGAGATTCGCCTCCCATCTATCGCGAATGGATGATGATCAATCATGGATCGAATCGTGGATGAAGAGTAATGTGAGGTCGTCGACAAATTATAGTAGAATGGTGGATCTCAAAATGTGTGATTGACATCGCTGCAGAGGCACGGCACAAGTTGCACAGTGTCGGTGATCCACACTACTTGTGCTCCTTCATCTGTGAAAGTAAATAATACTCTTTTTCTCTTGTAGTTGTAGACAAAAGTTATAATATGGGTGATGGGGTTAGGGTTTTACCTACCTGACACTCCCTCGCAGATCACAAAAAGTCAACAGATTCTGCTCAACGTCAAGACCAAAAAACCAAAATGAAAGAGCCAGATGAGGAAAAAACAAGACTGACAGATAAATGGCACGTGAAAATTTGACTTGTATGAACTTGGAATTGTGATTGTATCGTCCACAGAATCACCGGGCTAGGACATTGCACCGATCCACCGAGCAGCTTACTAGTATTAAGTGGACCAGACACGGTAAATAATCAGATCGATCGCATCATCATTCAGAATATTCATTTGGCCGCACAGGTTCACGTAACGACAGCAAAGCGTATCGCAAACACAAGAGAAACAACCCATTGCCATCGGAGAACGGGAGTCGGTCCCCTAACAGGAATATTTTACCACTTCCTAGTCGCCGCACCCTTCTCGTCTTGGCGACGCTGTAGATTGAGCCTTATTGATCCTATACATATCTATTTTCTAGAATTACATCATGACGCAGAAAGTTTCCAATGTTTTTAGCAGACTTCAAAATTCGGTGAAACTTTTGTATCACAGAAGCTTGTGGCTGGTCTCCAGATAAGTCTAGGTAAAACAGTTGCTGTTCCCGCATCGCTCCAGCGGCCTTGTCCCGAACAAGCATGTTTAAGCTAGGTGTGTCTGGAGGATAAAGCCTCCAGGAAGTACGACCCGCTGTGCCAGTCAGCGGATCTGCGAGGCAGTGATGGCGCATTACAAACCATTTTGGGAACATGAAAAGCCCGCGAAGATATTGCTTCTGCGCGTCGCAGACGAGAAAAACGAAGATATCGATGCTGTCAGAGGCCGAGGACGGTTTGCTTAGGAGGCGCCCTGTTGCGGCACTAGTTGTATGGCTCGCTGTTACACGCACACGCTGATCAAAACGTGCCCGAATTCTCCCATTTGCAAATAGCGTCACAACGCGCTGCATACACGTGCAATCACCAAGAGAAAAGTTATGTGCAGCGCCATACGAAGCACCGCTATCGAATCGGCTGAGGCCCGCAGGGTGGTACAGCGATTCCGTAGCCTGTAGGGCCATCTTTCGAAAGAAACCGTGTCGGCCATCAAAAAGCGACGTCTTCGTGCACCAGTCCACAAGCCGCTTACGCGGCAACGACTGCCAAAGGCGCTCAACATTTGCCGCGATTTCATCCTTCCCGTGACAAGGCAAGTAATCAAGTTTGACCCTGCGCTTCGGAGTTTCAATACGCAGCTCGCTGGAAGATTGTGCGAATTTTATGGTTTCCTCTGGCGAGCAGACGAAAACAACACCGACGTCCGGATGAGATGTGATCCCACGAAAATGGTATTTCGCGATGGAATTCTCGAAACCGTAGCCACCATCGCGTCCTTCAGTGGTTTTCACTTGTAAAATAGCCCACCGGCTGTCACTTGCTTGTTTCTTCGGACAGCTGGTATTAGAATTAGTCAAGCCGTGCTCATAATTCTCGCACCGCTTGCGGAAAAGAAGGTTTGCGGCAGCGCGATTGGGCACACGAAGGAATTCGTACGATCCGGAAGTACTCTCCCTGGCGATATTTTGAAACCATTCGATGGCTCGTTCAAAATTGCAGCCACGACGATTCCGTGCCTCGAAGTACTGTCTGGTCTCATTTCTAGCAGCGTTCGCAGCTACTTCCGTTTTTGCTGGCGGGGACCGGTGCAGCAGTGCATTCCAAGACGAAGACGTCCATTTCCCACATCGACGGTAGATTCGCTCCGGGCGCGTTGGAATAAAAGGGGGGCGCGACCTGGTCCGGCGCCAGGCGAAGAAGTCCTCAACACGAGTGAACTTGAGAGGCTTCACAAAATCGACGAACTCTTCGTAGCTGCAAAACTTGGCTCCGCTTCGTCGCGTCGTGCCCCGCGTCACGGCACGTCGTAGATTTACGCTCATTATAGTCGTGGACGGAGAGCGCGTTTATCGTTGACGTCACAGTTCATTTTATTCACTCACGTTTTACTAGCAAAACCGGTTTAGAAACGACTACAAATAGAGGACTCTTTTTTAACGTTACGGTCGTTACCCACGATTTCGAAAATTATTCAAGAACAGAAGCTCACCTTTTCATCTGTACCGAGTAAAGATGAAGAACGCGTTTAACGTCTCAATTTCGGATTTTTTTTTTAGCCGTGACAATTGCCAGTATTTTCCACTTGTTCCTATGTCCTCAGATTTCTCCTATTTTCACTCTCGCATATAATCTAGAAGTTTCTTTGCGCTACTCTAGCATTGTTCCCCTAAAAGAATGTCCGTATATTTTCTCTCCGCCTCACTTTGCTCTCATTTGTCCTTGATTCCTTGGACAAAAAAGCCTCACCGGAAATTGCAGTTGCAGACACTCGTCGTGACACCATGGATCACGGAGTGGTGGTAATCAACAAGCCGTCAGAGCGGGATTAGGGGGCTTTGTCCTCCGTACTTTTAAGTTACTACTACCGAGAGCGCAGAATACTGGTAACGCAAGTGTCTGTAGCATGTTCATCTCCTTTATTGTATCAGATCTTTGTCAAGAATCATCTGTTTTTTTTCATCAGTGCTTTTATGAAGATCTTTGACTTTGTCTTTGGTCGACGCTCAAAATAAAAGCTGCGCAAGATGATCTAATATTACTTAGAATTCTAGAATTGTAATCCTGAAGCAGGAGATGTTAAAAATAATACCAAATCCAAAGCTACATCAAGTTGTCTATTATTCATTAGGATTTCGATGTTCGTAATTGAATCAACAGCACTCACACGAAAACTATTAGATTTAGATCGCAAGCTATTCAAATCTGTACAAGGAATACGAATGCAAGTACTAGAAAACAATCCATAAAAACTGCATCTCTCTGCATGCTGCATATGTCCCTGTTGCCAACTTTCCTGATGACCGTACTAGAGAGTAGAGACTCGCTGTTGATTTAAAGAAAAAGGTACTTCTCAATCAATATCGCTAAAAAATGCGCCATCACCTTAGGAAAGCTTTCCCATACGATGGATAAAACTCGAAAGTCTATGCTGCTTCGATCACCGTCTGGTCCTCCATAAGCGGACTCAACATTTCCCGCATTTCTCGTCAGCTTCAATTAAAGCTCAGCATTCACTGGTCACTGAAGCTGAACGAGAGAGGCCCCCTTCAAAGCTCTCCCCTTTCCCTTCGTTTTCCCCCAATCTTTCCTCAAGGGGTCGCCTCCTCGATCTCAGTGACCAACCCCAATCTAAATGATGACCATTGAAAGCTGAGCCTTAATTCAAGCTGCTATGATAGCAGCCCAGCGTCTTAAAGACAATAGCACTCCTTGCATCCGCGAGGTACCGGACTGTGCTGCGAGTCCCCGCTTCCCCACGTTCCAGCAGCCGGCGATTCTTGGCTGTATCCGGCAAGAAGTTTCTAGTTGGAGAGGGCGAGCTGGCTAAGCTGTGGCCGGGTTGCATGGGATCCTCCAGCTGTTTTGAGATGCCCATCGGAACGACGCCTAAACTAGTCGAAGGCAGACCTTCGTTTTGAGGCAGGTGTTTGCTGTGAAAAAGCCAAAAATTTGCATGGTCAACTTCGGAGGGGAGAAGCTTGTCGCGGAGAATTTCGAGCAGGTCAAGGTTGATCTTGAAGAAAAGCCTGACGCGAGACTCCATAGAGACTTTCTTGTCTTTCACTGGAACAGGTAGAGCAGATTTGTTGCGAACAATTGCGGAAGAGTCAGTTGTGGCTGCAGCTGTCTTGGGCCTCGCAGCGGCAACACCCCCCGAACCTCCAGAACTACTAGTACTCCTTTCTCCACCACTTCTAAGCAAATACAACACAAGACTATGGATGTCTTTGGGCGTTAGTTCCAAGCTATCACTCGTAGAAGTTTGGGTGGAACCAGCACCATTAACCGGAAAATAATCGCCTCCATGCTCTAGATCCAATATCCGTCGTAGAGCATTCAACTTCTGCCCACTTACCGAAACCACAGGAGCGTCTTTGTCATCTTCGCATTGATGTTGCGCAGTGGCCTTGCTTTGACCCCCAAGACCTTGTCCACCTAGGGAACTTGATGAATTCGATCGAGCCATAACAAGCGTCGGTAGGACTGCTAATGAAGCAGTAGCCGGCATAATTGCAGACCCCGTACAAGAAATTGTACTTCTTTTAGACTTTTCAACTATGACACCAGGCATTTCAGTTTTCCCAAGTTTCGCCAATTGATCCAAGAATCTTGCTAATGCCAAGCTTTGGCAGAGATGTTCTTTTCCTGTTCTGCCATTTCGTTTCTGAGTCACGATCCAATAGTCCATCAAACCTTGATGGTCTTCGGGCACGCCGTCTGCGTGAAAGTAGACGACTTTGGAATTCACTTCCGCGGTCCTAGCGTACCAAGCATAGCAGAAAGAAATATATCTGGTGCTGGTGGGGGGCTTTTCTGCTGGAATAGGCGATAATATAATTGTCTTCTCTGCGGCTGCAGCTGCTGCACCGAGAAGAGGGGCACTATTCTTTTTATCGGTCATGGAGCTTGGCGAACTCAATAAACTCGGGATAGTGCTTTTTTGAGATGCGAGCTTTGTCCACCCAGTAGTTTTTTGATTTGAACCTGGCGCAGTACAACCGGCGGCGGCTTTCCCAGTGGAACTAGGACTTGTTCCTGCACCAGCATGATCCGTAGTTACCTTATTACCGGATGACTTGTGGTGGTCGTCAGCTTTCTTGTTCATCAGGTGCGCTGTTAACACCGTTGCTTTCAGAGAGGGGAGCGAACTTCTGCTCTCTTTAGTTTCTTGCGACCCCAGTTTATTTCCCTCCTCCTGAAACCCTCCAGAGGACATCAACACTGATCCCATGTACCGTTCGATCAATGTGCACGCATGTTGCAAACCCTCAAGTCCTCCAGTCTCGCATCCTTGCTCCTTCTCCTTCTCTTCGGCTCGTACTTTCATGACCAACTGGTACGCAGATGGTTTTTTCTTAGCGGACGCAGGTGTAGCATCTTCAAAGGATGCTCCTGAGGAATCTTCACCTTCTGCTCGTTCTTCTCGATCAACACCCGAAGTAGATGAACTACAGGTCGTAGTCGACCCAACAGAATTAGAACTCACTACAATCCATCTTTTCGCTCATCTGAGGCCATTTTCCTATTTGAAAACACACAGCTTACAGATGAACTAAAAGATGGATTGCGTGAGGCCTTAACAGAAGTTTCTTCGCTGCTCGTTGGACTGTCTCCACCACTGTTATCGTCGTCTCCGTCTCCAAACGAGCTCGAACTTAAGAAGATATATTGTTAGGGGTTGCAACTTGACCGATCCAGGTCGCATATGATCTATGGCAACTTTCGATTTCGTATTTACTACTAAATACAAGAAAGGCTGTAGGTAAAGGTATTTTGTTCAATTATAACTCCCGCGCATTAGAAGTCGTCCCAATTAGTTTTTAAAAGTCATGGACATGCTAACAGAGATGTCAGCTACTTCCAAGCCTTAATATTGCGGAGCCGACAATGCCATCCAAAAGTTTTTTCTCGTTGCTAGATCCCAAAAATCTTTCTTTGAAGATGCCGTCTTGATGCTGTAGTTTGGAATTTCCGACCATATTTTTTCATACATATTTGACCAAGAAGAATTGTCGACGCCTAAAGACACCCCAAAAGACCTTTTCTCCAAGGCCTGTTGTACTGATAGCGCAATCCCTACTCCCGGATCGTAATGCCAAGTAGCAAAAAACCCGTCGCGGTCCCATCTGGCGCGATTGTCAGTCAACTCCGAGTCTAAGAATGTCCGTTTGAAGATGATCGTCCTGCTTGAAGATGGGCATGGAAATTGCGCAACACCATTACCATTGGTACTTTCGATTATATCACCCAAGAACCTGTTTTGGCATTGCTTCCAAGATTTCTCTACCGCTAGCTCCAAGACGTCCCCATTGCCGTCTGATCCAGCTGAGCCACTCAAAGGTACAGCATCCCTGACCCGATTTTGCGGCTTCGTAGAATAAGCTGCTGGTTGCGGCTCAAACTTACAGGGGGTAGTGGACACCAGAGGTGTCCTAGTTTTCTTTTTGCCATCCTTGCCAATTGGAAAACTGAGGAACAACTTCGCGCTCCCCGTTATTTCTCCTAGCTGTGGTGCCTTGGTCATCTTTCCAAATAAGTCGAGCTTGATGATAGAAAACTGATCTGCAACTTCTACTGCCGATGAAGTCGTAGAAGAAGATAAGAGGAACAAGTTAAACAAGTTAGTCGGATCATTACCAGATTAGCAATGTCTCTATTTTCTGCAAGAGCATCCAAAGGTGGCGCAGACGCCAAAAAATAAGTTTACATATCACCGCCAACTACGATGAAGGGATTTGCTAGCCTGTTGTACTAGCTAAAAAGGGTATAAGGCCTCATCTGACCCAGCACCCCTGATATCAAATACATTGGGTACGTATGACAAAGTAAGAAGGAACGAAGTTTATCGAAATCCATCCAGATGCATCAGAATACTAACTCAAACTTTCTTTGTTGAACCACTTCAACGTTATCACAACTCTGTGACAGAATCAATCTTTTCACACTCGCAGGGATCTCAAGAGCAGACGAGGACGATGATGGACAGATGAGAATGTGCTCTACTCTTTCTATCTCGCTGTAGATTGATATGGGGATCTCATCATGAAGACCGAAGTATTTTCTTCCACAACCTCAAGACAGATGATCCTCGTAATAGGTAAAAGTAACCCGTTCTGACTACACATTAATAGAAAGGTCAACATCCCCCTTGCACTTAGTAGTGGAGTCAATACCCTGAAAATCTCCAATGTCGAGATCGAGACGGGATGGATTTCAATACATCAAAGCTCTGCAACAATACAAACGTGAATACGTTAGTCTTTAATTATGTTGTCATTGTTTTTTTTCAAAAGGAAGGGGGAAGGTGAATGTATGGGACCTAACCAAACAATAACCGAAGAAATCTAGGGGACGGGCGGATGGAAGGTGTTTCATGTATATTGACTCGTTCTTCTCAGCAGTAGCTGATATGACATTTGGTGCATGAATTGTGTTTGACTTTGATGTTGTCGTTGATAAAATTGATATAAATGAAGACAGAGTACGCGTCAAAAAGTGTAAGTTATGATGATAGCACAGTATATCTCATAGACTCTTTCTTGCGTGTGAGCTTGCTATGCGATATTTTGATCGGCTATTAGTTCAGTCTTTGTTTTATTGCGTATGACGCTAACGTATGATTTAGATTTGTGATATAAACGTAAACCGTAAGTTGGAAAGTACTCTTTTATTGTTCTTGCTCTCCATCCATCGACGTTTCCGCAGCGATCCCCGCATCTGGTTGCTCTGCATTGCCTGCGCTGGCATGTTCCTCTTCTGCGGGGCTTCTGCCCGCTTCGGATTCGTTGAGCAGCACGGGAACTTGCGCTATTTTTGCTGCCTTCCGCGCCGCCTCCTTCTCACGTATGCGCTGATAGAGCGCTACCAGAGTCGGGGCTTCGGAGGTTCCCGGTCTTGGGAATTTCTTCTCCTTCCTGCTGTTCGCGCGCTTCATCTTTTGCGGCTTCTTGGTGCTTTTCGCACCTTTCGCTTTCGCGGGAGCGCCTTTCGTCATCTTTTTCGCTTGTATTTTTGAAAATGAAAGATTCTTGCTCTTTTGTTGTTCCAAGAACTCTTTACTAGTAGGATTTTTGAAAGATTCTTGCTCTTGTGGTTCTAACTACTACTAGGATAACATAATATCACGCTACTAGGGTCAACATCATTCAACTGAAGCGTGCGACAATGTGTTTTCTTCGTCTGGTGCTCAAGAACTGGTTTGTTCTGCACAGTACTTCCGAGGAAGTAGAAGTAGCAGAGGCTAGGTAGCGGTAAAGGTCTCAAATCTTCACATCCTTGCTCTTTACCGACGAACCGAGTTTCAGCATCCTCTTCCTCATTACATACCGATTTACTAAACAGACCACGCAAAACAGATGTGCAATCGGACTCGACTAGGAATGGCGAACTTGTAACAACACCGAAACGAGCTCGGTTCTTCTTGAGTCGAGACAGAAGATCCTGTTCTCATTTTAGCCGTTTTCTTTCTCAGAGGGTACTCTCTGAGGATGTGGATGTTGGCCAGGAGTTTTTGTATTAGCTCAGTCCGCGGAACGTTTTCTTTCTCATGAGGTTCATCCCAGGAGTATGTATCTATTATAGCTCAGTCAAATCCCCTAGCTCAGTTCAGCTTAGTTGGTCGGTAATGCGTAAGAGAAGTTCCTTCTATGACGTGATGCTCATCAACTGTTGAACATAACCATCACATCCACATCATATCTTCTGATGAAAGTACACCTTGCAATTTCCCCAGCTCATTCTGTAGACGCGTGGCGGAATCAACTGGCGGAATACACGGTCATTAGGAAATTCGAGAGACAGAGATATTATCTTCGCGCCAGGATGAAGCTCGCGGCCCAGCTTTTCCATCAATCTCTGGAATAACCCACTATGATCCATCCCCGTTCCGTTCACGAGGACCACATCGGCTTCGTGGAGATTGGTGCGAGGTTAGAGGAGAACCTACTTATCATGTATCACTGCACGTGGAAACTTTAATCTCACGTATGATTGCACGTGGAAACGGAATATATCATGCATGACTGCACGTTGTGGAAACGGATAAAGTTTCCAATTCTACTACGCTCGACATAATTGGGGTGGAGCAGACCTAACTAGAAAAAAAAAAGACCAGGGGAAGATAGATGAAAAGAGAAAAGGGTAATTTAATCAGAGACAGCTCCGGAACGAGGTTCTAGTTTTGTCCATCATGAAATTAGCAGTACCACCATGACATCATACTTAGTTTTTACGTCCGTTCATAATCAAAGAAGTCCGCATGTAGGAATCGCATTTGCGCTTGCAGTTCTTTCGGGATGTGTGGTAGAACCCTCTGCTGGACGATCTCATGCGCCAGCTGCCTGATTTCGACACCTACCGCACAACACGTAGAGGGTCCGGCTGGCGGCTCTTCTTCTGGTTGTATCGTAGGCGGAAGAAGTGGAGGATGCATTGAAGAAGTGGAGGAGCCTCCCAGTCCCATTCCCAAATTACTACTAGAACTACTCCTTCTCCCAAACAATAAAGCCCAGATGATCACCGCTTTTCCTAACCCAGATCCAAGGTCGACAAAACGCGGTGGCGGAGTAGAGGAGGTTCTTCTAGTACTACTGTTGTCAGCACCTCCTCCCAACGAGGACCCAAGCATGTGTTCTTCCGCTACAACCGCACACATCTGCACGAAGCTCGCGAAGGTAACTTCACCTGCTACTAGACTACGCAGACCGAACTGAGCCGCTGTTGATGCTACATCAACTCCAGTCTCTCTTCCTCCTCCCCCCAGAATTACGTTTTCGCCAGCATCTACCTTCGGCAACGCAAGAGACTGGAAAATGTGACTGTAAAGCAGGAAACAGCTGTAATAGGGAACTTGAACGATCTTGCGATGCTCTAAACACTGGAGACAACTGCCGAGGGGGCCATGAGTACACTGGATCACATCGGGTCGCTGGAAATTCGTCAATGTCTCTGCTGGTCCACTTTGGTACGTCGTACTACTTCTAGTTGAAGCAGCACCTGTTTGGTCGGAGGTACTAGGGTAACTACTAGTTCTACTTGAAGATGCTGAACCACCTCCGACTCCTCCGAGAGTATAATCATGTGCTCCTCCAAGATGTAGATGGCTCCCTCCACCCTTGCTACTACTTAGTGCCATGCCACCATAAGTGTACGAAGAAGAAGAAGAGGAACTACCACCAGAGGTTGTCAGTAAATTGTACGCCGTAGGCGTTGTTAGAGAGCTATAATTTGCATTTGGGTCATCTGACGAAACGTAGACGCCATTTGCGTACAAGCCTCCTTTTCCGCAAGACGCCCATCCTCGGTCCTGCGCAACTGCTTGAGAAGACAAGGACGATGAAAAGTGTAAAGCCCTCAGAGTGCTGTTGATTTCACTGTATGGATTCGAATTTTCGATGGGGGTAGCGAATTCATTAGCATTTGGGGTCGTTAGTGCGCTCCTGGGCTCCTGCTGATGATGGACTACAACTTCGTGTGCATGTCCTCCTATCACTAGTCCCTTGTTGCCAGTATCAAATGTAGTTCCACCTCCTCGAACACCAAATGCCCTTCGTTCTTCTGCATCTCGAGTCGAGAGGGTTTGGAGGCCAATACACAGCCTCTTCTCCATCCGGACGTCCTCCGGATCCTCCTCTAGTTGCTCCCAACCCCGCTTAACACCACCGAAAATTAGACCTGCTTGCCAAAATCCATCTTGCTCAACATCCTGCGTCGGATGTTTTCTCTTCGATTGATGTTGGGAAGAAGATTGATGCTGGGGAAGATGGATTTTCTCAAGTGTCCTTAATAAAGGGTGCTGCTGGCTCTGGTGACTCGTTCTCGTGTTGTTTGGATCCACCATATTAGGATAAGAGTTGGGATGAGAGTGGGACTGAGTGTTAGGATGACCCGGATGACTCGACGATGATGATAAGAACGAACCCGATGCTATCATGTGCGGAAGTTGTACCGGTCGATCATGCGTGTTGGTCGTACTCGCGTTAAGTTCGGACTCGGAGGACAGGTGTCGCAAAACGATATCTCCGGTGGAAGCAAGATTCTTCTGCTCCCGTTCTAGTTGAGGTGCACCGTTGGGGTCACTCTGTGCCGGAGGTAAAGAAGACCACGACATTTTGATGCTCCTTCATGGTGTTTTCTACGCTGTCAATTTTTGAGGCGATACTCACATACCCACACGACGACCTACGCATTTTATTCTTGATGTAGCTACAGCTAGCGATGCCTTAGGTGCATTCTACTCGAGTTGAGTGCACAGTGCCTCTAGGTCCTCTAGATCATGCTGCGACACGACATAATGTGAATACAACCGAATCAATGATCAACCAAGGTGTCGATAGATACTTCATAATTCATCTACTTACAGGGTACTTCGTAGAATCTATCTAACAAAGGGACGCTGTGGGGAAAAAGATACTTGGATGCATTCGACGAGGAAGTGGAGGTAAAAAAATGGGCCTAAGGGGGACAAGGTCACAGATCGGCTGCGTCAGCGTCTGGGCACATCAGTTGAATCATTCACGAGCGCTTGGGCACAGTTGCCCCAATTTATTAGGATCAGCATTGCAACCGCAGGAACCATTCACCTTGGTCCGAAGGAATGAGCTACATTGGAGAGGTATTCAAATAGGTTGCAACCGATGAGTGTTTTAGTAGACCTCAAAACAACATTTGTTACTCTTAGCAACATTGCTTGAAATTCTTTGATAATTTACACTTGAAGATGACAAGAAGTCTGAACTTGAACACGACGAAGACGCGCATCCACCTTCTCATCCTTTTTAGTCTAAAAATTCTTGGATTCTGATTTTGTTGACGCTGATAGAAAGCGATACACCGCGGATGCTGTAAAAACAACCTTCTTCGTCCTGCTGAGAATTCAATACTAAATATGTAGCAGGCATGCAAACTAAGCTTTTGTAGGAGTGTGCTCAGCACCATCTTTATGTTTGCATTGCATGCATTACATGATAAAAAATACGGAAAACTTTTGCTCATTCGTATAAAATAAGAGATGACAAACGAATTACCATCTCCCACTGCTCGTCCACTCCTCTTCCCTCCACTCCCCTTCCTACCAATGCAGTTGCTCCTCCATATGCACGCAAACGTCTGACAACGATCCTGGTCTCGGAACAAAGCCTATCTCCCGCCACCTCTCAGATTCTGCCAGGCATTCAGCAAGATACTCATGGAGCATATCCTTCGGTTAATGCTTCCCCTAATCCATCTTCGGAAGCATCCTCAAGAGGGTTTTCAAGGAAAAAACACGCCCAGGATGCGCATCTTGAGATGGATTAGGGGAAGCTGAGATCGTCCAAGTACAACCGATCGATATCCCCTTCTATCTAGTAGATTAGGAGTAGCTGAAAGAAGTCGTCCAAATACAACCGATCGCTAAAGAGTACGGAGCACTTTTTAGCCGATGTCCTCGACTGTAGACGGAGCTACCGAGGGAGGTCATGACTTTCATGATTTCATGATTCACGTGACTTCTGTGCTGGACTACCACTCATACGAGGACACACCGATGCGGATGTCAATGAGGACACGCCGATGGTGGTCATGTCAGGGGAAGATGAACCGAAGCACTTTGACTTTGTTATTGCAGCGCCTGCTAGGAGGTCCACACTCTTCTACAACTTTTTCATTTATTCATTTGCCCCACCCACGCTAACTCTTAGCCTATGCCATACTCTCCAACATGATGGGCGTTTTTCAACCAGCTACTCTCCAACACACAATCACAAAAAGAGAGAGGAAAGAGAATCTCCTCTAGCAAGCAGGATGAGGCGGTTACGGTCAGTTCATTTAGGTTCGTCGCGCGATCTTCGTATCTCCTGATGGACATCATAGTCTACGTTTGAAATCATGAAGAGGAGGATTATGGGAAAATCATAGAGTACGATTCTCAAAGTCCATGTCCAGCAGTATAAATGAAGTTCTAATTAAATTCTTGTGTACTCACTTTACCATGCACATCCGACTACTAGCATGCACATGGAGCGCATTATTTTTCAACTATACAGAGCTGATGGATGACATGTTGATGTTCTGACTGCTCTACATCAGAAAGTACGGTACGATGACGATCTAGATCAGCTACTAACGAAGTTCTTCTAGATGTGGTGCAGAACAAGCATCTCTTACAGAAAAAAAATTTGTTGATTACAACAAGATCAAGAACGTACAACTAGCTGTATTGTCTGCCTGTACATCACAACTATGACTATCTACTAAGTCATCTGAGACTAAGTTGATTTATGTCTATCTAGATCTACTGTACTAGGACTAAGCTAGTCTGACTAAGAACCTGCTAGACTAACCTGCTAGACTAAATGCTACGGTCGTCCTGCTACAGCACCCCTACAGGAGGGAGTTAGAAGTACCCTGCTGCTTCCTTCTACGAATTTATTAGTTACCATGAAGCATTTTCATGCTAAATTGCAGCCTTTGGAAAGAAGGGTCATCTAGTATTGACAGCGTGGTGGCCATCTTCTGCAGATCGCTTGGGTTCTCCAAGCCTAACACTTCTTGTGCGTAACTCTTAACTGGATCGCCATGTTCTTCACCGTGCTCTTGTCCACGCGAAAGGTCTAGTTCATGATCTTCATCCCAGACACTGCCTAAGGAAATTCTACCACTTACAGAAGAAGTGCGGTCCACCCCTCCCCGCTGCATATTGGAGGAAGCGCTCTTCCTCTTCCTTGAAGTTCTTGTTTTGTTGTCCTTGTTGTCAAGCACCTGTGAAAAAATAGTGGCATCAACCGGAGCGTCATCGTGGACGTGATCGTCGAACGGAAGTGCTTCTTTATTGGCAGAATCTCCAGCTGCCAAAGCCTTTTCTCTCTCACTTCGTTCCGCGGCCATGCGGTTAGACTCTTGCAGCAAGATTTGGAATTGCTTGTCATCAAGCTTGGACAATTGCATGGCCATCTTTGCAATATCGCGATTCGCAACCTTGGGTCGTCCCTTCTCGCTTGACGGCATATGAAGGACTACCTCTGGTGCTGGAGTTGCATCATCAACATCTTCTAAGATGCCAAAATTAGAGTCCTAGAAGAAATCCATCTGAACCTGAGGAAGTGCCCCTCTAGGTCTATTTCCCTTTAGACAGAACAAGCGCAGGACCAAGATGCTTCCGGCTTTCCCTTTAGAAAGAACAAGAGCAGGACCAAGATGCTCGACATCTTGGCTAAGTAGATCGATGGATTAGAATTTCATCTTGAAGCGGCCTTAACAACAGCAGCCTCTTCTTGCGTCACCGCTGCCTCTAACAAACTTGGAGCACTATAGGGATTCTCATTCTCTATTTCTGCGACAGCAGTTGCGATCACCGCAAACTTCTCGGCTCCTGTTGTCCGATCCTCGTCTACTTTAGAGGTGGTTACGGAGTTACATTCTTCAGAACATCCCTGGCCTCTTTTCGACCAGGTGGAAAAGAGTCAGGGATGGTAGTGAGGAATGCCATTCGGAAAACTCATAACTACTACTCCAGTTTTCGTTTTGTTCTCCTCAGCCTCATCTTCCGTGTTGCCCGTTTTTTCATCCACAGCTACTACTCCAGTTTCCTCAGCCTCATCTTCCGTGTTGCCCGTTTTTTCATCCACAACTACTACCCCAGTTTCCTCAGCCTCATCTTCCGTGTTGCCCGTTTTTTCATCCACGTCTTTTTCCTTGTCTTAGAGGATCAAGAAGGGATCAAGAAGGGAACAAGAAGGGAACAAGAAGGGATCAAGGGATCAAGAAGGGATCAAGAAGGGATCAAGAAGGGATCAAGGAGAAATGGCTTTTACCTAAGTAAGAAGGAAACCACAGGCACAGAATGGCTTGTACTAAAAATGATGCAGTAAATTATCTAGTTACAGATATTAATGGATTAATCAATCTGTTCGAGCCTTAAAAGTTGTCCTTATCGAACATATCGAAGAGATTTGTGTCGAGATCATCGAAAAACTTAGCAGCTTCGCCTCTAATTGACGCTGTTGCACCCTCTGCGAACGCAGGCCTCTCACGGTTCTTTCCGTCGAAGTTAGAGCTACCGCGTCGCATCTACTTCCTTCAAAGTCAACATATCCTTGGAGGACCCTTCTTTTCCCCCTTGTTGAAAAAGAAGCATCCAGGGATGGATCTGTAGTTGAGGATGCAGCTTCAACGGTACTAGCCTTAACAAAGTTTAGACCAGTATCTTCTTCGTCTTCGGAACTCCTGGCTACTTCTTCACCTGCTGCAGACATAGGTCTGTCCAGCTGTCCTCCAGCTGTCGGTGGTCGTCCTCTTTGCATTTTTTAGAATTGTACTTCTTTTCTTGAGGTGTTTTCAATCATAGTTGATGTGCTTCTTTTCATTCCTTTAGAAAGAAATAAATGTAAGCTTCATGATACTTGAAGATGCTGGGGGGCAAACGGCAGCATGATTGATGTTGCAAAAGAATATGGATTTGATAGATGGATTTGTTATAGCCTTAAATTTTTCCACCAAAGAAAACAGGCGCACCTGCTCCAGGTGCCTTAGGCACATTCCCCGCAGCAGCTGCCTCTTTTTTCATCTCAGCCAGCGTTTTGCCTTTAGCCGACTGCTGTAACTTCTTCATCTTCTTATCACTTTCGCTGCCTTCGGTAAGCTCCTTAATAGTGGTTCCAAGAATAGCTAACTCAGCGGCTTCTTCCTCCTTTTTCAACTGCTCCTCGTCTATTCTAGGTGATGTGCTACTTCTACCTCTATTCAGCGCAGCTTCCTCAATTTCGGCTGCCTTCTCTGCTGCAGCTTTCTTCAGCTTTTCCAGCCTTTGCTTTTCTTTCAATTCTGCTTCTATTAGACCGTGATGACTAAAGAAAAGCAGAATTGAAAGAAAAGCAGAGGCCTAAGTAATATCATCCTTGTTCTCGTCTTTAAAAAAAAAACATCCTGCTCTTAAAGAAAAACACCAGACATCTATCTCATCCTTGTTCTCTTTAAAACACGAAGAGGAAGAACAACTAATACAACAAGATGGATCTATTTGCTTTTCTTTCAATTCTGCTTCTATTAGACCGTGATGAAAGTACCCTGTTGCAGAACTAGTTGTACAAGGAATATGGATTATCTTTTCCAGCCTTATGCTTAATATTTATTTTTGTATGGTTCTGGTATTTGGTAACCTGAATTTGATCATAAGGGTTCTCTTCTTGTTTTCCCTTATGATCAAATTCAGGTTACCAAATACCAGAACCATACACTGTAATAAATTTTGAATATCTATTTTTATTCAACTAAGTACAACAACAAGCCTTAACTCTATCTTCATCGCCGCAGCTTCCTGCTTCTCCATTTCGAATAGCTCGCGGGTGTGCATCATCACATACGACTCCAAAAGATCAGAAGCTTTGCCCTTGATGTAAGCCCGTTCTTGAATAATCTGCTCGTCCCGTTCCTCGTAGCTTAGATGTGTAGACCAGGAGTTCGATGAGTGCTGAATCCTTGCTTATTGATGAGGACCTTAAAAATATAAATTTATAGTAATTCGTTGTTGCAAGAACAAGTACAATTTACAACTAACGACCTCGCACACAGTAGAGTGTAGAAGAAGATCAAAGAAAGATGCCTGTCGCAGTCTTTGCAGAATTATAGGCCTTAATTGTTCCAGCTCTTGACGCTCCTTCTGCTTCTCTTTCATCCGCTCATCACGCTTGCGCTGTTTCTCTTCTTCTGAGTACATCACAGCGAACATTAGAGCTCGAGACACTTCATTTCTTCAGTCCATTTCTTTAGATTCCCAAGAAGGACTCAATCGAGAATCGTGCTGACTCTTTCTTCCATTCTTCTCCCCTCCAAGTAGGGAACAGGAGAAAATGAAGACCCTTGAAAATGAATTATTTTGAGCCTTAAGAACATGGGGTCTTCGGCTTCGAGTTCTTCCTCGAGCTCCTCTTGTGTGATTTCAGGGAAGACAAGAATATTCTTCTTGTTACTCTTGTTCAGTGACATACCCCGCGTTGCACCATTATCACCGCCTTGTTCTTCCCCTTGATGTGCAAGATGAGCATCTGCCTGTAGTTGCGCTTGTTGCATAAGCCTGTCGGCTAAGGTTTTTTGACTTCGAAAACCTGTGAGAATCAGAAATTTTAAAACCGCCATGATTTCAAACGGAAAAATTTCCTGTCCGCCAATCGTGATCAACTCTGTTGCGGCCGCTGGATCAAGCAAAGATGAGGACTTTCCTGCTGCAGGCCCTCCTGAGGCACGATTCGGTGCCGTCTGCGAAGCGAGGATCTCCAGAGCAACCGCAGTGGCCATCTCGCCAGGTGTGGAATACAGTCCCGCGACTCGAGGATTCCTCTTCAATCGGACAAACAAATGCAACAGCGTGTATTTCAAGCCATGAGGAATAGGCGCATCGGAGACCATATCCTGCACCTCTGGATCCAAGAGGACCTCTGGAGCTTTATTCGTTTGGGACTTTCGAGGAGCACCGGTTTGACCACGCTTATCTTTTTTACCGCTTCGCTCGCTTGCAGAAGCAAGATTCTTCTCTAGTTGCATCATCTTCGCTTTTGAGGCCTGCACCGCCTTCATGGCGTCGTCTCCACGATCTGAGCGGCCCTCTTTTGGAGGAGCAAAGTGATTCAAATCATCATCACTATCGCTATAATCGCTAGAAAATTCACCCTCCTGCGCAGCTTGTTCCTGCAGTTTCAGCTCTGTATAAACTTCGTACACCTCAGTGATCTCCTCTACTAAAGCGGCGATGACACCACGAGCCTCATCGAGGCGTTTTCCTACCGTATCAATACGTTGTTTGCGCGTTGCCGCTGAAATCACCTCGGCTCCTCCAGCGTTGAATGATACGCGACTCCTCTTCTGAGAAGAGGAGGACTTCTTTGACAGGGACTTCTTTGCTCCTGTCATACTAGAGGAAGACTTGTTTGATAATATCGAAGCAGCAGCACTCTTGTTGAGATTCCCAGGAGCATCGTAAAATATGGCGTCATCCTCTAGATGATCCTCGGGTGCTCTAGGATGACCCCCAAGAAAACTGTCCCCGCGTAGGTAGCTACCGGTCGTAGGTTCATATCCGGTTACAGGAGTTCCACTTCCAGTAGTTCCATTTGTACCAAGACCCTGCTTGATGTTTTTGTCTGAAGAAGAAGATGTTATCCTTGTGGGAGTTTTCGTTGTTGTCGCAGTTGAGGATCCTGCTAGTTCCCAAGCGTTTTGAACATGTGTGAGAGATCGGCGTTTTTGTCCACTTGTTCTAGAAGAGGGATGTTGCTGTTGAAGGGTTGTTGATGAGGACATCAGTGCACCTGAAGAACCTGGGAAAATCGTGTCATCTGCATCAGACACTGACGCCATACCGCGATCGTGGATTCCCTCGCCCTCAGCTGTGATTTCTTAGAGCTTTTTACAAATATTCATCTTGAAAAGCAAATCTTTGATGACGTGCTTTCTTCCCTGTATAAAGAAAGCAAGGGCGGGACCAAAGAAGTACTAGATGCTCCTTCTCTCGGTATGAGTAAATTTCTGTCGTGTTGAGGTTGAGGAGCCGATATATTATAAATTACTGTCTTGAGCAGGAGCCTTAAATTTGACTGCGTCGAGCTGCTTTTTGACCTAGAGTGGCAATTTCCACGAGTCCTACCGACTGCTTCTCGTCTTTCGAAAGCGGACGTGCTCTGCCTCCACTGAACGAGACACGTGCACGGCTTCCGCGAACCTTGGAAGATGGTCGACATCGCGTTGCAAGGTCAGCTGCACTTGCAGCTTCTGCTGTGGTCGCTCCATCTGGATCGCCATATTGCTTGACAGGAGTAATCTGACGCTTTGCACGGGGGGCTGACTCTCTGTGTCTCTTGTAATCTCCTCGGGGAGTCGACGGACTTCGACTGACGCGATCAACATCGACCGGAACAACTACTACCCCAACATTCGCAGTAGTTGCACCCTGTTCTTGTTGTGGCTGCCGCACAGGAGTTTCGCGGTCCTGATCAGGAGCTTGAAGATCATCTCCATGACCGTCTAAAAATTCTCCATGATGGCCGTCTAATCCTTCTACTTCGTCTTGCTCTTGCGCGTCTTGCTCTTGCGCGGCAGCTCCTGTAATAGATGAAGACTGTACTTCTAGATCTAGGCCTCCTTTCTCCTCATCGTCATCATCTTCCTCATGGTCATCTGAAGACTCTAGCAGAGCGCCGTCCAGACCGCGTGGCAACATACCATGGAAGAAGTCGCGACCACTGTGCCCACAGCTGCGAAGCCACCTCTGCCACAATTCATTAGAGCTTTTTACAACTCGAATAATTCATCTTGAGAGTCAAGATTCTTGACGCAGTTTCTGTTTTTCCCCTTGAAAATGGTAAACTACATATTGATATTTATAAGTATCCAAGGAAGATGTCTCTTGTTTTTAGGATGAATTAGGGCAAGCCTTAAATTCAGTATCTTTGGGCTGCAATCGGAACTGGTAGTAGTCGTGGTTGTGCGTGTGGCCCCTAGCAAGGTACTTTAAAGCTGCAGTTTCAGCTCTCATCTCCTGTTGCTCCACTAATTTTCGACTTTGCGGACTGCCCGTAGAAGCACGGCGAGCATTTTTACCATCATGATCGTCTTCATCTTCGTCAACACCTAACATTAGACCTACATCAAATCCATCTCGCGAACAAACCTACCGCTACCCGTTTTCTCTTGAGAAAAGGATCTTCTCCGAGATGCTAGCTTCTAGGGAAAAGGGAACAAGATGGATTTGCTGTAATATTAGCCTTAATAACGCTCCTCCGTGTGCAGCAGCCGAAGAGCCTGGTGGCAACACATCGTAGGCGCAGAAACGGTACACTTTCTGCAGCAAATGAGCTGTGGCCTTTGGCCGGGTCCAAACACTAGCTTCGATGCCAGGCACTCTCGGAACAACATTTTCATCGCCCACTAATCGGAAGACGTCTAAAGGCTTCTGAATATCGGACCAGAAGACTCGACCACCGACAATTTGCACTGCTCCCCAGAACTTGAAGGGTACGCGCGTCACGCAATTGTAGAAGTGCTCTGAGAATAACTCGAGACCAACCTCGGCGTCACCTGCTGCACCTCCAATTTGAAGCATAGTTTGAGAGGGAACCGTCGGTGGCAAGTCGGATTGTGACAAGGCACTGTTTACCACGTGCCTTTCTATGGTATTCTTTCGATTTTTAGAGGACCCAGAGGACCCATTGATGAGACTCAAATTCACCAACCCAAAAAGCTGGACTTTCCATGACGATATTTTGCTTCCCCGCTTTGCGTGCCGTTGTGCGATCTTCTGCAACGCTTTGATTAAAGCGCGGCATTCATTGGTCACCGACTCTGAACGGAAGCGACCCCTTTCGAAGCTCATCTTCCCTTTCCCTTCGTTTTCCCCTCATCTTTCCTCAAGGGGTCGCCTCTTGTTCGATCTCAGTGAGGAACTCCAATGACCATTGATGATTGAAAGTTGAGCCTTAATTTGAGCCTTTCAGATGCCTCGACCAATTCGTCCGCACGCTGCTGAACCAAGAATGCCTTTTTCTTTTCCCCTCCAACTACTACATCTTGATGTTGTTTAGCGACTTCTTGATAGGCCGTTCGAGCCTGTGCGACTTGCTCCTCAGCTTGAAAGACCTCCGCTTTTTCACACTCGGCATCGTCGTGGGATAGAAAAAGTACGTGTCCGATAGCGAGTCCGCGGGTCTCGAAGTAAAAGCGATGCTCGATTACCTGTCGGCGGATCTGCGAAACTTCGTCAAGAGAACCTGCTTTAGGACGACTTGTAGTTCCTCCAGCTGCTGTTGCTGTAGCAGGACGAGTTTGTTCCTTACTATTCATATAATTCCCCTTCATGTTGACCTTATCAAGGTTACTATCCCTTACCTGTCTATGGTACCACACAGGCCCATGACTATAGTGGCACTTCTTCATCCAAACGCCGTGGTCGAGATCAGGACTAAACACTCCTGCGCACATCCGAGTGTCATCATCTTGATCATCAACATCCTCTTCGAGCATTTCCTCCTCTCTGTCGGGATCATAACTCTCGCCATCATCCTGTAGTCGATCCTCTTCTCCCTGTGCGTCGTCTGGTCTATCGGGTCTTGGAGTCGCTAAAATAGTTGCCGCAGTTGTATCTTTACTCGTCCCAGCACCTCCTCCATGATTTTTGACACCCGAAATGACACCGTTTTTCGTACTTGAACCTGAGGAGGAGGACTTTTTCGTCCGCCCTACTACGTATTCGGTGAAAATGACGACGATTCCGCGATGCCGTGCTCTGTCAAAAGTACCAATCTGCTTTGCATGTAGGCTTTGATCGTCCTGCTGAGCAGTTGAAGCTGGTGTCTGAGCACTTTGCAGTCCTAGACGTTGTTGTACCATCGCAAGGATCTGGGCAGTGGGCAGCTGCCCAGCTGCAACTGCCTTCGTACAAGCAGAAGGAAATGGCTGTCCCAATGGCTGTGCTGGTTGCAACATTTTGTTGTTTACTTTAGATTCTAAGAAGATAGTATCCTCAGTAGCAATTTGGAATTGATGTGATGGAAGAGGTGCGGATCAGGATCAAAGGTAATATATCATGAAGTTGTAGTAAAGAACCTGCAAGTTCAACTTGCAGGTTCTTTACTACGAGGGAGAAACTAAACGGCTGTTATTACATAAGCACGTTATAAAATCGAAGGTAATATATCAACGACTTCAACCATGATTGTAGTGCAGGGACGAGGTGGTAGCCATTTGTGAAATCAACAAAGTGTAATAGCAAAGACAGAAAAACGAATGTTGAGCTGGGGTCAATTACCTCAAAATGGGATGGGAAATTTCAACTCATGAGACTGGAGGACGCTTTTTGGCATTAAATCGAAGTCATGTAATGTCATCAACTTGTTCAACATGATCAGGTCAGGAGTCATTTGATCATTACGCTCAGCATACAGAAAACTAGAGGATTCACACAGATGAATAACGCACTCGCGTCACTTTCGCAGTCACTCTTGTGGTCCCAAGCTCCTGCTGCATACTCGAACACTTAGTAATAGTAAATTCAGCAAGGCTTAATATTCTACCGAAGTGGTTACTCCTTGCAGCAATATCAACGGCCTGAAAGCATTGGGGAATTGGCCAAGTCTTTACGCTATGCCTATGCTGTTCATCATGTTACTCATTAGCTGAGCACTTTGGTGCTCCTCTCCACCTTCTTGTTTGCTTGCTCTCTCTCTCTCTCTGTCCGGCTTGAACAGAACCACAAAGTTCACTCTATACACATTAGTGTGGGTCCATGCAGCTGACCACACTATCACTACCCCCGTAGTAGTAAATTTTATTTACCTACACCAAGTCAATAAAATTTATTCTAGTACTACTAAACGATAGCCAGACAGAGGAGAGTATCTATAAGGACCATAACATTCCAAAGTAGCACTCTGCATAGACCCCCCCAAGCTTAATACAGACACGACGCCCTGTCGTGTTCTTTAGTACTTAAGTTCACCGCGTTAACTTCCACTAGTTCTTTTCAACTCTTTCACTTTAACTCCATAGTTATCCCCCTACAAGAACGGACTCACCAACACATCCCTGATATGGTACTACTTTAGGTCACTTCTTTTAGACATTTGCCTATGCCTTCTACTACAAATAGCTACTTACTTGCGGGGACGCAACATGATCTGTCTCTTCTTCTCGCCGTCTCCTTCTTCCTCTTCTCCGGCAGCTTTCGACAAGTAGACGGTAATGAGTTTCACTTGCTTGTATCTCAGTTCTAGTGCAACGGAAGCTATGACGCAGGCAACGCGATCGGTTCCGAAGGTGCCCGTGATCTTGAACATCTCAAACGCGTTATCTCGCGGATCCTTCCCTAAATAGTTCCATTGTGCTACTTGTTGTTTATGTTTTAGAGATAAGCTTTTGGAGGTGTAAGTTCGTCTAAATCCCGCTTGTTATGGCTGCCCCCCTTAAGAGAGCCATAACAAACGGTAACAAAAGCACCTTTAACCTACTTACCCTTAATTGTTGACTCGGATCGTTGACCATGGTGTTCCGCACGATTTGGTGAAAAATGCTGCTGGCCATTCTGTCCGCCTGCGATTCGCGTTCATGAAAGTGCGTAGTGGCAATCCACTGGGTTCCGCTGTCCGCTGCTACCTTTCGCGCAGACTCTGTAATCCTACCGATTCGACTTGCGTCTTGCTCTCTTTCTTTGTTGAGCTTGGAGCTGGAGGCGAGCGGCTCCTCAGGCGTCCTCTTCGAAGTACTTGCTTTAGTTGGGTCTTTAGAGACATACTTCACCTTCAGCCACGAGTATTTTGCGAAGTCCGACCCTAGAAACGCAGCGTCCTCCTCTCCACCAGAATCTTCCTCGTCTTCTTGATGCTTCAACTTTAGAAACAAACGGACAGACGCTTAAACCCACATACGAATTTTAGGGAAAATTAGGGAACCCCCTAAATTTCCCTAACTTTCCCTAAGTTTTGACCTCCTCCACAAGCGTGTCCGTTTGTTCATAACAACTCGGCCTGCACCACATCCGCGCCAGCGCCGATGGCAACATCCGCATGTTGTTGGATATCAGCTACGGCAGTTCCTCCTTTTCTTTTACTAGCACGCACGCCTTTTTGTTGTTGTGCAGCTTGTGCTTCCTCCTCTGCCACAAGCTCATCAGCGTACCTTGATGCCAATGCCTCTAGATATCCTTGGTCCTTTTTCTGGGAAGGTCCGCTATCTGCTTGCTCGTCTTTTCTTTTCGAAGAGGCAGCAGAAGTAGCCACACCAAGTTGCTTGGCCCACTTTTGATTCGTCATGTGGTTCCCAAGGCTGTCCCAGCAAATAGAGGCGGCGCGTTCCTCTACGTCGGACCTCATTCCACCACGCCCCGGCAAAATTTCGTCCACAATTTCTCGCACGATTTCCCTCTGCCAGACCGCAACCAGTCTCGGATGGTTTTTGTAAGAGTATTCCTCTGTACCATGGCTCTGCTTACCGAGGCGGTAGTTATAGGCGAGAAATTTCGCGAACGGTTGAAGGGCGTCCGTGACTACGGGATGTGGCTCGTCCCACCATTTCTTCGAGGTAAACGTGCCGACAACATCGACCCCTAACACAACCCGCGTCGCATAGTCCCGCCCTTGCACAACTCCAGAGGAGGACTTTCCTCTTCCCTGCTTATCAACTCGACCAGACTGTAGGAGGGCGAGGGCTTCGTGATGCTCCTGCTCCACTTCCTGCATCAGCTGATCCACGATTCTCCGACCTTGCATCTCGTTGACCAGGTAGTCCTCAAAGATTTGAAGAACCTTTTCTCCATGTTCGATCCGAAACTGCTCTTTAGCTTTACTCTCCCGTGTTTCCAAATAAACAAGAGTCATGAAATATTCTTCTACGTTCAACGGGGCCAGAAGCAAAAGCTGCGCCCATATCTGGGTCATGAGAGACTTCCGGACCCGGCGCATAGAGTCCGGCGTGTGCCACGGTTGAACCGTGCCCGCTCCAAACCTCGCTAGCTTTTTGTTTATGTTTTGGCCTTGCTGTATCGCTTGGGCGCGTGCGATCCTTTCAATTTTTCCATCGTGCAAAATGAGCTTTCGCAGCTCCTCAATCTCCCACTTCTCAAATTCAAGCGCTAAGTACCTGTCCACCAAGCGGCGTCCGTACTTTCGCACACTCGAAACTTCGCTCGGAAAAGCGACCGGCCAAAAGCTTTCTTCTTCCTGGGAAGTAGGTTCTTGAGCTTGGTGTTCCTCGTCCCGAGTTGTGGACGAAAGAAGAGTTAGAGCAGATAAGTTCTTTTTGGCGTTCGTTTAGGTTTATCCAGCTTGTTATGGCTGTCCCCACCTAAAAAGGGAGAGAGCCATGACAAACGGTAACATTAGAGGTAAGTTTTTGGCGTTCGTAGTTTATCTTCCAGCTTGTAGTTATGGCTACTGTCCCGGGAGAGAGCCATCCCCACCTAAGGGAAAGAGCAACCTTTTGTCCCCACCTAAGGGAGAGAGCCATCCCCACCTAAAACGGTAACAAAAGCACCTTTAACCTGTAGAGCCTTAAAAGAGCTTTCACCAGAAGATCCGCGTGAAGGTAGCCCAGCGCAGAGCACTCTGCGAGTGTGGGCGTGACTGAGGCTATGAAGTGGGTCTCTGGTCGTGTAATCCAATCGAAGCTTGGTGATGAGGAAGAATGCTCGGGAATGCTTCCGATTGGTACAACAGCAGCGGTGTACTCGACATTCTCGTGGTATCTTTCTGGAATCAATTCAGTCCAGGACACCGCTGGCACGTACTGCGTGAGACGATCCAGAGCCGATCCAGTGGGACCCTGATCCGAGTATTTTAAGGTCACACGTTTGTTGTAGTGAAGAGCCCCGCCGGTAGCACCGGTTTGGAATCTCTCGGCGATCGTCGTGCGTAGGCTACTTTTGTGCTGCCCTGCGCTTACCAGAAACCAACCTCGCGCGCAATCCAACTGTCGACCCAATGCGTTTCGCAACAAGATCATAACATCCTCAACACCGGCATCAGCATGCTTAGCCACTACTTTAGCGCTAGGCTTCCCTCCTGGTACAACTGGTATACTTTTTGATCCTACAAGTTGGTTTGATCCTTTCAGCTTCACTGCATTTGCCTGCTCCAAGGGCAAAGAGAAAAGACTGAGGCACCCTAAATATGATGACAAGAGGACCAGCATCATGTGGATTTTTTTTCTCATACTGCTCGACTGAATGCAGAGGGAGAAGATAAAACTTAAACTTATACTTCACCAATTAATTCCGATTTTACTAGTGGTCGTATGCTGTTTTGTAGTGGTCGTATGCTGTTTTGTTCTGGCGTAGGTTAGGTTAGGTGTTGGTCCACTAGATAAACCAGCAGACTTCAGTGTTCAATTCAATTCAATTCATTGGCTTTTTTTTTTTTTGTATCGCGGGCGAGTTCCGATATATCCGAACCTCTGTGCAAGCGCGACTCCATCTCCCCATTCCTGGGCGTAGTCGACGAGAGCCACAAAAAACGGCACACCAGGCAGACGAATCTGCCATGTGGAACCGAGTTTGACACCAACAGCCCCCGATCTCTTATTCTTTCGAGAAAGGTCCGACATGAGGCATCACCGGAGCGTGTGGGCATTCGTGCTGGCACGCAGGCTTTTACGTCCAAAACACCGGTCCACGAGCCAAAGCGCGGGTGGCAGTGACAAAAGGAGCTGGGGCGCTGCTATCTATATATTCTATCTACTGCCAAGTTACTTGCAACATTCAACTAGCAAGGTCTTGGGCACCCATCTTTCCTTTCCGACACTAATTATACTTCTGTCTAATTATGCTAATCTCCTTAAGTCACCATCGCCCATGCCTTCGGCACTACCAATGTCCTAGACGGCCCAATGCTGCGGTACTTGCTGATTTTTTGATTTTGTTTTTGAGAGTGTTAACTTGAGTGTACATCTTACTTTCCCTGGGATTCGTCGTCCCCTTTTTTGGGTTTGTCTTTTTCTTTTTTTTTCTCTCTGGACCGATTTCTTCCCACTTTGTTTTTGCATGCTGCTTACCCTCGAACGTGCATACGCACTTCGTCTCTTTGCGAGTGCATCGTGCACATTTGCAGGGGCTTGCTACTCCATCCATCTGCCTATAGCTATCTCCGCTGTTGCTCCCCTGTTATTTTGCTCTTCGCTCCGTGCCCCTTGCCGATATCGCAAGATCCGTCATGTTTTCCTTTCTCTACCTACTTATCTGTCTTACCTACTTGCAGTTTAGTTCAATTCTTCACTCATCTAGTTTCGCCCTATTTTGCGTCTATCCTCTGCTTCATCACTCCTGGTCTCCTTGTTTCAATACTTCTTAATCGATTCGACTTTATTTCATGTTCGTTTGAACCTCTGCGCCTTCAATTTAATTGGTATCCCAGCTCTGCTTGTACGGATCATTTTCGCTTCCGTGGAAGTTCTTCTCTTAATGATCTTTGCGATTCTTCTTTCGATTCGATGATCTAATGCTGGCTCCTCTCTTTGTCTTCCCGAGGGCTACCTCCTTTCGAGTGTTCCTCCAGGAAACATCATTCTAGATCGTGCTTTCCAGGACCATGAGAAATCAAATGCGACAGGGCTGGCCCTATAAGACAGCCACCATTTGATACCCCTTCTCTTCATGTTGTCAAGCTGTCTTTCACACGTGCTTATTTATTCGTTCTTCTTTTCATTGCTAGTGACCTGCATTCGCGGGGATCCATGTGCTTACTTTCTTCTACCTTCACCTTCTTTGGGGTTTTTATCAGTCACTTCTGCTTTCAGTGCATCTATTTGTTTCTGGATGATTTGATTGTCTATTTCTATGTTCCGGAACATTCCTGGCGTATATTTGACCCCGTTGGGATCCCACGTCTCTGGTCTTCCTCTGTAAGCTGTTTTCACCATCTCCCTGTCAAATGCTGGTCCTGGCTCCATCTTCTTTTGCTTCGACAGTCCTATGACTTGCCGCACTACTTCGTCCCTAGCTTCCTTTTTCCACTCGTCGACATCTGGGTGCTTTTTCCTAATGAAGTCCATGGCATACTTGTCAGAGCCATATCCTTGTTTCCCTTTTGGGTCAGCTGCCTCTTCTTGTGCTTCCTCGACTTTTCCGTCCTTCAGTCCCGCTGCTGTTGACGGCGCTATGGCTTTGTCATTGTCCGTGCCTAGCTGCACGGGGTCACTCGCATCATCTCGGATTTCCGTTCTTGCACGAGAAGCTACCGCCTTCGGCCTGACTCTTCTTCCTGCATGAGGTTCGTGCTCGTCCCTTTCTAGCACACCTTTCCTCCGCAGGTTCACCTTCCGTAGTCGCTCCTTCCAGTCCATCGTGATTGCGGTTCAGCTTACCGGGGGCCCATTTTGTTGATTCAACCGTGCTTTATTCAGTTTAACCACGATGGAAAATCCCTCTAATACCGCTGTTTATTCCTTTACGTCGTTCAGGTTTTCATTGTAAATGTTTGAGCATCCTAATTTTTGGATACCTCACCATTTTGCTGCGGATCGCGAGACTAAAGACCCTCAGACCTCTAAAACTTTTCATTACTCGTTTTCGCTGGGGGAGTCATCTGATCGTTTAATTTTCTATCTGGGAGCTAAAGACCTCTCTTACTAAAATTCTCTCCTCGTCTTTCTTCTCTCTTGTAGATCCGCTCTTTCCTTTCGTATTTTGTCACATAATGCGAACAGTTGTACTCACTCTTATTCTTATTCATTGCTTGCACGCTTTACGGCGCGTTCTGCTCCCAGCGCAACGAGCTGCCACTCAATGTTGCTCGAGATAGACTTCGTTAAGATGACACAAATATTATATTTTAGACGATATCTTGCTTCGAAGGTTCCAAGATTTCGAAGTTGAGCATCGCCCTGCAAAGTGCCAACGAAGGACTAACTCGAGCTTATGCAGCTTCTCTTCGTTCTTCTTCTCTACTGTGTCCGCGCTCCTTCCATACATCTCCTCTGCCGGCCTGATTTTTCAGTGCTTCTCTCCTTTCTCCCGAAAACCACCATAGCCTGCGTTCTCGCGGCTTGTGTCTCGATTTTACTCAACATGTACTCGGTTACTCACTACTTCTTTGGTTTTATTTGCGTCCTCTGCGCAACACAGCCAAAGTTGTCGAGGGCGACGAGCTGGATGAGGAAGACGAGGAGAAGAACGAGATATGATCTTGGATCACCGGACCGTTAGCCGCCTTGCCGCGCTTCTTCTCTTGAGCCCGCGCCATGAGTCTGCGCGGGTTCGGCAACTCGCCCTCGATCGCCATTGCTGTCATCATGATGTTGTTGTACGCGACCATCGGGCCGATCGCCTTCGCGTACGCCACCTTCTCGAACGGACAAATACTTACCGCACATGGCGTGGAGAGTGGAGTGTACTTGTTCTCGTCCACATTCTGCTTCATGATGGCAGCATACTTCTCGACATCCTTAACATCTAACTCCAAGTCCTGCAGCATCTCTTTGGCGTCTTTGTTTCCCGAGAAAAGCTTCTTCATCTTGCCCATGTTTTCCTTATTGAGTTTGACCACGAGTTTCTTGGAGCTTTGGAGGATCTCGATGCACGGGATCGCGCGCTTGCGCACAGCCTTATCCTCTTCGCCAAAGATTTTCTGCTTCTCTTGCTTGTACTCCCCTTCGTACATCACGACGGCATTGTTGTGATCAGCTGCCAGCTGCAGATATTGTTCCACCAGAAGACGAATCAGCTCCGGCATCGGCAACGTCGCACGCCGCTCAGGCGTGTTCATCCTCAGAAGCTCCTCTTTTGCAGGAGAGGTCTTCGTCGTGGTGCCACTCTTGTTCGATTCCGACATTTTGTTTTGTGTCTACTCCACTTTTTGAGAAACTCTGGCTTACGCAGGCTAACTCTATTTCTGATGCGAATTGCAGGATAATAATACTGACGATTCATAAAAAGTATCGCCGTATAGGTAGTAGAAGTAATCACGGCAACAATCTTGTGGCGCCGAAAAGTGACTCACCCTGGGTCCTTGTTGCCATTGCTTTGTTCAGATGCATGACGATGTGGAGTACATCACGTAGAATTACTCTCTGATGAGATGTTCTAGGCCGTCTTCATTTCGCTGCGCGTCAAAGACAACTATTGTGATCAAGGTAGGGCTTTGCTCTTCTGCCTTTGTTGTCTTTCCTCCACCGCAACATGATTCCTATTTTGGGGTCCCTTTATTATAGAACAGCATCGCAACGCGCACACCCTAATCACGGTCACACAAACAGCATTGCAATGCAAGTCGACATCTTTTAGTCGTCGACGCTCAATTTCTATGGCATTGGAACTTATCTCGGAAATATGGATCCAGCTTCAGTCGTTGGACTTTCAATTCAATTCAGTTCTCAGTTCACTTCAATTCATCGGATTCCTGGAGGTATCCGACGAGAGCCACAAAAAAGAAAACGGCCTTCCATCGAAGCGTCGTACGTGCTAGTCCGGTCTGTCCCGGCTCGTCCATGCGCGGGCTCTCACATCCTCTCCTAAGGAGCTCTCCTCGCGATCAAAGAACGATAGTTGCTTCTAACCGCTTGAAGTATGCTCTGCAATACCTGCCGCGCGATAAAGATGGTCCAAGGGGAAAGCGTTATGCTGGTCGTATCGTCCACGTACATGTCAACTCCCCAGCGGCATTCCCTTGTACGTGATGTCACGAAGCGTTGACCTGCTCCACTCATCATTTTCCGCCAAAAATCCCGTGTCATCATACGGGCCTCCATCTCGCAGAATAGGTTGAAGAGTAAAATCCATATTGCGCTACTGAGGTCATATGCTTGACATTTAAGGAAGTTATCAACTGCCATTCCTTGAAACTCATGCCATACCGTCGATACACATTTCCGCACTACTCTTGCCCAGACATGCGCCCATTCGTAGAGCGGAATTACACTTGCGCTATGCCTTGCCCGCTTCGGTTCGTACAGATAGTGGCTGCCACATATCCACACGCACATCGTGCTAGTGAGCCGCTGTACAAGAGGGCGCTGCGGTTGCATGTCTCTATTCCTACTCATCTGAGACACATTTTCCGTGTAATGCATGTTCAATCCAGTTGAATCCAGTTGATGCGCTGATTCAATTCAGTCCATCCCAATCCGTTTATTTTTTCTTGTTCAAGAAGATTCGACTCAATTCAATTCAGAGATAATAGACAATATCCTAGAGGAAATGGAACATATCTTTTGGTTTTCTCTCGCCCTTTTTTTTTTTTCCAGTGCGCTCACTAACTTTGTCCTTGTCTTTCATGCGTCTTGCACCTTAGTCGTATTACTACCTTATCGCGCAATCCTCAAGGTATCCGCTCCTGTCTCGTAGCTCCTTGTGTTCTACCCGTATGACTGTACTGCTACATGCGTTTATCCCACGTTTAATTCACTTCATCGCTATGGTCTCAACTTTTCTTCAGTGGCTACTGAAGAGCCAAAAAGAAATAAACCACAAACGCTTCAAAACGCTTCAAAACCACATCTAGTGAATCCTATATTTAAGACCCTTCTTGTTCTTTTGAAAAGTTGACTGGCCTGGTCGAAAATGTTTCGGATGAGTCGATACCTTGCTACCGTCACTGTGTTAAAAAATCAAGCGAGTTACTTTCGACGATGCGAACTCAAGGATGCTACTTACTTGCTATAAATTGTACGTGGAGCGAGTTACTTTCGACGGTGCTACTCCTGAAAAATTCTGGATCTAGTTTAGTTCCTGACTCTATCAAAGTCCTCCTCTGATTCTAAATAAAAGCACTGGGTTACCAGTCCTAACTTTCTCTTACTGTTCCCTAAAAAGTAAGCACCTATTTCTAAAAAAAAACTATTGGGGCGTTTAATCTTCGTGCACGAAAAACATATAAATCCTAACTATCCTTATCCTAAGCAGGCCAGTGCCCTCTGTGGTCCCTTGCAAAATTATCATTGGCCTGAAAGCATTGGGGAATCGGCCAAGTCTTTAGGCTCTGCCTACGCTGTTCATCACGTTACTCAATAGCTGAGCACATTGGTGCTCTTCTCCACCTTCTTGTTTGCTCTCTCTCTCTCTCTCTTTCTGGCTTGAACAGAACCACTAAGCTCACTCTACTATAGATACAGAATAGTGTGGGTCCATACTTACCACAACTCTAACAGCCCGAAACAGAAACAGATGAAAACTAGTAGCGCACTCAATCATGTCATTTTCACAACATTCACTCCAACTCCGAGACGTTGATGTTGGTCATGGTCAGTCACAGTTCTCTCCTTCTCGAGTCATTAAGAACAACAATGCAGTTGCAGTCAAATCAGCTTACAGAATCAAGAGCCAAGTATTCACAGAAGGAATCTCGAATCATCTTCCACTTTTTTGTTCTCCTTTGGAACACCATTTTCTCTTTCAAAGCCATTTTCTCTTCTCAGCAAAAGTCTATTTTCCGATGCCGACAGAACACTTTCTACACCAGTATTTGTACAAGGATATTAGCGCTACAAGTATCAACACCACGCACTTTTCACATGATGAGTCTGCAGCATCATTCGCGTCGCCTCATAAACGGTATCAATTTAGATGTCATGAAAGACGTCGTATCAGAGAGCAGGGGCCGAGGGTACTATAATGCGGGTGTCAGGCGTTCAACATGGAGGGGCACTCAAGCATCAACATGAAGGGGTATCATGTAATGGAAAATGTGAGAATGCACATCTTGTTGGTCGTTGCTAAAACTACTAAGTGCCGCAATCATACTCCTGCAACTTACGACACGGTTCCTTCCTTCCAAAGGCAGTCGTTCAGACAGTGCATTGACAAAACCCCCAAGCCTTTGTTCGTGGACCTGATATCAGCAGCACTCATAGCTGTTAGTCCTACGGCGCAAGCGTTTTCCTTGTTTTCCGCTACTATCTGGACGCATGTTCCTGCAGGCACGTCTTCCATAGCGCCTCCGGTTGGATGAGTGAGACCAGGACACATGATGTCGGCGCCCTGTTGTGGAGGCCGTGATGGTGCCGATCATGGTGGTGGTGCCGATCATGGTGGTGGTGATCATAGATAATTGTGGTGGTGATCATAGATAATTGTGGTGGTGATCGTAGATAATTGTGGTGCCGATCATGGTGGTGGTGCCGATCATGGTGGTGGTGATCGGCTAGCAGCTAGTATCTCATATATCTGCTATCTTCAGTTCTTGTACAAGAGGTAGAAGTACTACATCTTCAGGCACATGATCATGTTGTACTACGAGAAATCATCCAAACAAATAGGAGTTCTATATGAAGTACCTTGTTCTAGATGAAGTTGAAGTAATATCTTGTTCTAGATGAAGTACCTTCAAAACAAACTTGATTGCTCCCGTGTCCACTTGAAATTTCGGCATCATGCTTGGGTACTTATGCAACACGCGCAGTGTTGGAAACCATTTCTCGCTCTTGTCGGTTGGTTGGAAGAAAATGACTTCTTCATCCACTATGACCATCTGGATTTTGCTCTTTGTTAAAGGCGAGAACTCTGATTGGTCCCTTCATTTTCCTCTGTTTCCCCCATCAAGAGGGAGCCCAGTTCCACTACACTAGACGACACTACACAAGTTGCCTTCCAAGCAACTCTAAAAAGATCAATTTATCACACTAGAAGTTCCGCTAGCCCAAGGAACATGCTTCTTCCTTTAATATCCTACGTCGTATTGCTCTTCTATTTTGACTCTCACTTTTTACACTCTAGAGCCCAGTGAGCAACCCCTCTAGTATGAGGAATGAAAACACTCTACTATGACCAATGAAAGTTCTTGAGCCTTAACTTTGTTTTTCCCAACAAAACATTTCCTCCTTTCTTTGGCCAGATTTCCTCGATCACCGGCTCTAGTCTCGGATAAGTCTCCAACACGTCGTCCCTGATTTTTCGCTCCACGGAACTTTTGGCCTTGTTGGCCTGCACCTCCTTCGGCGTGTAGTTGCGGAACATTGTTTCTTTGGATTTGGATCTACTTCTACTGCTAGGTGAAGATCTACTTGAAGAAGATGATGATGATCCCTTGGATCTACTGCTAGGTCGTGATCTACTTGATGATGACGACGACTTGGACAAAGTAAAATGATCACTACGGAGGTACCACGCACTGCAGCAATTTAATGAGTACAAATAATGTTCTTGATTCTAAAAAGTAAGAGGAAGAGAGTTCGCGACGTTGATGTTAATCGGTTCGGATTGGACCTACGACTGCCCTGAATCTTAAGTCGTGTAAAAAAGCAAGAAGGGTGTCGAGGATTCGTACGTTGTTCAAGATTCCCCAGTTCCTGTTGTGGTTAATATTTATTACGAGGCCATCACTCAATGCTGAAGTAGGAATGAGCTTCTCAATTTGCCTGTCTCTGAGATCATCGTGAATCGTGTTGATGAAGTAGAGATCTCGTGATCATTTTATCTACTTTGTCTTTGCCTGCTCAAAGATCTTCGCTCAACAACAACAATTATATTTGATCCTCTGTTTCAGTTCAAGTTTCTGTGTGAACTCAGCATGACGTGTACAAACCATTTTTCATGACAGCTTTTTCCTGGTCGTGGTGATTTTTCTATGACTATTCTTGCTTTCACTTCTACTTCTTAGATTCATTATATCGCGGTGTAAGTATCATATTCAAGTCTGTGCACGATCTGTTTCACATAGTAGAGAAATTGTTGGTCAAAATAAATCTTTGCAATAAGACGGGATTAAGCTGAAACTGTCAAGCAGCCAGGCCACCTCGGAAAAGAAAAGAAATGTCTAAATGTCTTACCGCCTGATGCGTTCGAAACTCATAGTTTTTTCTCAGACGTTTATTTTTGCTCTGGTCCACTGCTTTGAAAACTAGACGTAGACCTTCTTGAAGACTAAAAAATGTATAAGTAGATACTTACAACTTCAACGCACTTTCGTCCTTAAACTTTTATAATTCCGCCCTACTTACAACTTCTAAGCTTACTAGACCCGCGCCTCGCATACTCCACTGAGTATATTCACCATGTCGCTCGCCTCGAACACGTGCTCTGGTGATACCCACTTCTCTCCTTGGAGTCGTTCCAAGGCGGTCGCATCGCTGCCAACGAGAAGGAGCCTGGCACTACTGGAGGATAAAGAGTCTGCAGCAAAATCGCCCCTCAGTTTCTCGATTGCTTCGAGAATTAGACGAGGACATCAAGGGTTTAGGGTTTAGGGTTTAGAGTCGTGAAGAACAAATTGCGACCATGGCCTTAGAATTGCAACAATTGTCAACTCAAGGGTGAAGGTTAGGCTAGAGTGAAGAAGAACAATCTCATTGGCCTTAGAATTCAAGAAACTATTTTACTCAAAGGGTGAACAAGAACAAAGGATATTATATATTGTTTTCTTGTTGTTGGTAGTTGTCACCATTTATTTCGTGATCTTCTACTTGTTCTTCATCCTGTTCAAAAAAGATCCACAAACAACAATAATCCATAACCTTATCGCATGCTTCCTTGCCCAAATGCCGTCACTGAAAATGATCACGACATCTTTGCCACGTGGCGGGTCTAGCTTCATTCGGACGCCGAAAATTAGAGCTACCGTCGAATTCGCATCTTGTTCCTTGAGAGTAATAGTATCCCTGGGAGGTGCTTCGTTTTCAAGTAGAAAACGGGCTAAGGATGATGTTGAGGATGCTTTAGTGTCGGCCGTAAGAAACGTGTTGCCAAAGCTAGCCCACCAGGTACAGAATTCAACTCCCTTTCCCGAACCACTTTGGCTGCCGCTCGGGAACTATGAATTTCCTGCAAGGTGTCTCGTGCTTTGTGGAGGGCGATGGAAACGCGGGTGCTGTTGCCGATTCTACTACTAGAAGTGGACCACGTGGAGGTACTACTATAACTGGAGGTGCTAGGACTAGTCGAATGTTGGCGGGTAGTTTTCGCCATCAGTCTTGCTTGCGTTCCGAAGTCAATCCTGGCCAGTCGTACTTTTTCGCTATCTACAGTGTAGTTCGACAGCGCTTTGTCCAGAGACTGCATGAAAGCGTCTCCTGAAACGACGTTGCCAACTACAGAGGACTTGACCATGCTCCCAGACTTGTCTATCAAGACAACTAAGTTGCGTTCACCACAACGAAAGAGTCCTTGGAGGCTACCGAGAGTCGAAAGTGATGTTCTTGCTGTCGAGTCGACTTTCGCTGTTATAGTAGAAGTTGTAGAAGGTGAAGAAGGCACTTCTTCATGCAAAACTTCTTCTAGACACGCTTCAACATTACACGCTTCCAGTTTCCGGTACTTCGTTACCGGGCACTCGCCAGTGGTTCCAAGGGCTTGTGCCACCACTGCACGACTCTGCTCAAAACTGCCTCCACCGCAAGCACGTGAACAGGCTGTAGTTAGAGGTCGTACCGACAACTACTTTGATGTACTTATTTTGGATGTTGAACATCAAATGCTGTTTGTTGACCGATCGAATTCCGTAAGGAGCCTCAAGATCGATCGAATTGGTGCTACATTGTAGGGACCACAGTAGACTGACCTCAGTCAGATGATGATTAGAGGGAACAAAACTAACGACCGGTTGTAGACCTCAGATGATAATTAGAGGGAACAAAACTAACCGGTTGTTGTTGATCGAATTGGCTAAAAGATGGTGTTGTAAAGATCCGCTGACGGTGCCCATAAAGTAGGCTTTGACCAAGTATCAGCGACCACACAGTCCTTATTACAGGGACCAGCGGAACAAGGTTGACGTTCTTGGAGACGCGGACAGACCTTGCCGTTCCATTGTGCAGCTTGGACTAGGGAGCGCTCCTGTAGAAGAGTAGATCATGAAGAGATGAAGGGGGTGAGGTGTTGTTAGAATTTTTTCTTTTATATTTTGAAGAAAATAAGTACTATTTTTAAGATTAAGTGGTTCTTTTCGATGTAAATAAAAGAGACCACATTGAAGAGAGGGTGTATGTGTTGTAGTTTAGCTTCTCTGACTGGGCTACATCAGAGTTCTACTTGCAGGAGCAGGACTAGATGCAGATAAGAATCATATAGATATATTTATAAGTAAGGGTAGGTGTACCCTCATCACGCTCCCTTCTCCGCACATGGCACCGCAATCTGACCAGGGACCCCAGTCAGCTACCTTGCAGTCTATTGTTAGAGTTTAAAGCAATTCGTTTCTTCTTGCCCGGCGCACTTCTGCCAATCCTAGTAAGAGGGAACATGGGAGAAATCAATGTAAGTAAGTATGAGTTGTACCTTTATCTAATTATCTATTGCGCCTTAATATTGGACATGGAGATCGATTGCAAGCTGCTTCCTTCTCCAATTCGAAATTGTCTTTGCATGGAACTCCATACTCATTCCCCTCTTGAATGATTTCACGTTTGTACTTCATGCGACCTCCTTGGATTCCGCACTCTTGGCTACAGAACCCAACTGCTTTCCAAGGAGAGAGTTCGCAGTCTTGAATTTTCTTGGATGGAGAAGAAGAAGATGAAGAAGTGGTTGCTGTGTCAGCAGTTGCTGTGTCACCATGATTAGAGTCTGCTAGATTGCATCTCGGGCCCCTTATTTTGATCCCTTGTGCCTTGTATTTCATGAGAATACAAGGGAAAAGGGTACCAAGATGTTGCCGAGAAAGGTGGACACTAAATGATGGCCTTAACATGATCGGATTGGGATGCCGCAGCATGATCAAGCTCATCTTTATTTCCGTCCTGCTGATCCATGTAGTTGGCCAACAGCGCTACTTCTTCCTTCGACGCAGCGGCAGCTGAATTGGAGCTCACCCTTATCCATCCTGAAATGCACCCCGAGGCCGGTTCGTTCACCCTTGAAAACGTGCCCAAGATCCTTCCGAGGATGGATGAGGGGATGAAGCCTTAACTGAAGTTCTTGTCATCTTCTTACTACTTCTTCGTGCCACGACTATTTCCTTCCGCACTTCCAAATAACTACACATGTTGTCCTTCATGTCTTGGATCTCGTCTTGGGCTTCCTTCTCCTCTTTCCGCATCTCCTCCTCTACCTCGTCCAAATCACGCTGTACAGCTTCCACTAGCCCCGCAGTATGTTTGCGCAACCCCTCTAGATGGCGTACTTGTTATTTTTAGAACTTGCAGAAATTATTCATCTTGGTGAGCAGAAATATTTATAAGTCTTCATCTCAAGTCATAATGTTTGGTACGGGAACGAGCTTGCTCAAGTAGCTTGACGCCATCTTCGATCTCCTGGAAGCGTTTTTTGCATTCTTCTTCAAGATTTGCAGACGCAGTGGTGAGGGAGAGAAGGCTGTCTTCAGTCTCGCCTACCAGAAAATCGAGCTCGTCCTCAGTGTAGGGCTGGCAGGCGGGACCTGAAGGATCATGAAAGGAGATGAAGGTCCTCGAAGGTCCGCCATGGAACAAGTGTCGCTCCTCTTGTTGGCTACATATTTGATAATATAAGTACTCATCCGCAAGATATTCAACCACGACAGTCATTTCGACTTCGTAGTATTACTTCAACAATTTACGAATTTTTATACCATCTCTACTTCAACAATACCAGCAACAGTTTCTTCTTCCTCAGCAGCCTCTGCGCCAACAGCACTAGCAGTGGAATTACTCCCACCTACTCCACCGTCAGCATCGTAGCCTTTGCCGAAATACTTTTTAAACGTCGCTTTTCTCTCCTGTAGTTAGGGATCTCAAGTTGACCGATCTGGGTCGCATATCTACTTATCCTCTTACTCTTTCCCCTTGTTGGAAATTCATTCATTCACTCATTTGCAAACCACGTGACAACTCAAGAAAGCTGCCTGATTCCGTTGCGACCCGAGTAGAGACGCGGCAGAGAACCGATAGCGCTATGGCATGAGTTGAAATAAAGGTCTTCATATTACATTCTCTTATACACAGATTGATAGGTCAATTTCCAAGCCTTAATTTAGTTCTGCTCTTTTGCGGTCTTTCTGTTTCCCTAGTTCGGCTTCCTCTGCGTCGCAGCGGTCCTTTTCGTCTCTATGCTGTTGTCGAAAATCCTCCTCCGCTTCCTCAGTAGGTAACATCGCTTGCGCCTCAGCGACAGCAGCGGCGGCAGCGGTGAGTCGACGAGTTAAACGGGCGGTGGGAGTTAGATGTTCATCATGATGAAGAACAAGTAAGTAAGTAGAAGATTATTAAATGTAAGTAATCGTCTTTGCCTTAACTCTGCCCGCAGAGAGAGCAATCGGTCCTCATGCTCAGCTCGACGCAGCACCCAAGCCGATTCCCGTTGATCGCGCGAGATCAACTGAGTGGCAATGATCTTGTTCAACGAAGAAACACTGCGCTCCACTCTTAGTGGGTGCGCCATTGCATTCTTCAGAACATGACCCGCCCTGACTTCTTTCCTATTGGGAAATCGGTCAAGAACGGCACTAGTGCAGAAGCAGAATGTAGCATTATGTTTCATGCTGTGTTTATGGATAGTCCTAGAGTTGTTCAATGTTAGTTCTTCTAGTGCAGAAGCAGAACAACTGAGTGGCAATGATCTTGTTCAACGAATGACTAGTGCAGAAGCCGAATGCAATGTGGAATCCCTTAACACTAGGACATTCGATGTTGACGAGCTCTTCTTTCGAGTATGCAAAACGAGAGGCATGCGATCCACCTCGTCAAGTTGGATAGCGTCATGCTTCTGCTTGTGCCTCTTGGAAGTTGACGTGGTTGCAGATGAAAGCAAACTGGATGTAGTAGATGCTCCTCTGTTTTTGTTTGCTCCTCTTCGTGCGAATATCGACGCGACTTCCTTGGAATGCACAGCAGGATAGAGGCAAAAGAGCGCGCATGAAGCCAACGACAGCAGGCTTCGACCAACAAGCTGCGGCATCTTGCTCCCTGACGAGAGCATGATGCTCATTTTCTTCTTGGAGCATGCATAGCTCTTTCTCTCTCTCTGGAACGCTATCTTTTAATTTCTCAGTTGAAAAGCATCTGTCCTCACATTTGTGTATTGCTTTTCTCAGCAGTACTTGACGGTAATGGTCTGTTTCCACATAGACATATTAGGAAAGAAGAACATCAAAACTAGGTCTATGATGCAAAGGCCTGCAGACGCCCTTAGCAGTACCTCTTGGGATGGACAATAAGGGATTTTCTTTTCGGTATAATTGTAAAAACGTTCGATAAAAATCAGGTGTATGAGTTTTCATCTCCAAAATCTGCTTCTGCAGTATGACAAATATAGGAGGTCATCGTTGTGTGGCGATGTGTCTTCATTACTATTAAGCAGAGTGTATCAGCACTGCCATGGGCATGTGGAATAGAGGGCATCAAACAACAACCTTGTTCAGACTACTGGTTAGCACATGAGGGATTACAATGATCTTCATCTTCACCCCTAAATGTTCAGCAGGTGACTCCTCACTTCACCACAAATTCCGGCAGTTCCTCTTTTAGTCTGCTCACCTGATCGACCTCCATAGGCGTTCCGCCTCTAGCCGGTGTCGGCAGCCGATCTTTGTCGTCCGGCTGCTCGACTCCAATGAGGGGACGATCAGCGCCCAAGTACTTCCTCCGGTCCCAAATGTAGTAGTCCAGCAGCTCCTCTTTCACCGTGTTTTCCGTGTTAGAGCTACGGGGTGGGCATCAGCGGAGATGACATCATGTTGACCTCCCGTTGATGACAAGGACAACAGGATCAATCGTACTAATTATACCACGCACTAACCCACAGCTACTAACCATTGCTACTATTTTTACTAAGCACTGCTACTAACCACTGCTCAAGCTAAGTAAGGTCGTTACCACGAAAATATCATACCTAAGAATCTACAAAAATCTGAAGGATTCAACATCTTAACTTTCTCTCCTTCCTCTTCCGATTCGCTGTCGTAGAGGTCGTTTAATTTTGGTGCCTCACGACTAGAGCAAAAAAATGCCAAGTGCCCAAACTTTGTATCCAAGTTCAGCATCTTTTCCCGTCTTTTTGCGACCTCATCGGGGTACTTGTTAGCGATCGCGACACACTCCGCAATGACGATGGAATCGAGGGGACCGCCGCGGGTGAGATCTGGTCGTGTTCAGTGGTTGTACTAGAAGTGTGTTCTTGTTGTTGGGTATAATTAGATTGATGTGGCGCAAGGAAACTTGGTCTACTATTTGACGATCAGCAATAGTGATCCTGAGCAGTAGTTTTACAGACGGAGTAGTTTTACATACAGTATGCAGCACTTTCCGAAGTGATCGTTAGTTTTCCTGCCTTTCATCCATTTCTATATCGTAGAAGTGAAAGTCTTGATCTAGTGCTTTTATTTACTCGTGTTCTTCAGTGGTTGTGGTTGTGGTAGAGTTGCGGTACTAAATATATTGTGGTGGAAGGAAATTCGGTTTTGGTTTTGACGATCTTCAACAATAGAAATTAATAGAACATAATTTTAGACTAAAAAATTTATGCTCCAGATGTTGAAAGGATATGACCAAGGGAGGGCGTGAAATGGAAATGCTACAAGGAGTTCATTCATTCATTCATTCATTTACCTCATCTCCAACAAGTTGAAGAAGTACCTCTCAAAGTCTGACACTGTTTTAGCGTCAATTGTCCTCCAGCGATTTTGGCTTTCAACGTCTCCCGAAACTTCTGTATTTGATCTTCGTAGTCCTCCTTACTCTGGGCGTCTTCCTCGTCATGATTCATTTCATCGGCAAAAATTGTATCTGCCTGTGCCTGTTGTTGCTGCTTGTTGGAGCTGGACCTAATGCTATTTCAATTTCATCATTTTGATAAAGGATTTATATAGGAGTAGGGTATGATCCCTCAAGATGAAAAAGAGAGTATTTTTCCCTTGTATAATACACCTGAGGAACGAATCTTCGTATTTTATTAGCAAAGGTACTTACTTATAATTTATTACAGTGATTACTTAGAGGTAAGAGCCGTAAGTTTGTGCCGTTTTTGCTCCAACTTTTTCGTTTGATTGCATATCACACGCGCATCACTGAATAGTCGGGCATTACTCTAGAGGCTGCGACATTGCATTCTGCAGGTCATCCTCATCCCTCACCCTTTTCCTACTCGAAAACATGAGCAAGGATGGCAGCGGAGAAAGAGATGAATGCAATGTGGTAACCCTTAATTACTGTTTGCAGGTGCTTGAGCTAAGATGTTGTCGTCGAGGTCTATGACCTTGTCTTTAGGGTCGTCCTCGAAGATGAGCTCACGCGGTCTCAGCATTCCATCGTCGTCACTGTTGTCGCCATCGGGTTTGGGGGCTGGTTCCTAGAGGCAGGTAGTTCTTAAAAAGAATGATCATAGAGACAGATGATGGACGAGGTAAAAATAGATGATGGAGGTATTGGTATAGGCATCGAATGTTGATCATGTTGTTGGTCATGATGTAGCTAGTATAGTCCACCTAGAGTACTGATGTAGCTCGTATAGCTAGTCCACCTAGAAGAGTACCTCAAGAATCTGGTTCAAGAGTACGTACCTCAAGAATCTGGTTCAAATCTTGTTCTGGTGCCAGTATTTGGTTGATTGCGTCGTCCCCTTGATTGTAGTGCTTATCCATGGAGTGCGCTTTGGACACGCACTCATCTAACCGGAACAAAAATCCAGCCATGTTCTGCATCTTTCTCGTGTCAGGGGGAAAGAGAACATTGACCACATCAGAAACCTGCTTTCCGCCTTTTGCGAGCGTTATCAGATAGTGCACGTTGTACCATCCATCGTGACCATGGTGGGCTGAAGGTTGAAAAGAGGGAAAGTCAGATCCATGATACACAAAGTTGCATATAATATCCAACAACAAATACAACTAGCAACCAGCGCAGTGCATGCCACCTCCTATAGAAGTATGCCAGGAGCCATTCACCTTCACACACAAAGTCCTCCACAAGAAGCAATCAGAATCGTAGTGAAGATGATAGAAGTTGCCCTCCACAAGAACAAGAAGCAATCAGAATCGTAGTGAAGATGATAGAAGTTGCACCCATACAACAAATACAACGAAGCCCACCCATATTACTTCTCTGGCAATCAGAATTATCACAGTGAACATTACCCATACTCTGGCAATGAAATGGGCACTTATTCGCGTAGCTTTCTGGTCCCTGATCTTCTTCACGCCACTTGACCTGGAAACCCAGGTTACTTTCGTTTTCCTCATGATTTAAGCTCAAATTCTGCTTTGATGCGATCAAGCGGAGGATTTTGTCTGGAATGTTGTTGTAGTGAAATTCAGGCTCAGGCTCAGGAGAGTGCAACTATTACATTAAAAAAGTGCAACAGTACCTGGTACCGTACGGGATCGAAATCGATACGCAAAATATGTAAATGATTGAATGAATGTGCCTAGCGCGGGGAGATGTTTGCAGTGCCTTTCATGAAGAAAGGTCTTTAATTCTAGTTGTTCTTAGACGATGGCGGATATAATAATGCTGTTGTTCTTAGACGATTGTAATTTTCATACTCATGAACAACATGTTGATCCACTATATCGTTCAATAAATGGATACTCTTCAGTAAGTATGATGAACATGAAGACGATACCTCCTCCCACTCCTCCCGAACTTTTCATGACGTCCGCAACCCTAGTGCAGCTCCTAATGAAATCCGCACACTGCATCTGCAGATACGGCCATTTCCTCACTTCATCCATGGGTGGGGCGTTTACTGTCTCTTTCTCAATTGCACTTGCTTTCAAAATTAGATGTTGGAGGCCCTAACTGGTGGATGGTGGAGGCCCTAAAAATGCAATCCATGATCAAAAAGTCAACAACAACCCCCAGCATCATACAAAACAAGAAGAAGCTATAGTCTACTTGAAGAATGGTGGAGGTGGATCTCTTATGGAAGTGGTCGATCCTGTTCCTGCGCCCACCATATTTTAGGGTTCCCTTGAAAAGAAACTACGGCTCTATTAAGATGCCAATGCCATTTCCGCGACCATTGACAATTTGCATTTTCCCCCTACTTGAAAACGTCTCTAAGTATAAGACTAAGATGCTTCCGAAAAAGAAGATGGACCATTTTTTTTCCCCTTGAAAAGAAACGGCTCGGAAGTTTATCCTTTGTACATTTTCCCCGTTGAAAAGCATTAGGGACCCAGCCTTAAGATAATGTAGGTGCTGGCTTTGGCAGGTGGCGGCCGCATGTGTTCTATCTTCAACTCCATGGAGTCGGTTTCGCTGTCGCAGATCAGAGAAACCCGATCCTGCATGTCTCCATGTTTCAGCAGTTTCATTAGAGGAGCTCAAAACAAATGAGAATTTCAAATCAATGTGGTCCTCTTGATATTTATCAATGTCCTCTTGATAAATATAGAAATGAAGTGTTGTATCTATTGAGCCTTAATTTCAGCATTTCTCCACAATCGAAAGTGAACTCGTAGCTCCCATTGGGCAGATCGAATGTGAGCAAAGCAGCGGAAGAAAGGAAATACTCGCAGACGAATTCGCCGAGGATTAGAGAGAATGACGATGACGATGATGATGATGATGATGATGATGATGATGCTGAGTGTACCTACTTATACTAGAGGCGGTTGTTGTTCTTTTTAGTGCTCATCCTCAGGAAATAGATCGCTTAGTACTACTTTCTTCTATTTGTGAGAACAAAATGAGAGACTTTAATATCTCTACATTTCAGGACCTGCATCAGGAGAAAGGACATCGTTTCATAGAAGTACTCTCTGCTAACTAGCATTGGTCGTGAGGAAATCAAAACTTTTTTTTTGGAATTTTTTTTCATCTCCAGAGCATGAGCATCTCATGTTGACGTCCTCCTCCTCCATTGGAACATCATAACTTAGGATCCTTCAACCGACAGAGAATTCCCTTCGGATGGATTTCGCCAGTGGAAAAAAGGAATTTCACGGTTCCGGACTCATCGATCTCCTTCAATGCGCCGATTGTCTCCTTCAACATCTGAAGGGTAGGAAATTTTACGTCTGTAACCTTCATCTTGACACGTGTTGAACTTGATGCTTCTTTGGATGGTGACGTGAGTTCGGAATCGGATTCTGGAAAGCGTTGAACTTGATGCTTCTTTGGAGTTCGGAGTTGGATTCTGGAAGTAATTTCAGGCAGCGGCACAAGGACCACTAATCGGAGTGGTCGGTCCAGCAAGCTTCAAAACCGTTTGACGTGCGAAAACAAAAGCACTGGATGAAACAGTCTGGGGGCCATTTACTTGTTCTTGAAGTTGATGCTTGCCCTAATATAATCACGGTTGTACAAGTCTGTCATTGTATTATCTGATCTGAGTACTTACACAAAATCACTAGTCTTTCCGCCGAAGTTGCGTGAAAAAGGGATGTCTCATGATTACGGTGTTCGCTACTGAAGAATCTACTAACTAGTACGTCGCACTTGCAACTACAATACGGAATAATCTTCAGAGATGGTCATGAACAAGTAGGTAGGTTTTGAAGATCTTGCTACGAGAGGCAAGGTTGCGAACAGTCTCTTTCTACATCACTTGAGTAACACCAATTTGTCAACGTGTGGGAGTTCGTATTTTCCAAAAAGAAAAGGATCTTGTTGTTCGGCCCTTTTTCGTCAAAGAACATTAAAATCTTTCTGCGCCAAAAATATCAAGCCTAAGATACGAACACCGATAGCACGACGGGGTCCATGTAGTTCAGCATTGTCACGGGCAAGCATCGTGCTGTATGTAAGCCTCGCGAAGGTCGTCAACCATCATAATAGGTTCAAATTTCGTTTTTCAAAAGTCATTGCACTACAATAAGCTTCGAGGCGAAGAACTGAGTGCTTTTGATTACTCTAGATTTACACCTATCAAATCGCCTTACCTCCAGCAGCACCGCACGGCAACAAGTACTATCAGAAAATCACAGCAGAGGGAGCGGGAGCCAGGAGGGAGAAACAAAGATAACTTTATTATGGGGATGTCCTCTAAAAGAAATTTTTCACGATTTTTGTACTTGCGTCTTCTTGTTAAGTAGGATCTGTTTTGTCACTTGGTGTTTCATCACTTGATGTCTGTTAGAATTAGTACCAGGTGGACGTCGTAGAAGAATGCTCATAGTTTTTGTAGTCGGTGTCTGTTTTGTCACTTGTCGTGTCCGTGCTTTGCTTACTTGGTGGGATAAAAAACCTAGGTGGATATGAGGGAAAAATTAACCGATAATTATTTGCTGTTTTATCACTTGTTTCTCTCGTCCTTGATGTACAACTACAATCCTGGGTAAAAAGGCGAGACTCCGACTAGTCCACGCTAACAACGTTGACGTAGTCCACGCCACAATCGGATTATAAGCAGGGACGAGTCCCGATCCCGTGATTAGACCTACAACGTATGGTGTTTCACAACAGGGAAACAAGGAGGTTCCCGTTTTTCATTTTCAACTACAGGGAATATAAACAGGCAGACGCAGAGTATGAGAGAGACTACTCACTACTAATCCACTGACTTAGCAGCTACTCACTACCAATCCACTGACTTAGCTTGCTAAAAAAAAGAGATCCATCTTCTCCGGACTCATCTTCAACACTCCTGTAGTTGAAGAACGGGACCCTTGGTTCCCTGTGGAAAAACGGGAGGACCAAAATCTCCCTTTTCTTCCCTGTTGGACGAAAACGGGAGGACCAAGATCTTCACGCTGCTGGCGAAGAAGAAGATACAATACAACGCAACTAATCTCGCTTTTTTTTTGTAGTGCGAGCGAGTTCCGTAGAGAACCTGCCTACATATTTTCCGCGTAGATACCGGCGTAGGGGGGAGTTCTTAATCTCCTTAACAACTACGCTAGTAATGCCCCAACGATTTTAAAATGCTGAACCCTAGGAGTTCAGTGCAGACTGCCATAATCAATGGATTTCCTCTTGTTCTTGTAGCCTTAACATGAGCGGATCTATTTCTTCGTTCAAATCTGATATTCTTGCGTCATTTATTTTATCTCCCGCCCAGTCCATACCGTCCTCGATCTCAACATCTAGAACTCCGTGTTTTCTTTGTTCCACTTTCCGCTTCCTGGTCCTTTAGTGCCGTTTGCGCTTCGGCGAGTTCTTTTTTTTTCTCCGCTAAATTAGATTTAGATGAGGCTCCGTCCTGCAGTAGAAGTAGATTACACTCGATCTACAGTAGAAGTACATTTCTCCTGCAGTAGAAGTAGATTACACTCCTCAGAATCAGAATGAACATCTTCCCTGGAGGTGCCTTTTTAAAGTAGATTCTGTAAGATCAATGAAGCAAGGACGGCACTGGTAGTGCGAGAAGTAGAAGATCATGTAATGCTTTGGTAAAAACCCTTAACAGTAGATACATAAAGAGAATCTTATGAGGAAGTTTTTAGAGTGTAGGCGTGTAAGTCAAGTAAGGTAACCCTTAAACACACAGTCAAGTGAGGTATTCGGTAACCCTTAACTATCGCTGCGTCATATTTTTTCGCTTCCTCTTGGATCCAATTATCAACGTCTTGAGACCACGTTTTCCACGGGAAGCCTCTTCGCACGTCGACAAAAGAAGAAGAAGAAGAAGAAGAAGAAGAAGAAGAAGAAGAAGAAGAAGAAGAAGAAGAAGAAGACGAAGAAGAAGAAGAGGAAGAAGACGAAGAAGAAGACGAAGAAGATGAAGACGAGGACGAAGAAGAGGGAGAGAGAAACACAACTTCTGGCTCTCGAGATGATGAATTAGAACCATCCAGCCTTAATTCCCTTGCAGTTCTTGTATCTTCTGCCGTTGATGAAGTACTAGATGAAGAGAACTTCGCGTGTTGTCCCGCGTGTTGTCCTTCAGCTTTATTTCCTTGCATGCTCGCAGCTCCTCTTGGTCGCAAATGCTGGGCCGTATCAATGCCACCGACGGGGTCGATTTCGTGATGTCCGACGTCATCATCATCATCATCATCATCATCATCGTCTAATATGATCGTACCAACGGGTTGTACATCGTCTATTATCATGCAATCGGCATCGGGCACATTGCCTACTATCATGCAATCGGGTTGTACATCCTCGTCTATTATCATGCAATCGGAATCGGATAGAGATTCGGAACTCTCCGTACTTCCACGACTGGAGCAGCTTGATGACGTGTGATCACCTCCTTCAAAATTACAGCTGTCCAAATCAGTCGTCGAAGAATCGAACTGATGCGCCTCTGAAGACCTGGTACTAGAGGTAGGTTTTTGGTGCTCGCTTACCCCGCTTGTTATGCCTTTCTCCCTTAGGAGAGGCATAAAAAGCGGTAAGAAAAGCACCTTTAGCCTACCCTTAATGGTAATCTCGGCCGACCATTGCGATATCATTTCTAGTGATGTTCTTGGCCCCTCCAAAATTACAGCTGAGCGCGGCGTGTCGTCATCATCTAGAATACCAGTCGCATCAACGTCGTCTACCAGCTTTTTCATGCGCTGGAACACATCTCGCATCGCCGCTCTGAAAGCATCGACCTCTCTTGGACTACTGGCACTGGAGGTGGAAGAAGTAGATGCGGCACTTTGACTGGCACTCTTGGTCGAAGAAGATGCGCCGTTTTGGCCAGTTGTTGCAATTTGTGGAGACGAAGAATGTGCATTCATTTGTGGAGTGTCGAGGAGCTTCATTTCTTGCGGAGACGAAGAGTTAGTAGAGTGGGAAGAGTTACTAGAGATGAAGTCGTGTGCATTTCTTGCCCTAGTAGAAGGAGATGGAAAATGGTGGTCCAAATCCTGAAAGTTGTGGCAATCAGAATCATGTACTTTGTCGACCACGACGTCCTCATCCTGTGCACCTCCTACTTGTTTCTCAGAGGACTTACTGAGGTGGGGAGATGTTGTAACCTCTGCTGCTCCTGATGTAGTCGCGGAGTGCTCGTGCTTCCTTTGTGGTGGAGACGAAGAATGTGCTGCATCATTTCTAGAAGCAGATGAAGCAGAAGTAGTTGCTGCAGACGTCGCAGAAGCAGCAGTCGCAGAGCCAGTAGAGTTAGAGGTTGCAGAATTACACTCCTCAGAACATCATCCCGGGCGCCTTTTTCAAGTAGAAAAAGAGCCAAGGTGGATGGCAGTGCCAGTGCGGGATGTAAATGTAATTCGGTGCTAACGACCCTTAACAGAAGTCGCCGAAGTACTAGAAGTTCCTGCTGCTGAAGATGTAATCGCGGTCGCAGACGAAGTTGTCGAGGAGGCCCCTTTTTTCGTTGCCGTCGTTGATCCTGATTCTGACGAAGATGCAGCTGCCTTACAAATAAGTGCAGGAGGCGTTTATGAACGAACACCCACCCAAAAGCGGAGACTTCAAGATTCAGCTAAATCCATCAACAGAACCAGCTAACTCGGCTAAAAGAGCCCGAAAATGGCCAACAGAGCCAGCTAATTCGGGTTCTGCTGATGGATTTAGCTGGANATCGTCCAGGTCAGCTGTTGAGACTCTGGTCATGGTCAGATCTGGATCGTCATCCTCAGCTGTTGAGACTCTGGTCAACATGGTCAGATCTGGATCGTCCAGGTCAGCAGCTGAGAGGACCCTACTAGTCTGTGCGGGAGGTATGAAACATAAAGACGACGTAGGTGTAGTCGCCGACGTCGGCAACGATGACGCTAGTTGTTCTCCATCATGTGGCAATAGATTATATGTTGTTGACGTTGAGGGAGGCGTACTATCATGACACTTTTCTGTTCGCGATGAGGTTGATGTAGCTTTTCTTGGTGAGGCTGTTGATGCAGTGGTCATTGTTGACGTCGGAATTTTTGCAGTAGCTTTTCCGGCCGACGTTGCAGTAGCTTTCCCGGTAGTTACATCAGTTGTAGCTTTCGCGGTCGTCGTTGCACCAATAACTCTCGTCGCGGTCGTTTCAGTAGCTTCTGCGGTCGTTGCAGCAGGAGCCTTTGCGGTAGTTTCTATACCTTTCATCCAGGTTGCGCCTGCAGTAGTTTTCGACGAGGTAGTTTCAATACCTTTGTTCCCGGACGCTGCAGTAGTTTTCGACGAGGTAGTTTCAATACCTTTGTTCCCGGTCGCTGCAGTAGTTTTCGACGAGGTCGTTTCAATACCTTTGTTCCCGGTTGCGCCTGCAGTAGTTTTCGACGAGGTCGTTTCAATACCTTTGTTCCCGGTTGCGCCTGCAGTAGATGATGAGGGTGTCTTATTTTTCAACCTCTGTTGCTCGGCAAGACGTTTGCGAATTGGTATGGGGATAAACCTCCGTCTCGCTGGTGGAGACTTCTCCAACAGTCCTCGGTGGATGCTCGTCCAAGTTGCAATAGCTTTCCCGGTCGTTGCTGTTGTACTAGCTTCCCTGGCCGCTGATGTAAGTTTCGCGGTACTTGCATCAGTGGCTTTCGCGGTACTTGCATCAGTGGCTTTCGCGGTACTTGCATCAGTAGCTTCCGCGAGCGTTGCACCAGTAGCTTCCGCGAGCGTTGCACCAGTGGCTTTCGCGAGCGTTGCACCAGTAGCTTTCGCGGTCAACGTTGCAGTAGCTTTCGCGGTCGTTGTAGTAGCTATTCCGCTCGCTGCAGTAGCTTTCCCGGTCGTTGTAGTAGCTTTTCCGCTCGTTGCAGTTGCTTTTCTGCTCGTTGCAGTAGCTTTCCCGGTAGTTACATCAGTAGCTTTCGCGGTCAACGTTGCAGTAGCTTTCCCGGTAGTTACATCAGTAGCTTTCGCGGTCAACATTGCAGTAGCTTCTCCTGATGTGGCCGTTGCACCAATAACTCTCGTCGCGGTCGTTTCAGTAGCTTCTGCGGTCGTTGCAGCAGGAGCCTTTGCGGTAGTTTCTATACCTTTCATCCAGGTTGCGCCTGCAGTAGTTTTCGACGAGGTTGTTTCAATACCTTTGTTCCCGGTTGCTGCAGTGGTTTTCGACGAGGTCGTTTCAATACCTTTGTTCCCGGTTGCGCCTGCAGTAGTTTTCGACGAGGTTGTTTCAATACCTTTCATCCCGGTTGCGCCTGCAGTGGTTTTCGACGAGGTCGTTTCAATACCTTTGTTCCCGGTCGCGCCTGCAGTAGATGATGAGGGTGATATATTTTTCAACCTCTGTTGCTCGGCAAGACGTTTGCGAATTGGTATGGGGATAAACCTCCGTCTCGTTGGTGGAGACTTCTCCAACAGTCCTTGGTGGATGCTCGTCGAAGTTGCAATAGCTTTCCCGGTCGTTGCTGTTGTACTAGCTTCCCTGGCCGATGTAAGTTTCGCGGACGTCGGAGTAGCTTTCGCGGTACTTGCATCAGTAGCTTCCGCGAGCTTTGCATCAGTGGCTTTCGCGGCACTTGCATCAGTAGCTTTCGCGAGCGTTGCACCAGTGGCTTCCGCGAGCGTTGCACCAGTAGCTTCCGCGAGCGTTGCACCAGTAGCTTCCGCGGTCGTTGCACCAGTAGCTGTCCCGGTAGTTACATCAGTAGCTTCCGCGAGCGTTGCACCAGTAGCTTCCGCGGTCGTTGCACCAGTAGCTTCCGCGAGCGTTGCACCAGTAGCTTTCGCGGTCGTTGCACCAGTAGCTTTTCCGGCCGACGTTGCACCAGTAGCTGTCCCGGTTGTTACATCAGTAGCTTTGCCGGTCGACGTTGCAGTAGCTGTCCCGGTTGTTGCAGTAGCTTCTGCGGTCGTTGCAGTAGCTTTCCCGGTCGTTGTAGTAGCTTTTCCGCTCGTTGCAGTAGCTTTTCCGCTCGTTGCAGTAGCTTTCCCGGTAGCGACATCAGTAGCTTTTGCGGCCGACGTTGCAGTAGCTTTCGCAGTCGTTGCACCAGTAGCTTTCGCGGTCAACATTATAGTAGCTTCTCCTGATGTGGCCGTTGCACCAGTAGCTTTCGCTGTTGTCGTTTCTACTATACCTTTCATCCCGGTTGCGCCTGTAGTAGATGAGCATGTTGGTGTTTTTTTTTTCAGACTCTGTTGCTTGGCAAGGAGTTTGCGACCGGGTAGGGGCATAACCCTCCGCTTCGGTGGAGGAGTCTTTTCCACGTGCCGGCTCCACGTCCTCCAGTCCTCCTCAACCTGCTGAAGTCCCTTCATGTTCATCTTGTCTAGTGTAGATGAGATTACAACTCTAGTATTTATTAACTGGAACAACCGAGCCGTAGTAGTGGTATCATTCATTCATTCATTCACGTAGTAGTGGTATCAGTCTAATCAAATAAGTAGTGTACCCAATAGTCTAATCAAATAAGTAAGTAGCGTATCCAATCCCAAGAAGACTTAGGGTACTAGGAGTAGTAATAGTCTCTATATTTATAAGAACCGTAAATAGTATTATAGCACAGGAAAGAATAGGAAGGAGGCCAGCACCTTCTAATACAACTGTTGTAGCCGAAGATTAAATGATATGACTACGGAGTAGATAAGGATCTACGTCTTGATGTTAGACAGTTAGCAACTAGTACACCTCTGGTGATTCGAGTAAGAATTGAGTCCTCTTCCTTGACCACGGAAAGAAAAAGTAGAACCAACAGTAGTTCCTAAAGAATAGAAAAACATCAAACTTGTGTTAAAATGAGATAGCTTTCCTGCAACTGGAAATAAGAGAGCGTACGACCGCGTCATCCTTACTAGGCCATTTTTTCAATCCTATTGAGTAGTAAAACTATTGTAAAACTATTTTCTCAATGAAATTCAACGATCCTATTGTTGGAAAACTGTTTTCCGCAAAGCCAGAGTAGAGGATCTCCTTCAGATGATCTCCTTAAAAATATGTACTAGGACACTTCGTCCTGCTTGTGGTGAGTGCAATACTACATTGCAACCCGATGAATCTTCTCGCACATCAACGATTTACTGTGCAGACTGCCTCTCCTCCATGATATTAGGGGCGTCTTAGAAGAGGATTTCGGCACGAAGATGTTCCATTAAAAACCGATTGCTAGCTGCGGGAACTGGTGCTACACTTTCCTTCATTTCTGTCGCCTCCTAACATTGACTACAGACGCAGCAGGAGCGCGAGTGCCACAGCACTATGTCTTCCTGGTTGATACGGAAAAAGACTAAAACAAGATTGGCACTACGGTGCTGCCGCGACCATGCTTTTTATTCGTCTCATGAACACGATAGTACCTTATAAAACGGGTATGGGGACTTGGTGATGGTGACGCGATAATGATGAAGACGTTGAATGATACAAGTACATGCACAAGCGATTCGATGGATGAAGTAGCTTTCATTCTTGAATATAGATGCTAATGGTGCATGATGAAGTACATTGAATTTCCAAAAGAATGCGTTACATCAAGATTATGTGGTTATCTATGCTACACTGAGTGCATCCTGCTCACTGCTGCCGCGGCTAGCAACCCTTTGCATGCAAGAGTTGTACGTCATTGACTATCGTACTATCCTGTACATTTGATTACAACACCTTCACTCAGTCGTCTTCTGCTTCTTCAGTCGGTATTCGGCTCGCCCGTAGTAGTGATGAAACTGTCATTAGGTGTAGAGAATGTCCCTCCATAGTGTCCCTCCATAGGCGACATGAAGGGAAGTCCCGAAGCGTCGTCGGTGGTATGAACGAACACCCACCCAAAAGCGGAGTCTTCAAGATTCAGCTAAATCCATCAACAGAACCAGCTAACTCGGCTAAAAGAGCCCGAAAATGGCCAACAGAGCCAGCTAATTCGGGTTCTGCTGATGGATTTAGCTGGATCCAGAAGGTTCCTCTTTTGGGAGAATGTTCGCTCTTAGTCGGCGGTCGCCAGCATGGTACTATTACAACAAAGTACTTGCTGTACGTCTTCCTGACTGGGTAAGAAGTCCAACATGACTTCTTCTGACAGTAGTTCCTCTTGCTCGTCTTGGGATGATGAAGAGTTCCGAAAAAATCGTTGTGCAGCTTGTGTACCTCCTACTTGCGTCTTCTTCAACTTCATCAATCCGGTGAGGACAACTGTCTGCTTGATGTCTACTTCTAAAGAACTAGTTGTACCTTCTCGTCGTGATCTTTTTCGAGTCACTGGCGCCGCTCTACAGCTCCTGGTTGTGGTCGCCTTGTTCTTAGAGTACATGCTACTTCCCGTTTTTTGCCATACAATATGCTGTTCTTGTTCCTCTGAAGATTTATTCTCAGCGTCTTCGACTTGTTCGCTCTTACTTGAGTTGTAAAACAGCATTTTCTGTTGATTGATGGCTGTAGTTGTCGTATTCGCAGCTCCCGTAGAAGTAGTCGCCGTGGAAGTTGTAGCTTCTTGCGGTACATCGCCACTCGTTGTAGCAGATGTTGACGTTGTTGAAATGCTTTGTTCCCTTGGCAGTGCTTGTCCTGAAGATGCAACTCGTTCGCCACTGCTCTCAGAAGTAGTTGAATATGGCAGCTGGACACGACCAGCGCTCAACAACTCGGATGTTTCCTCATGTTCATGTTGTTCCTTGTCGTGCTGAAAATGTAAATGGTCTTTCTCTACTTTGTTCATCTCAGAATTTTTACCATTACAATTATTCATCTTCTTATTACAACTAGTCGTAGTCGCGCTCTTCATCAGAGCCGCCTCCTGTTCCTCGGCAGCGCTCATTCCGAGATCTCCATCTTGAAAGTCGGCTGAGGATGGAGGGCCACGGTCGGCGCACGAACTCGAAGAACCCAGACCGGTAGAGTCTTGACTGCTGCATTTAGAACAAGAGGGCATTGAGAGATGCCGGTTGGAGTGATTAAAACGTCGAGGGAGGAGAAAGAACGAAGATTATAGATGCAAAAATCTTCACAAGCATCTTCCTTAAAAAAACAACTTTTCACTGTACTTATTCAGAACACGAAGGAGCCAGAATCCATATTATAGCTTTTCACTTTCAGAACATGTTAAAATCATAATTCTTCCCGAAAGATCCGGTTGCCGATGGCGCATCAACTGCGCATACGTTATCCTTCTCATGTCACTACGACTCATCCCAACCTGGTTCAGGTAGTGCGTCCTTCTTAGCCCCTGTTTAAAGCTATTTTTCCATTATCCCTGGTTGAGTGAGTTGGTTGCCCCTTAGTTTCCCCATTGAATTTTGTATTCCTCTGTAAATTAAGGCTAAGTTGGACTTCATCACTCAACGGGATAGTGAAAAACTAGCCTTAATCTGTACGGCACGTTCAGTGGCCGTTAGTGCCCTCCTTTCGGCCGACGCCGGAGCACCAGGTCTGTGTTCAAAAAAATTAGAGTCTATGATGTTGGACTTCATCAAGTACAAGTAGCTAAAGATGAAGCTTCAAATTCATGAATGATCTTAGTAAGCCGGCTACTTCATCCAGATCCACATAGTACTTGTACTATCCTGAAGATCTTGCTAGTAAACAAGTAGCGTCCCCCACATACAGTTTATAATAGACTAGCACTCGGGCCAAAGAAAATTTATAGACTAGTTTGCAGTACATCGTGCTGTCTAAGTCTATCACCCCCACCTCCATAAAGTATTCCTCCGACGACGTGCCTAAGTCCCCGTATCGTCCTCGATTTCGGGCTCCTCCACCAATGAAATGCGTCAGATACTGCCATGGCCAAACAACGTCGTTTTCCCCATGTCGGCGATAGTATGCTGAAGATGATCCCATATACGACGTCGACCCATGCCGGGCATGGTAATAATCTGGAGGAGAATCGGATGTGCAGAACAGCAACAGCAAAAGCTCCAAAAGGACAACCACTCCCATCGCAAGGGGTACGATGAAAGAAGCTTCACGGCGTCTCGCATCGTCGGAGGTGTTATTTTTGGCACCACCTGGAGATGTTGTGTGGAGGTTTTCAAGTGGTGGAGGTGCATGCAACACCAGGTGAAGATGATCATGTACTTGTTGTCTCTTCCTTGATGATCATGTTCTAATATTATTACGACCTCAATAATGATCATGTACTTGTTCGAAAGATTCATCGAATTCTACTCTACCCTGACCTTCTCTCAGCACTCAAAAGCCTCTCATACTAGATAGAATCTGAGTTTTTCCATCTTCAGCTGTCGGGTATTCATCTAAGTACCTCCAGCTGACGAAGGAACAAGGAGCCCAGCCGCAGCTTCTTGCTGTACGTTCCGCAGCTCAGGATCCCCAACATCGTCTGTGGGATCGTTTCCGATTGCAGTGGCCATTGGTTGCCCTTTTCTTGTCCTCCTCATTTGAGAAGAACTCCTCTCAGACGAAGAAATGCTTGATCCTGTAGAAGTCGCTCGACTGCGACTAATCGAAAGAAGCATCGCGAGATTTCGACGTGGTTGTTGACGCTTGTGCTGCTCGTTTTTTGATGAATTTGTATTTGATTCATCGCATTTTTCTTCTACTTCGAGGAGTGCTGCCAGTGGGTCGTCGTGCGAGTCCGAGTGCTCTAGAGGAGCAAGAGGTAGTACTAGAGGTGATCTACTAGTACCGTCCTCGCTCTGTTCCTCAACTAGTACCTCCAGTTCATCTTCCTCATCGCGTGGTCCTTGTTCTACTTCTTGGTCTTCTCCTGTTTCAGTCTCCAAGAAAAACACATTTGCAGGCTTGCTGTTCATCTTCATCTCCATCTGCTCTACCTCCACATTGTTGTTATCGTCAGGACTAGTTTCATTCTTGAACACTCGTATCCAAGGAAATTTAGAGGTAGGTTGTTGGTGTTCGTTTCTCCCGCTTGTTATGGCTGTCCCCAGCACCTAAGGGAGAGAGCCATAACAAACGGTAACAATAAAAGCCTTTTTAACCTAGACCCTTAAGAAACGGAGCGCTTCTTATGCCTAAAATCCCGCGCAAAGCAAGAAGCCGCTCCTCGGGCCATACCTCTCTCAACCGCCGTCCTCGTTCCTCCTGCAGATCTACTCGCTTTAGAGGTACCGACGTGCATCCCTGAGAGCCTCCCTCGGCCCTTCTTCCCCTTGAAAAAAGGGCTAAGGATGGTGTTGAGGATGCTCCAGCGGTAGCCTTAATAGCTGCAATTGCTCAGAGGCTGACCTTTGAGTATTTGAAGCTTCATTCAACAAGGCAGCACTTGAAGAACCTGATGATGTTGATGTGCTGTTTGTGTCTGGTCCAATGAATCGTGTGGTTGGTGGATAAACCGACAGACCAGAGTCGACTCGGATTTTCACAGGAACATCAACCTCTTCTTTGGTTGAAGCAGTTGTACTAGTCCTAGACTCGTTTGCGGCCTTCTTAGAGCTACCTCCGACCTAGGAGCATTATCCTTGAGAGGCACCATGTCCTTGATGGGGATCATCTCTTTTTCACAAGTAGAAAAAGAACATCCAAAGAAGATCCTACTATCTAAATCAAAGGACATGCTTTCAAGATCCAAGGACTATCTATGATGTTAAGCAACAAGCAAAACATATTTATGATGTTAAAGACATGCTTGAGCAGCCATAACCTTAGCCCTCAGCACCACTTTTAGCAGCTTCAAAGCGTCCTTCACTTGCTTGGTGTGTGACGGTAACCGCGCAAATACTGCTACAGTCCTGTCGGAAGGATCAACGTTGGTTAAGAACGAGAACAGCACTTCACCCATTGGAAGACGACTACGAAAATCAACCACCGAGAAGGATGAAGATGCTGTAGTTCTTGAGGTAGAGGGAGATGCAGATGAAGGAGATAAAGAAGGAGATGAAGATTCGTCTGAAGAACTGCTAGAGGAGGTAGAAGGAGATGAAGTAGATTCGTCTGAACTGCTAGACGAGCCTGGTTTTTGTCGTGTATTTTTATCAGAGGACTCCAACAGAATCGACCTCGACGTGGTCGTCACAGCACTTTTTCGTACTACTGAGAGACTAGAAGAAGCTCCAGCTCCAGTCGTTTTCTCTTTCTGCTTTTGGGTCTCCCCTGTTTCTTGAGGAGCTACCACTACAGTTCCAGTCCGAAAAGTCTGAGTAATGCAGGGATCTTGGTACTGGAAGCTGTCCCGGACGACTGCTGTAGCACACTCTGCGTCGCACGCAGCACCAAAAGACAGAGTATAGGGTTAGAGCTGTCCGTAATTCATTTTTCAAGTGCATCCTTGAAAAGTATGGGGGAGTATTCCCTTAGGATACTCCTCCATACGTAGTTCCAAGGATACGTCCAAAGATGTACTAGGTACAGCCTTAATAGGGAACTGCATCGTCGCAAGAGAGGGAGGACGAGGATGTAGTTGTCTTAGAGCTGGAAGAAATCCATCTTCAGCGGCATCTTCCGTCTTTTTTCCCTTGAGAAACGGGACCAAGAAGATGCCTGTGAGGATGGATTTCTTCTAGCCTTAATTGTTTTTAATGGTGATGTACTAGGTGCAGACTCCTGTGATCCTTCTTCGTTTTCCGCATTCTCTTGGAGTAAGGCGGAAAGAGCTACCTGGATCTGGCAGAAGTGTTGCAGAATTGACGAGCGGCGTCGCCCCTTCATCGAAGCTGCTCGTCCCATTCGTCTTCCGGGGAGGAAACCCCCCTCCTGCTCCTCGGGGCCCGGTGAGGACCCCGCCATGGTAGGTCTAATTTTGCATTTGCTTCAACTTGTACTTGTAGAATGTGAGTGATATATCTCTTATACGACCCCTAGTTCTGGAAGACCGAGAAAAGACCAAGAAGTTTTGATCTTCGTCGCAAGCATGTTTGTTTCTTCGCAGGCTTGCAGTCATTTTTGCTCATTTTCTAGTAGTGTCTTCGCATGGATGCCTCTTCGTTTTTGCACGAAAAGAAATCACTCAATGCTTATGCTTTGTTAAAAAGCGACGCGGACGCTCTTTTCGACTTTCCGGCACAACTCCTCGAAGGCTTCCGAGTTAGGGAGAAATAACGCCACTACACCATATTCATCATCTGGCCCTATCGTTATGATCTTCTAGAAGCGGAACACTGCAATCACGTAGGCTATAGCCTTCAAAATTGAATTTTTTGCAACAAGAAGACCAACTTCTAGGTTCATCTTCCCGATCATTATATTTTTACTGATATTACTGACTGAGTTTCTTCCAATCTACGAGTAAGTATCCCTAACCTACTTGCTTCCAATCTACTAGCAAAGAACTTGCTACCCTTGTTGCAATTACTTGATGTTTCGGGTTTCCCTTTTTCTCTGGTGGCAATAAGAGGTGTTTAGACATTGACATTTTTACTATAAAAACAACTACGCTGGTTAACATTTTAGACTTTGACTTTAGAAAAATAAGATGTCGAATCGAAATAACAATTGCAAATGCTAGGAAATAAGATGAAGTAAGATGTTGATCTTGATCTCTATCTCGATAGTCACACCTCCGAGTCCGACCAAACAAATTTTATAGAAATATTGTCCCAAACCAAATGCCTATAACGCCGGAACCTGAAAAGAGCTCAGGCTCAAACTTCTCGACAGAGCATCCATAGGTTTCGAATTTTTCCCCTCCCAAACCCGACTATGACTATCACGAATTCCATATTATAATCACTAGATGTTTCAATGTTTCTCTTCAATATTTTATGACTTTTTGTTTTCCAATGGTTTTGGTTTTCATCTCTATATCTATTGTTCATTACCTTTCTTTTGATTACGCTTATGTTTTGTTGATGGTGAATGGAGGTAGTCCATTGCGCATGATCGGCTATTTAGGAAAACTGCGCATCAGGTGCTTCTATCCACTATGAGCGTTTCTATGTCTATGACTATGTTTGGTCTATCATGGCTATGGAGGTCATCTTCGTGGCTATGGTACTCGTACTAACTATGTCGATCATGTAGTACTTCTACTCGCGATCATGATATGACGAGAAGACTATGAATATGCTGCACCAGTGACAGTGCTTTTGAGTTTGATGCCTATGTCGTTGTTCCTGCTGTATGTGGCCTGTCGTCCCAAACCCCATTGACCCTAACCCAATCCCAAAAACGCGTGCACTTTTTATTCTTTCGAAACCTCCTAGTTGTAAAACATACCCAAGTTTTTATGTCTCAGTCTCTTATTTCTTAATAGCAAGAATGAATAGAACTAGCATCATCACCAATCCTCCAAACACTTTTTACCCCTGCATCCCCCATGGTCGCAATTCATGTGCGAACTCGACGTATCCTATACGTCTCGTGGTTCTAGCATACCTGTGCCACAGCAATTCTATGTCGGTTCCCCTAACTGCTTTCTCCGACAAAACGGCTTTTTTCATATCTTGCATGGTCATGTAGCCCTTGTCACCAGAAATCAGCAAAAAGGCGTCTAAAAGCAAGGAGGAGAGACTCTCGCCAGTGCCACTGCCACACTTCATTAGAGGACGGCAAATAAACGCTTCATTTCTTGCCTGCATGTGGACTTCTCCCAAGAATACAATTTCAAGAAAATGAACTAGCAAGCAAAGTACTGTAAAAATACCTCTTCCTGTAGAATGCAATTGTCAAACAGGCTCCAAGACACCTTACTCCAAGCATCACCTTACTCCAAGCAGGAAAAAGGTCCTTAATGATAACAATAATGTAAGCCTCAACACGACTACTAGGCTTGTTGTAGTAGATGAAATGAATTATTCTGAGCCTTAAGTTCAGAAGCTTTTTGCGTAGCTCCTCTTGTTCCTCGGCAATACCAACTGCAAACTGGATGAACGCACGAACTTGGTGTTTTTGAGTAGCGGTCAACCTAAACACGTGATCGCGGTCGTCGCCCACTAGGTTGCACCGAAAAACAGTTCGGCAAGAAGGACAGGTTACTTGAGGACAACGCAGATTAGAAAAGGTCAAGGTGCTGGGTGTAGAAGATGTAGAAGTTGATGTGCTGGGTGTAGAAGTTCATGTGATGCAAGAGCCCGGTAGGGTGCTGTTCACGCTGTTCATGATGGGGTTGGGGGTCGACGATACTGTGAATTCTTCTTGAACCAGACTCAGAACTTGATGAAGAGACGAGATCAATAAAAATGCTGCCATGTTGGTTAGAAGAATGTAAAAGCAGCAAGTAGTACTACAACTACTCTAAAAAGTAAAAGAGGGAAGCTAGAAAAAAGAAAAGACTCATTCTCATCGAATTCAAATAGAAATTTGATCCAAGACCATAACTTCTACTGTTCTTTGCGTCCTCATCCCGCATCCTGGACAGCTTATCGTACTACGTGTCACGAATAGGACATTCTTCGTTTCCGCGTCGCTCATATCGTCATAAACGTTCTGCCATTCCTCCGACTGTCTAGGAAACAGAAACTGCGTCAGTTCCGCCAAGGAAAGCTGCCCATCTTTGGTGGGGCGACTACGGGTTCCAGAGAAGTTCTTACCCTTGATTTCACGGAACAAAGCGCAGATCTGTTGATGTTATTTGTGGGAGAAGTTCTTACCCTTGAAGGTAAGTTAAGGATCATGCAGAAGTGAAGATTGGAGTAAAAGAGTTCTTTGTGGTTGAAGTCAGTTTCGTTTTCGAAAAAAATTTACAGAATGCTGAAGTAGAGGACGAGGAATATCATCTACTATTATAACATCAAACTAGTACAAGTAACAATAGCTAGTAGAAGTGGTACCCCAGCATAGCTGCATTTTCCTTGAAATTCACTTCCATGCATCAACTGCCACATGTCGGTGTCTGCAATGTGCCTTTTTTGATACCTGTCCAACATAGTGAAAACGGCTTCTACATTGATTCCGTCTTGCCACAACTTTTCTTTCTCAGCCTCCAAGCAGTTGTCCAAGTCGATCTGCTGAAACATCACGTCCAAAACCGCGTTTAGACTTTCGTGTTGTCGTCTCACTTTCGCGTTGTAGACGTAGGAAAAGGAAGGAGACAAAGGGGAAGAGGCGGTAGGGACGAAGCGGCCAGCTGAGGGGGATGAAAGGGTACTACTGGCACCACCAGAGTAGTTATTGTTTTTGATGTTTGCAGATGTGGACTTGATCATGGAGTTATTGTTTGCTCCTTTCCTCGAAGCAGAAGGTGTCCCGCCATATCGCGGAGCGTTGCTTATGTAGCTACGGCTAATATTGGTGCCACGTGGAGACGCAAAACCGATTCCAGCTGCCGAGAGCAAATCATCACTAGAAATATTGTCGTTACTGTCATCGAACAAGTTGCTCGTATTCGTTTGCGGAGATGTCGGTGCGATAGTGGAAGCAGTGGCCAAACTAGTATTCATCGTAGAAGTAGAACTACTAGTATTATTGTTCATGTTCATCCCCGTCTTTATTCCCGCAGACACGCCGCGCGGTTTGGGTGCAAAGCCACGAGGCGACATCAAAGAAGCTGTATGGGATGCTGCTTTCTCGCGGTAGTTTTGCATCTTTTTTCGAGCAACGCTGGAACCTCCATTAGCTGTGGAATTGCGGCTCAGGGTAGAGTAGTCAATTCTGGTGGACGAAGAAGCTGCTCGGCGAGACGCATTTCTAGACAAGGACACGTTGTAGTGGTTGCCGCCATTCTTGTTTGTTCTAGAAGCTACTGGAATAGAAGACATGATGCTCTGCTCCACCATCTGCCTCGGAGAAGACATCGACACGACACTCTGGTTGTTGAAGTCTCGTCTGTGCTCAAACCTGCTACGGCGAGAGCCAAACGCTAAGGACGCGTTTGTCATGTCCAAATTCTCTACTGCTGATGTAGTATTACTCTTACTTCTTCTAGCACTACTGCTCATCATGACGTTAGTAGCCACACTGGCGTTCATTTGCATCTGTGCTGCACGCGAAGCTGTTCCATTATAGCCTCGGCTAGCTCTGTTTGCTGCTCGTGGACTTTGAGATTGAGACACTAGCATAATTTCACCTTTTCCCGGAGCAGCCGGTGCATCCTGGCTCTTCGTGTCGCATCGAAAGGTAGTTCGGCAAAAGGCACACGTGATGTTGTTGCACGCACCACCGTCTCTTTGGCACATCGCACCACAACCGGGACAAAATGTGCAGAAATACTTCACGTACAATTCGCTCACGTAGATGTCCGCTTCGGCAGAGTACAAAAAGGCATCCCAATCAGAGTAGGAGAGCATGTCGTTCTCAGCTCCAAGATTGATCCTGTGAAAAACCCGTTCCACTTCGATTGGCGCCATGATCTGCTTATCGTCGGAGAGAAGACGGCAGACGCCTGATTATTGTGAGGAATAAAGTCGTTTCAAAACTACACTGACAAGCTGACGCCCAAAAATCACAAACCAAGTACCCAAAACAACACTGACATGTTGACCCACAAAATAAATCACAAACTAAGTAGTACCTAAAACACTGACGTGGCAGACTCCCGGTACCGCACTTTGACTCTGCAACCAGGTAAAGCTGCGTTGTGCCAGTTGTTTACGATTCTCACGCCATTGATATTCGACCATGCGCTTCTTGCGGATTACCAACTCCTCGTAGAGATTGGCTTCTAGTTCCAGCAAACGCACGAAATTGAACCCAGCGTCACGGGACATATCGCACGTACCCATGTGGAGGTACTCTGTTGAGGGATTAAGTTGTTTTTATTGGTGGTCAGTAAGTTGCAGGTTGTTGCACGTTGTAAGTTGGAAGTGTGACGGGCTAGTGCCAGAGTCATCAACATCTACAACTGATCATAATGATGATCATTATATATAATCGAAGGTTTTAAATAAATTATTTAATCTAAAATGTTGATCAGTAGACAAGAACTAAAGATCACGACACACATCCTCGTCACAGTGAGTGACGCAGTGCATTCGTGCTAAATCAAAAATGTCTTCACTATTGATTTTCTCATTTTTTGTTAAGTTATGGTACCATTACTCCCCTCTTTGATCGCTGGACGACGGCACATAACCAAGTTCCGGATTCCACGCTCTTCACGTGGTAAAATCATCTTCAGGAATCCTTCATACTTCACCACAGCAGAACTCTCTCCTCCGCTGAATGGAGCAGCTGCTTTTCTCCCAGCAGCTCCCTTCGGCGCATACCGCTTCAGCACATTCTGGACGTTCTTTTCGTCCAGCAACGTGTTCTTGTAAAACTGCCGGTTTAACCATTTGCTCAGGTCGAAGGGAGACAGAACCGTTGCTCCGCAGCTCAAGGAACGAAATAACACGTAAGGGTCGAAGGTCGGATCCGAACAAAGATGTTGGCGTAGCTCCTCGATATCCTGTTCGCCCTCCGCAGCGCATTTGAGGAGACCGACCAGGATCACTTCCTCCTTGCTGTCCAGCAAGGAATCCAGAACCCGACTTTTGCGATCCATTTTTGTTGATGTGACGAAAAATGTGAAGATGAAAGAAGGAGGTACTAGTTGGACAAGGTTTTGGTGTATTTTTCTACTAGATGTTGAAGAAGGTAGAATCAACTATATACATGAAGCTGCTTGTTGCTGTTTTTACCTACCGGATTCCGATGAAAGCTTAAAGAGATATCGTCGCTTCTGATTCTAAACGTCGACGGAGTATTAGTGTGGAAGGTTCTTGGTAGGATGTTGAAGGCAGAAGTGAGGACTGAGGAATAGTACTTTTAGAAGATTTTGCAGATTCCAGAAGATGTTTACGATCACGACCACAAGAAATCTTGGCTCTAGTTCCTTCAAGACAGCAACATACAAATACGATTACAATTGCTCAGCACAACTAATTAATCATCATGGTAAGTAATTGTTCCTCGTTGCGCCATGCGCTCATAGAGAGCGAGGAAATAAAAACCATTGGAAAAAAGAACCGAAATTTGAAAAAACTCCCTCCTTAATTATGTTGGTCCCCCTGCGAGGACGGTTTTCTTGGTTGAAAAAAACCTGTTTGTAGAATAGGAAAACAAGGACGGATTGAGTGCTCTCACACTCACTCACATGGTTGTTGAGGTAAGAAAAATGATAAAAACACAGGTACAGAAGAGCTGATGTACAGACTCTATGGATATGTTTTCTTACACTTGCATTTAAACAGATCCACGTTTTTGTATATGTTGACACTCGGTGCTACAGATTGCTGGATGGCTGTTGCTGGCGTCATGACACTCGGTGCTACAGATTCCTTGGATGCTGTGATCCACGTTGTTGTACATGACACTGTTGCTGGCGTCGTCGCCATAGGCGAGATATGTATGGCTCTCATCTCTCGACAGATACTGCAGGACTCTCTGTTTACAGATTGCTTCAGGTTGTATCCTTTGCTTCAGATTGTGCCTGTCATCTTTTCAAGAAAAAACTCTTATTGTTATTTCTCTTTTGATGTTCTTGGGCACACCGGCATTTGGCAGATAACTGGACCTGGAGTTTACTACAAGAAAATGATCTGGTATCACAGCCGTGAACAACTCAGTTGGATATGCACCAGCCAGACTGTAGAAACTTCTACTACCTTCCTTAGTCATGGCGAAGCGAGTATCAACAGGGCTTCAGTTTTAGTCATTTCAGTTGCTTCTTTTCTCCACCTCTCTCCACGACCTTATTGCTTTGGAAGCCGGAAACTATTGGATTGAAAGCTGTGACTTTAGGGCGATCGTCATCGATGATGCACAACTCCATGATTCCTTTCTCTGAGAAGAATTTATACTTCTAGCCACATTAACAGAAAATGTAAATATGTAAATGATGTGAAAAAACCTCCTCCACATCACTGCTGTACGTCGCTTGCAGGTACTGGCCCAGAGATCTTGTTCCAGAAAGAACAATGAGCCAGAGCGATCCTTCTTCCGCGAAAACAAAAAGCTTAATCCAGCACAATATCATCCATCTCCATGTCCATACCTCCCCCTACTGCTAAACCACCCTCGCCCTCCTCCAACAGGAACTGCTCTTCATCGACTCTCCTGCTTTGGTGGTGGTCCTCCAATATGAACTGCTCTTCGGCCACAGCCGCGACTTCAGCTTTTGCCATGTCCCAATCTTTTTCGATTTGATTCTTCGCCTGATGTCTCAAATAGAACAACTTCGCACCACGTTGCACTTTGTTTTCCAGACTCGATTTGGATTTAATCGAGAAATGCTGATATCGACGTGCTTGTTCTAGCGCACGGGCAATGCTTTGAATACCCTCTTCTTGTAGTTCACGGCCACCTTGATGATTCAGGTCGTCACGACCGTCTTGTATTTCATCGTCTATACCAACTGAATTTTGACGACTCTGAGTTTGTTGACATCCACCTGGTGCAGCTACATATACATTTTCCTTGTCTTGTTCTTCTACAGGGAACTCATCTGCATGACAAGCTTCTTCTACTCTAGTGGCTCCTAATGGTCGCAACACTGACGCGAGCTCTAGAGGAGGAGCAGCGCCATCTCCTTCACAGTTCTTGTCTTCTTGTTCTGTAGTTCTAGTACTGCCATCTACTTCTGATGTTCCACCATCTCCTGTTTGTGTTTTTTTCTTAGTACTCTTGTTCACACTACTAATTGTACTAGAAGACGTTGTTCTTGCGATGTTGTAGTACCCTCCTGCCCGCCAAGTACCTCCTCCTCCAGCACTGTTGCTCGGTTTACTCTTGTTGTGTGCTCGTATCTGTGCATGTAAGTCCTCCATGTCTTCGCTTCCTGGCATCACACGGCCATACGCTGCCGCATTACTACTCATTCCACCAAGGATGCTACTAGGCATAGCTGAAGATGTTCTTGCTGCTGGAAGACCTGCACCTGTTGCACTGCATTCTCTCTCCTCAGAATAGGACAACGTAGGTAACTATGAAAGAAAAAAGCGCACTCACACTCAAAAAAAGTGGCTACTTTCCTACTTAAATCCTACTTTCCTACTTAAATCTTGAGTGTGAGTGCACTTTTTCGTTTCATAGTAACCCATCCTTGTCACACGCTTCTGCACTGCCGTCCAACACATCCGAGATCAGCTTTTTCCCCAGCTTCTTCATCTGCTGCTTATTTTGCTGTCTTTGCTTCTGCAACCGCTGCTGCTTTTCATTGTACTTGGCGAGAAGCGACGCGGCAAGGGCTTTGGCTGTAGTTAAAGAGCTAGAAGAAGAGCCGGAAGAGGCCAAGCCAATGGCTCCAACATCAAGAACTAGAGAGGCTGTAGGGCGTTGGTGTGTTTCTGTTTCCCGTTTGTTCTGCCTTTTTCCCTTAGGACGAGAGGCAAAACAAACGGTAGCAGGAACAACACCTTTATATATTGCCTATTCTACCCTTAAGTTAATAACATCTTCTTCTTGCCCCGAGGGACAGTCTCGTCCCTCGCCGTTGCTTGCCCTCCCTAGGTCATTCAAACGCCCAACAGTCTTCTGAAATTCCTCAACTGGCGCTCCACTGTGAAGCTGTGCTTCTCCCAGACGGAATAAAGCCTTCTCGTTTTTGGGATCTTCGCGCAGAACTACGTCACAAGCTCGCTCTGCCGCAGTCCAGTTTTGACACCTCAGCTGGCCTTGTGCCAAATTCAGGTACAGCGTTCGTTCGAGATCTTGAACTCCTTTGTCGAGGAGCAGAAATTAGAGACAGACGACGATGAGTCGTGCTATAAAAATTTATTACAGGGAAATGAAAGAAGAGTGCTGAATATGAAAGAAATTAGAGACAGACGAGTGCTATAGAAATTTATTACTACAGGACCACGAGTGCTATAGAATAAAACGAAATATATTACAGTTTCAAATGAAAGAAGAAGAATCGAGAAAGAAGAATGAAGGTCTAGTTGTACGTAGGAACGACGTGGACGAAGATTCACTCGACGTCACATTCAGATCTCTGTTGATCTTTCCACCTGTTGAAGATCTGCACTTAGGCTTTGTATGGTTTTGGTATTTTTGGTATAGCCTCAATTTGATCCTAAAAAGGGTTCTCTTCTTGTTTTCCCTTAGGATCAAACTCAGGCTATACCAAAAATACCAGAACCATTCAGGCTTACTGTGAAAGAATCAGACGACAAGAACTACCCGCGCTAGATAGTACAGCTTATCATGCTTTTTCTCCGTAAACAAACCTCCCAGCATCCACCACACTGCGCAAGGCCACAGTCCACAGCTTCACAGCAATCGTAAACTCGCCTCTTCCGTACGCATCGTTGCCATCTGCTTTAGATTGCTGAGCCGCTGAGATAAGATTCGCACCCTTGACAGGGTCGTTCTCGACTTCGAGAGACGGAGGCGAGGTAGGCATGTTGATCTACTTAGTATAATTTTCCCCACATTAATTTACCATAGAAGATTATAAGGAGGTGGTAGCTTGCTCTGATGCTCTCAACACTAATTTTGACGCAGTGTATAATTTCCATGTCGTTTATAAGTGGCCCATTTTCATCGGCACGACGTCCGACTTGCGTTTTAGATGCTCTCAGGGTCAACAAGCTCTCTCATCTTAGGGTGTAGGAGTAGGTCAATGACTCTCTCTCTCTCTGCTTTGTCTAGATTGATGATATCTAATCTGACTCTCTGGTTTGTCTACTTAGATATTAAACTGACGAACTTCAACATTTTTGATGACTGGAACGCAAGATTTTTCTGTAGGACGCACTTCACGATGGCTCCACGTGCCCTGATCCGACCGTCGACGGTTGTGGATGAAGAGTGAGGATGAAGGTTACATGGTTCCTGACATAAAAAGGAGGGAGCGCGCACTGTATTACAGTCGGACATTACAATAAGTGCAGCTCTCCTCTACACGTCTCGAAGTGCGGCACTTTCTCCCGCCTACGCTGTCTCTTGTGCCCATCTTTAACGGCGCGGCCGGCAGGCTTTTAAAAGCTATGACTCCACTTGTTTAGTCAAGTGTCATCGCGGCAGAGTCTACCTAAAATGTCGGAACACAGACGCAGATATGAGTGCCCGAACTTACAACCAGGGCAGGCTCTTCAGACGTGGCACAACGCACAGGCATTGCTTCTTTAAAATCGTAAGCCTTCTCTATGTTCGGGTTCGCGATCTTATCAGATATTATGCCCGTGGCAAACTAGTGCGATCATCAAGAAAGCACAGCAAGAGGCTGGCGATCAGGCTGCGGACGAGGAGAATGCGCCGGGCCCAAATTTATGCACTACGGCGGACCCAGATGCGGGAGATCAAACGCCACACATCCCGCAAGCACTCCAATCGAAAGACCTAGCGCGACGCAAAGCTTAAGATGCTTCGTGACGCAGCGACTGAAAACCAAAGGAAAATATACATAGCCGCCCTTTTATTATAATAACTGGCCATTTGCTGCTCTCTTAATTTTTATTCGCTTAGATTTACTTCTGTATTTAACGCTGGCGCTTATTTGGGACAACCTTCGAGACATCGGTCTTGCCTTCTTTAGCCCTGACTGTTGATTTTTGATTTTGGAGATTATAAGGATCAGGATGATTTGACTTCATTTAGGTATCAAAGTACGCAACAACGCATCATAAAAAGCATGCAACGCAGAGCAGTCCTTGTATGAACCTAAGATACTTTATTAACAATGCTGCTTTATAACATATTCACTTCTTTCAGTCTATTCCAAATTCAGGAGCTTCCCTTGTGATTAGTTTCACCTTCCACCTCGGTCTCCTCCTCCTCTTCCACACACAAGCAACCACCTCCGTCACCTCGGCAGTTGCTCACTTCCCACATACTCGAGAGTGTCCACCCCCAATTTTCTTTAGCGCTGCAAAAACGACTTCGCGGACGCGGCCATTTCTCAGCTCTTCACTCGCATACCGAAACTTTTTTTTGTTGCCTGCTTGTCTACAAGTCCGCCAGCATTTATTCACGTGGCTTGAATCGGGCTCGTGGCCCGGTCTTACGCATTCTCATCTTGCTCGACCGCCGCGAGAATTAAATCCTCGCTGTCACTTGTCCGCTCATGAATGATAACTCGCATGTCGGAGAGCCGCCGGATTTCTTTGCTCGACCGCCGCGAGGACGACGCGGTCATTTTGCGCTTGGGGACCCGCATATTGGAGAGCCAGCCCAGTTTGCTTGACCGCCTCAAGAACGACCGCGCGATCATTTTTCGCTTGGGGACCCGCATATTGGAGAGCCAGCCCAGTTTTCTTGACCGCCTCAAGAACGACCTCGCGATCATTTTGCGCTTGGGGACCCGCAAATTGGAGAGCCGGCCAGTCTTTCTTGACCGCCTCAAGAACGACCTCGCGATCATTTTGCGCTTGGGGACCCGCAAATTGGAGAGCCGGCCAGTCTTTCTTGACCGCCTCAAGAACGACCTCGCGATCATTTTGCGCTTGGGGACCCGCAAATTGGAGAGCCGGCCAGTCTTTCTTGACCGCCTCAAGAACGACCTCGCGATCATTTTGCGCTTGGGGACCCGCAAATTGGAGAGCCGGCCAGTCTTTCTTGACCGCCTCAAGAACGACCTCGCGATCATTTTGCGCTTGGGGACCCGCAAATTGGAGAGCCGGCCAGTCTTTCTTGACCGCCTCAAGAACGACCTCGCGATCATTTTGCGCTTGGGGACCCGCAAATTGGAGAGCCGGCCAGTCTTTCTTGACCGCCTCAAGAACGACCTCGCGATCATTTTGCGCTTGGGGACCCGCAAATTGGAGAGCCGGCCAGTCTTTCTTGACCGCCTCAAGAACGACCTCGCGATCATTTTGCGCTTGGGGACCCGCATGTAGGAGAGCCAGCCCATTTTGCTTGACTGCCGCGCGGACGACATCGCGGCTATTTCTCAGCCGTTCAGCCGCATACTGAAGGGCATGGCCGTCTCTATCTCTTGCGACCGCATTAAGAACGAACTCAGGGTCGTCTTTCAGCTTCTCTTCCACAAACTGAAGCGCGCGCGGACATCCCTTCAATATCTCCAATATGAGCGGCTCTTCGTCGTGAAGCTGCTCAATCAGCTCCCGCGCCACGATGTTTTCGGTCGCCTTGAAGCTCTTGAATGCACCCACCGCCGCTTCGGCCATGACTGAAAAGCTGCAGGTTGGAGGTGTAAATGATTGTCCCTGGGCAGCGGCCGCATCTTGAAGCGCTCTCCACTGATCTACAAGCTTTGTCCCCGCGACCTCGTCAACGACTGGATACAGCGTCAATATCGATGACGAGGGAACAGCATTAGGAGCAGCAATTGGTCGCTGTATTGGAACATCATGAGCGCCAAAATCTTCAGGCGCGCCAGAGGTGTCAGCTGTTGAAGATGGTGTCCCACTTGTGATAAATGGAGGGAAAAAATGAAGTCTAAGCGAGTCCGCACTTTTAGGGGGGCTCAGCTTCGCAGCCAGTGCCTTGGCAAAGTCTCGCACCGTTACCTCTTCAAAACCAGAAGGAGCTTCGAAATTAGCGTAATACATAGATAGTTGTAGTTGTAGCAGTAGTGGCAATAGTGCCAGTAGTAAAGTTAATCATACGGCAAGGTATATTCGCAGTTGAAATTGACTCGAGAGATCCGAAGCAAGAAATGTAAAAGCAAAGCTGGAATTCATCTTGGCGCTGTTCTTCTTCTACATCGACAACTTTTATAGGGTAAGGTTTCGGATACCTGGCCTGTGACTAATGCACGGAATGGTACCCATACGAGAAAGTAGTAAGATTATCAGACAACTTATGTTATAGTAGGCAACGCTTTCTCTTGAAAAGACGGATAAGCGATTGCACTGTTCCGAAGAACAATGGCCACTCAGCAACATCTGTCAATGAAGAGGACTCAGCACTAACCAAGTCGCCCAACGGTCCCTACGATCCTGTGAGTTCAGTAGTCAGAGTTTTTGCCGCAGAGCAAGAACTCAGATTCTAGGCTAGACCTCTCCTCCGTCCCCCAGGGCATCCTACCTTAGGATCAACCTCATACATTACTTCTGTTAAATAGTAGAGAGATTAAACACTACGCGAGCAAGCCTTAACCAACTGGAACCAAACTTCTCCAGCCAGGTAACTGCATCTCCATTCCGAGGAACCATCAGCACCACCACCACCAGCTCCGGCTAAAGGTCCTGCAGTCGACGCACTAGACTGCAGACGTACGCTGTGCGCGACATGTGCGGAAAGTGGACTGAGCAACAAGTGGAGCCAGAGATGAGTCTTTGTGCCCAACATAGGCGCGCGGGAAGTGGATTGTGCCTCTGGAGAAGAGCGGCCACGAGTGCTTCTAGTGCTTCTCTTACTGCGAGTTGTAGACATTGTTTTTGTTGCGCTTTTGTGCAGCCCAACGCGCTGAGGAGACCAAGCCATCTCGCTCGTCATCTTGTTCTTCAAGGCACTAGAATGCTATAGGGGAAAGAAGATCTTCTTACTCTAAGAACTTGGGGAATGAATTTGATAAAAGTTCAATTTTATTGATTTACTATCAAGCACGATGAGCTCCTCATTCGTAGATTGCAAGGCTGTTCGTATTCTTGTTCTTTTTTAAGATCTCAGAACCTAAGCACTTCCCGCTTCTTGTCGATTTTCTCTTAAATCTTTAAAAAGTAGTCCGAAACTGCAAGATGGTGTTTCGAAAGTCATACACAAAAATATATAACCATCACTAAATCCGATCTAAAAATGTAGACTCGACCTGGTGTCATGCCAGCTGGTGCACCTCTGATATTTTTTCGCCCTGTAGTGGTCTTGGATCTCATGCATTGGTTTTGATGGTCTTGGAAAAGTGCTCTGTCTTTCTCTTCTTGCTGCTGCCTTGGTTGCATGATTAGGAAGGCTGCCTGCCCTCTATAAATAAAGCAAAAGCCTGCCTCTACTCGACCCCGCAGAGACAACAAAGAGAGACAACAACAACAACAAAGACAGAGACAGAGAGACAACGACAACGCTGGGCCCCTGTGGATCTTTGTGGCGCTCCGGTCTGAATCAGGATCATATCACTTTGGTGGTGGATTGAGGTCGTCATCATGCTACTTCTTTGCATGCGCGGCCTCGCTTCCAGATCTTGAATGGCGCAGAACGGTGAACAAACAACTCCCGAAAGAACCACACAGCAGAGGCGCCCGCGTAACGGTGAAGCCGTCAGGCGTTCGCGTTTCTTTGGGTAGTGCTCCAGATCAAACTCCGAAAAGCATAAGCATACAAGCAAGAGCAGAACGAACCCCCGAAGCAAGTGAAAAACCAGAGGCACCCGCGTGGCGGTAAACCCGCCACGCGTTTGGGTAGTGCTCCAGACCATTCTGAACGACATGGACCGGGATCATTTTGGTGACTTGGATCAGCACCACCGTGCTAACCCTTTGAAAAACCAGAGGCACCCGCGTAACGATGAACCCGCCAGGCGTTTAGATGATGCTCCAGGCCAAATTCCGAACAACGAACACACAAACAAGAGCAGAACGACCCCAGAAGAACGTGAAAAACCAGAGGCACCCGCGTAACGGTAAGCCCGCCAGGCGTTTGGGTAGTGCTCCAGACCATTCTGAACAACATACCAAAAAAACGAACAGCAAACAAGCACGGAACTGCCGACAAATCTGAGAAACCAGGGGCACCCACGCAACAGTAAACCCGCCAGGCGTTTGGGTGGTGCTCCGGATCATTCTGGACAAGGAAGGCACGAAAACCAACAAACGGCAAACAGCTGAAAGCGGTAGAACACCGAAGGCACCCGCGTGACCATAGGGCCGCCAGGCGTTTGGACGGTGCTCGGGATCATCCTGAACGGGGTAGACACAAAAGAACCAGACACCAACACCCAAGCAACAGCCGAGAAATGAGGCACCCGCGCAGCGGTAAACCCGTCGGGCGTTTGGATAGTGCTGCGGACGATTCTGAACCAAAGACGCACGAAATGAACCACCACGAACCAGCAAGGAACTACCGCCGAGAAATGTGAGGAACCGGGGGCACCCGCGTGACAGTAAACCCGTCAGGCGTTTGGATAGTGCTCCGGACCGTTCTGAACTGAGTACCCACGAAAGGAAACGAGCAAAAAAAAGGATCAAACGCCTGACGAGATTGCGATGCCCGCGGCGTCTCCGCCTTCCCTCTCTTCTCCTCGTCCTCTCCCTCGTTCTCACCTTCTTCCACCGTCTCACCAGAGTGTTGACATGCGAACAGATGGCTCCTCTTCCTCCTTCTCTGTCTTTCTCTTCCTCCTTCTTGCTCTCACTTGTCTCACCTTTTTCGTTTTTCTCTCTCCTCCTCGTTCTCGTCTCTCTGCGCCAGCACTACAAAATTTCCCACCACGCTCCTCGTTGAAGTGCTGACCTCGGCCTACAGAACACCCTCCTATACACTCACCAGATTACTTTTTCTATCTTTCCTCGTCTTCGTCCTTTCGTCGATTGGCGGAACAGCCCTGCTACCTTCTCAACAGATCACAGTGACACTTTCTCTCCCTTGCTTCTCCTCGTTCTTTCGTCCACAGGCTGAACACTGTCCGACACTCTCAGCGGCTCTTCCCTTCTTCTGTGTGTATTGTTGCCTGGTATCATTCTCGAGCGCTTTCGCGTCACTTTCACCCGGGGAGCCCGGTGGCGCTTGCCTCCCGCGCGCTAGTTCCCTCTTTTCGCCTCCTACCCCTGGGCGCACCTCTCGATAATGTCCTGGGGGGTTAGATAGTCCTTGATAATATTGCTATTTCTTTTTTAGGGTGAATATCTCGAAGATCTCCTAGTTGATGTTTCCTATCCCTTGTTGTCCTCGGACCATTCGAATTCTTTCAGATTCTGTATGAGTTATACCTACCCGCAAATGGTTGTGATTCAGATCCCAAGAAATAATATGATTTAAGTATCCGTATCTGTATAGTTATTCTTGATGTCGATAAATAGCACATGACAAAGACGACGTGGAAATCCACTTAACATTATATATTTCTATTTTTACATTTACCACTATTTCTGCTTGCCGTTCTTTCTATTTGATCGTATCTCTTCATCAACTGCAGAGTCTACCGACGTTATCATACGGTTACAATTTCTAGTTTTCGATTAGAAGTAGGCCCTTGAGGACTTCGCCGGTTTTTTTACTAGCTTCTAGCGAACTCCGTGGTTTTTTACTAGCTAGAGGACTCCACCCTCGTCTGTGGCCGCGACTTATTATAGTTTTTCACGGATTTCCAGCTGCATCCCCGCACTATGTAATGTGAGTGCTCCTTTCGCGACCACCGTAGAGAGAGAATGGCAGCCGACTTCGAGGTCCTCGACTCCCACTATCAGAGTTTTCATCACCTACAGCTACATCCCCACATCACTGGCGACAAACTACATCTCCACATCACTAGGCACATCGTATGGAACGCGATCCCTTGCTTTTTCCAGTTCCGTTTCTGATCCGGACGATAGCATTTCTCCGAACGCTAGATGTCTCCCCAATCTCCCTGAAAGGGCTCTTGACTCGATAGAATAGGTGAGCTCTGCCATTGTCGGCCGTGTCAGTCCGACTTTCTCTTCCAAATTTTAGAGGTAGATCTTGAAACAGTTGATATCATTACTTTCCTTAGACTGATATCATTACTTTGAAGAGGCGGCTCTTGAAACAGTTCGTTGATATTGTTGGTAGAGCAGACCTAACTACTTAGAAAAAACGAAAACCGAAAAAAGATAACACTTCTGATATTATATATTATCTTCCTTAAATATTACTGATACATCATCATCATATAAATATGACGCGTTTCTTCTTGAAGAAATGTGCCAAGTACTAGAGCGTGCAAATATGAAATAGAAATGCAATTCAATTCTTAACAGTTTCTGCGTTTTTTCGCGCTCATGGTCATCTCTGCGTACTCCACATCGGGGATTAAACTGTTGTCGTTCAACACCCTCGCGCGTCGCTTCGCCTCTCGATCTGAGCTAAGTGTCTTTGCAATCAGTTTGCCACCCCAGACGACACCGCGATAAGCTCCAACATCCTCACGCCCATCGCCACAAGGGTCTTCCGCTCCTACGCTTCCTCCACCAGAGCTCGCGCTTCGCCTACTGCCTGACAGCTTATCCCTACTTCTCGAAGAGGACAAGCCACGACGATCCCCTTTCTTAGAGGTGGATGACTTTTTCGATCTCCTCGAACTACTCACCACGGAAGGGGCTGCTTCTGGGAGAGCAAGCAGTTGGTTCTCCTGATGAGGACTTCGCTGAGCCTGAGCCTGTTGACCTTGATGTGCTGGACTGTCATGTCGGCCCGGCGCACTTCCTCTGATGTCTCTTCCTGTGCTCAGTCGCGTACGATCGCTCACCCTCGTACCATAGGAGGCTGTAGAGGCTGTCTCTTGTTGCTCATTCAACACCTGAGAAGGGCCCCCGCGGGCTGCCGTTGTTGAAGATGATGGCAAACCAAACTCTCCTCCTGTCGCTAAATGTTGTAGCTGTGATTGTTGTGACATTGGTCTGCCGGAAGAATTTGGTCGTAGCACGTTGATTTCGAACAGTGTGTCCTGTTTTAGGGGTTGAAAGTTGGCATCTCTAGCCCGCATATCTATGGCTTTCCTACTTGGAGAAACCATAGAGATGCTTATAGAGATGCCAACTTTCAAGCCTTAACTGTTGAGAACTGGCCGATCCTGGTCGGCTCATTGTATCAACATTTGGTGCAGCTGACGAGAGAACCCCTGCTCTCCTGCTGAACATAGAAGATCCTGCTTGGCTGTCGGTTCTTCGGTCGCCAGAGGTGCCGCTTCCCGTCCCTCCTGCAGTCCTTCTGGCTGTACTCGGATCCTCTTGAGGACTCCTACCGCTTCTAGTGCCTGAGCCTGAGCCTACGCCTCCATGATAACTACTTGGTCTATTTAGTACAAAAGTTTGCTGCTGTGATGAAATTTGCTGTGAAGAAGAGACTGATGTCCTGCTTTGATGATCGTCCTGTTGACGAAGTCCTCGTCCTCTAGTTGAAGTAGATCTAGAGAAAGCTCCTTGAGGTTCATTTTCAACTACAGCATCAGCGTTCTCACCTGCTCGACCGTCAAGAACATCTTCATGGAGGTCTTCTCCCGGTCCTCCCTCATCGGGTAGCGGTGTGCTTTGGTCGCTGTCGGAAGCCGAGTCCATCTCTAAAATCATCTTTCGAGCCTCTGCATAGCGCGACACAGGCGCTGGCAAGCGCTCACTCTGTGCACGCTTCACGACTCTCGCATCCACCGCAGCTTGAAAGCCGGCCACCTCGATCAAATTCTCCAGTCGCTCTTCTAATGAGCGAACCGGGGGCGCAAAGGTGCCTAAACCGCCGGTTTGTCGTTGTCGCTCTCGCATGATCTCCTTCTTCGATTTTGGTCTCCCTTTGTCTTCATCACTCTCCTCCCCACCGTGCTCACTGCCACTACCACTCTGCGAATGGGAAGTCTCCCGATTGTTCGCATTCGCTGTGGGACTATTTTTGGGTCGCGAGCCTTCCTCTTTGCCTGGTGCCTCTACCGAACCGGACCCTGGTCCTCGGCCGCTCTGTTCTAACTTTGACCTAGAGCGTGACAAAGCTTCCTGATGCTCTTGTTGTGCTCTGGCTGCAGCGGCTGCTTTTGCTGCTTCCGCTTTGGCTTCTCGAACGGCCGTCACGTCGATCGCAATCTCCTTTGGAATCTCTGAGTGGACGTCCACCAAGTCTACCATCTTCTCCAACAAATTTTTGTCTTCCCGTACCTGCCGCGGCTCTTCCCTTGGTAAGTCATTGTGGCGCGGCAGCCCCCTTGAGACGCGGTCCAAGTCATCTAGTCGACGGAGTATGCGGAGGTCACTAGAGGACATGGACATCCGATGTATTTTCACTTCGTCATTAAAGGTTGCACAATTACATTCTTCAGAACATCCCTCACCTCTTTCCTACTGGAAAAAGAGTGAGGAATGGTTGTGAGGGATGTAATTGGTTATAACCCTTAACGTCAGCGTCGTTCCTCAACGGCTTCAAACCTCCGAGAGTAAACTCTTTCTCCGCACTCCAAAAGGGCGCCAAAGTCTCCCACGTCCCCTTCAGCAGATGCTTCAGCATGACATCCACTAACAGGGGAGAATTCTCAACGATGCCTGCCACAACCACAGAAGGGTCCACGGAAGTAGGATTCTTACTAAAGTCTACTTTCTTCCCAGCGGACCTTGAGGGACTACTTGTAGCCGAAGAACCCGACCCAACAACAATTCCGCCAGCTAGTTGCCGTGGCGCCACTTCTTTTAACAAATTGTAGACTTGATCCCTCACTGGAGGCGCAGCATTGTACTTTCTTAGAGCTCAAACTCAAAGCAATTGTTCATTTTCTTGGGTTCATTTTCTCGGAAAAATCGATCCTAAGAAGCAAGGAAGGTATAGAAAAATAACTCGTCTTGGAAATCGAAATGAAATATTTATTTGAGCCTGCTTAACTTTCTGCGTTTTTCGGCTTCGTCATCCGAACTGGACTCGTGATCCGAGAGCGGATCTGACTTGCGTTTTCTAGCCCGCATTTGACCGGCAATGATCAAGGGTTGCACGAATCGGTGGTCGCCAGGTTTCGCGGTCTCGTGCAACAATAGGGATCCTGGGACCACCACATTGTAAAACCGCCTACGGTCGAAGGGTTCGCCGAAAACAGTGAGAATTTGAAAATCCGAAGGCACCACTGTTTTCAAAGGTGCGTTCGGGTCATACCGATCCTCGGTCTCTGTGTCCGAAGCACCAGGAGGTAGAAGCAAGTCTCCTGTATTTCCACCTTGTTGTTGCTCCTCCCTTCCAGCATTTGCAGCTCCACCTTCTCCAAGATCTTCTTCATCTTTGTCACCTCGATTTGCTCGCTTCTTTCTTTTCTTCTTCTTGTTCTTTTTGGAAGAAATAAGTTGTCCTTCTTCATCATCTTGATCCCCGTCGTCTTCGATCGCACCAGATGCAGCAGGTGAGCCTGAACTTTCTCCATCAGTGCTTCCGTTAGACCCTAAACCCTAAACCCCTACTCATCCCCCTCTGGACAAATCCCTCAAGCATATGCGTCAGTATCATACTTCTATTTGGGTGGTGCATATGGATATGCTGCTTGAGGGATGTCCTTGTCTATAGAAGACGAGATGGAGGATTATAGGGGGAGCCATAATTCCGCTTGAAGATGTTCTGTCGTCCTCTTTTTCATCTCTGTCAGAAGAAGACGCGAATTCGAGGTTCCTTTCGTCCGGATCATAACCAGAAACGTCGGAACTAACGCCAGACGGCGGAAATTCGAGGAGGCCGCCTTTCGCATCCAAGAACTCTGCCACGTATTCTTCGTTACCCGCTAAAACGGCCATGTTGATTTCGTCCTCCCCTATCTCGTCGTAGATCGCCTCTTGTTCGGCTAATTCGGCCGCCGCCGCAGCTTCAGCCTCCCGACGACGCATCGCTACCGTAGAACTACCGAGACTCGTTGTAAGAAGGGTATGCTGTGGCAGAAGACCTCCTGCTCCTTCACCGAAGCCTTGGTCCTCACCATCTGCCCCTCCTGGTAACATCATGCCTGCCCCTGATGTTGTGCCTGCCTTAGGACCTCTGACACCTAAGATTTTGGTGATCTGGCCCATCGCTCCTCCGTGGCGGCCTGCACCGATTCCACCACCGGCCTTGGAGCTACCCTTTTTGGGAGTCCTGAAAGAAGCCGTGGCAGGAGGCGCGAAACCTGGTAATTGCGCTTTCTTGGCTGTGCGATCGTCTACTTTCGGCAGGTTTAAGTCTGTCATGTCGTTCACGCAGATTTTCGACCAGTCGTACTGCAAGTAACTCGACGTGCCTCTATGAAAGGTCTCACTTTCGTACACCAGCCGTAGCAAGTCGGCGCCCGAAATGGTCAAACGAACCAACCTCAATTCCGTTCTTTCCTGTTTTGTGACGTCGGGAGGCCGAAACTTGCCTGTAGATTGATCTCTATCGTCCGGACGGTTTTTCTCTACTGGCAACAGAAATTCCCGCAATAATTCATTTCTCGTCAATCTCGTCTGATCCACGTTCACGCCGTAGTCCTTGCCTCCGTGAGCATGGGAGAGATAAAAGAAAGCAGGTAGCAAGAGTAGCGAAGCTTCCGGATCAAATTGCATTTCCTTTAGGATAAGCAGGGAAACGAGGGAATGGAAAGTGATCTGGCGCCATTCTGCATCGCGAGTCGTCCAACAGGCTTCCATAGGATCCTCTGCGCCAGAACACAGACTGTCCGGGTGCACACTGGGTCTAGGAACTGCACTTTCCAACTGTCCCTCCCCTCCAACTGGAGAAGACGCGCCAGCATCTTCCATAGCTGCTACGGTGTTGCCTCGCGCTAACATAGAATCCGTTCGCTTGATTTTTTAGATTCGGCTTTTATTCATCTGGGTGGTCCCCTCATCTCGACCCCTTTGCTAGCTCCCCTTGTATGTCATGATCATGGGAAAGTGGGAAAGAGTGAGTTGTATCGAAATGCTAAGAAAGATGGATAAAAGCCGGCCTTAATTCATTTTCGCAGCCGGCGGAACGACGCCGTCTAATTTGTATTGCACATCTTTCAATGCTTTCATTTCATCCTCCGTCACGTCTCTGCCTAGTCTTAGAGCTCCCCCTAATCCTCCATCCTGAGACCTGTCTCGAATCTCTTTCCCCCTTATCAGATAAGGAGACAGCTTGGAGATCGAGATGCTTCCAGAATGAATCTGCAGATGGACGATTAGGGGAAGCCTTAATAGTCGCCTTGCCGACTCCATCTTTTTCAGCAGTTTCACATACTCTTTGGTACACGCTCTACGCAACAAATCGTACAGGTGCGTTTCTAAACTGGCTATGTGGGCCAGCGCGTCGTCAAAGTCCGCCCAAGTGAGAATGTTGATTAGAGCTCAAAAGAAGACGAGCTTTGATGGGGTGAATCTAATAGTGAAATTGAAAAACTTCTTCACTCAAGTGAAGCTTATAATGAATTGTATTGAGCCTTAAGTTGAGGTCTTCTAGGTTGAGGAAACGCTGGTACGACCGCAAAGCCTGCTGAAACTCCGGATCTGGGTCGAAACCGTACTCGTCATAGTCTTTTAGGTTGGCACGCTTAGGCACCAAAGAAAGGCGCCGATGGCGTCCGATCACAAGTTTATATTAGACCTTGCCGATATTCATCATCCGGATTCCGGAAAGAGAATTCCGGAAAGAGAAGATAAGCATCTTGGTAGCCACTTTCCCTTATACAAACCACAGAAATTATTATGAGATGGAACAGGTAAATGTATTAAAGCGAAAAGAGAGCCTAATTCGGACAGAAGGACAACAAGGACGAGAACAGTCGAAGAGCAAAAGGGTGGGAAGTAAAGAGATTGGAAGGCGAGAGAAGACGTGGAGCCAAACAAAATATAAAGAACAGTTAAGATAGTGAAAGCTGTGAAACCCTTCCAAGAGGATGCATCTTGAGATGAATATGAGGAAGCCTTAATTATACCCAGTGCGGGAGACGCCAACGCGTTCGCGAGGAGACCGGCATTGTGCGGTGGGAAAACGGTTAATGTGCCTCAACGCTTTAGCATCGCTCTTACTTAGGAGGACCTTGTTCTTCTGGGCACTTGTAGTGGAGCCTGCTTGCCCTTGCTGTTTCTCCTGGTCTTTAATTGATAAAGCTCCACCTTTCATCTTCGTCCTCTCCTGGTCTTTGAAAATGATTGCTCCACCAGTGGTCGCGTGAGATAAGGACATGTCAGCAGTGTCGATGCCAGTATCAGCTCGCGACAGTGTCCCTACTTGTTTCCCGCCACCTCCGGAGGTAGACTTGTGGGTCTGACCAGAGTTAGACTTCTGGCCACAATTTGACTTCTGACCAGAGTTAGACTTCTGACCTCCACCTCCTCCAGAGGTTATAACAGTCGCAGTATCGTCGTCCTCAAAATTGGTAGTACTTTCTAGAGTGTTGCTTAGATCCAAGGGGCCGCCCGCTTCGCTATATAACTGCTGTTTCTTACCTCCTGGGCCGCCTCCAGCCGTGGAAATGGTCTCGAGTAGAGAGTCGTCTAAGATGGAGTCCTTTCCTTCGAAAAGAATCTCGTCTTCGGTTGGCTTTTCTCTCGTCCGCTTCTCTCGCTCTTCTTCGTCAGAGGAGTCCGACATCGGCGCGTGGACCCCCTCGACTTCAGCCCAGTAAGGGTCATCATCGGCCACCAGCCACAAGTCCAGCACTGTCACCGCGTCAGGTCCGGCTTTTACCGCGAGACGGTCCTCGCCTTCGATCGAGATCATTTTTTGCTGCACTGGGTCCCACTCCTCGCCTAAGAATTTGCCGTTGCCATCCACCCAGTGCTCCATTGGCTCGCGCTCGTAACCACCCAACACAATGTCTATGTCTGGCTCGGTCACCATCAATTTCTTGTCTTCTTCATTGGATTGATGCGTTAAAGCGATAACACAGTCCACGGCTGTGCTTCGCTTCAACGTTTGCCCCACAATGTCGTTCGCGGCGGTCCGTGTCTCCTGAAATTCCAACATCCCGCTAGAGGAAGCAGCGGTAGTACTTAGATCTTCTTCTTCCCGGAATCCATCATCTCGAAACTCATCTTCTTGGGTGGTCATGACCTGTTATTCCCTTAAATGGGTGCCGCAACAAGAAGATGTTGCCTCTGAAGAAGATGGATTCCCGGTCGTGGAGGCCTTAATGTACCAGGAGGTGTCCAAGGCTTCTGTTCTTCATGTAGTCGCTGACCCGATGTTGAGGAAGACAAAATCAGCTTCTCTTCTTCTGTCCCTGTCCCGTGCCCATCCCGTCTAGTATCGAAGATCGATCTGGTTGCGAGTTGATACCCGTCTGCTACTGAATGCGGTAATTCTTAGAGCTCAAACAAGCAATTCATTTTTCAATATATAAATATTAATATTTTTTCCGGTTGATTCTGGAGATTTCCGAGAATCAGGTCCTCTAGGTCATTTCAACATTCTTGAGATTTCCAAGAAAGAACAAGCAAGGTCGTTTCTATCTTCTTGGAAAATTTTCAAGAAGATAGAAGAATGAAGGAAACCGAGAAAAATCAAAAATGTTGACCCTTGGGATTGCATTGGAAATGAATCGTATCGAAGTGAAGGAAACCGAGAAAAATTACAAATGTTGACCCTTGGGATTGCATTGGAAACGAATCGTATCGAGCCTTAAAAGTCCGTCATCTGGGTTGTGCTGGAACTTCTGGGTGACATCAGGGACGCTCCAGGTCCCTGCGAGTCCATGCCTAGAACGTAGTCAAAGGTAGCAGAGCTCCCAGATCGAGCTGCGCGAAGTCTTCGACGTTGTGCTTCGCGAGTGTCCCGCAGCTCATTCAAAGGGGGCGATCGTGGAGATCTTCCTCCAGCAGGTTGTACTACAACTACTTGTTCTTCTTTTTTGCCGTCGAAAACGACGTCTTCAGCCCATTCAATGCGTTTTTGTCCTGTACCAGAAGCTGTTTCTTCACGATCGACTTGTTCCGCAGATGATGTGTCTCTGTTCTCGTATGACGAGACCTCGCGACCACCCAAAGGATCATGGTCAATGTCTCTACGGGCGCCATCAATTTTTCCACCTGCTCCTGCCAGAACTCCTTCCAATCCCTGAATTACGCCCCCACGCTCCTGTCCAATGCCAAAGGTCGGAATAGAGGAAAAATCCTCCTCCTTCTCCTCAGCAATAGTCAATTCTTGCAAAGTACCACTACGACTTCTAGCAGCGAATCGGCGACCGCGCAGACCACCACGAGGCTTATTTTGTACTCCTACCGGTTCTGCACGTTCCACCACTTCGATTTCAAAAGGTTCATCTAGGATGGAACTACCACTGCGAGCAGAAGCAAAGAACTTCTTTCCTCGACCTCCTGGTGCAGGTCCTGTGCGCACCTGACTTGGTTGGAACTGCTGTTGTTCAGCAAGAAGAACCCCTTGTAATTGCGTTGTAGTACTAGTACTTCCACTTTCGTCTTTTTCTTGAAGATCTTCTCCAGGTGGTCCTCCTTCTCCTTTTATGAGTGTTTCGACGTCTTCTCCAGCATCTCCTTCTTCGTCATTATCTCGATCTGGAGTCGCTGCGCGTCCACCTTGCTCCTCTTTGGATTTGATTGCGGCAGCGAGAAAGGCAAGCGGGTCATCATCGTCGTCTTCCTGATTTTCATCGTCGACTTCCTGAATCACATTCTCCAGGTCCAACAAACTGCCGCTTCGTCTACGAACTGTTTGCATAGTACGACGCTTGCTACCTCCTGGTGCACCTCCTCCAAGCTGTGCTACAACACCACTCCTAAAAGAAGAACCTGGAGGACCTGCTCCACCAGCAGGTGCTCCATGAACTTCTATATCATATGGATCATCAAAATCTAAAGAGCTTCCACTACGACGACTGAGAAAACCACCACGAGCTCCTTTGCCCGCCCTCCGGCCACTTGTACGTGTACCTCCTTGTTGAAGATGATATGCATCATCATCATCTCGCTGCTGGCTTGTACCTCCTTGTTGAAGATATGCATCATCTCGCTGCTGGTCAAGGATCTGGTCACCATCATCTCGCTGCTGGTCAAGGATGTTTTAGAGCTCACCCTAATCCATCTTGAGAATCATCTTGAAGCCGTTTTCCCCTTACGGAACAGCCCTGAGATGCTTCTGGAGATGGATTAGGGGAAGCCTTAAATGTTGTCAGCATCGAAGATGTTCATGTTCCCTCCAGGACGAGTCGCACCTCCTACTTCAACATCATAGGGGTCATCAAAATCTAAAGACGAACCACTCCGACGTGCCATCAAAGAACGAGACCGAGGCTTCATTCGGCCACGTCGTGCAGCTGCTGTCCCTTGTTGTCCAGAGGGGGCTTCGATAGGGACGCCACCAATTTCAATAGGATCTCCTCCTTGTTCACCTTGCTGCAGCTCTCCAATTTCAACATCATAGGGGTCATCAAAATCTAAAGACGAACCACTCCGACGTGCCATCAAAGAACGAGACCGAGGCTTCATTCGGCCACGTCGTGCAGCTGCTGTCCCTTGTTGTCCAGAGGGGGCTTCGATAGGGACGCCACCAATTTCAAGAATAGTACCTCCTCCTTGTTCATCACCTTGCTGCAAGAGCTCTCCAATTTCAACATCGTAGGGGTCATCAAAATCTAAAGAGGAACCACTCCGACGTGCCATCAAAGAACGAGAACGAGGCTTCATTATAGCACCCCTACCACGCTGTGGTCCCAGTCCTTGAAGAGCGCCAGCTCGTTCTGCAGCTTCTCCTTCCTGCGGATGGAAACCTACTACTCCCGTCGGACCAGCCGCAATCTCTCCTGGAGGTCCACGCGGAGCTCCTCCCACTTCCACATCAAAAGGCTCGTCTAAAAGCAAACTGCTGCTACTACGAATACCACGGAAGGCACCTCTCTTGGAAGCACCTCCGCTAGCAGTAGCACCACCTCCAGGTCCAGGCCCAAAAGCCTTGTTAAGGTTCTGACGGGTGAGACCTGAAAGCCCTGCGGCCGCACCTCCACTTCCGGGACCTACTACAACTTGCTGTTGATCCCTACCATCAGCTGCGAGAATTTCGTCTAGATCTTGCATGACGCCAACCTCAACCTCAAAGGGGTCATCCAAAACCAAACTACTCCCACTGCGTTGCCCACGACCTGGGCCCCCACCGCCAAAACCCCCGAAGCCTCTCCTTTTAGAAGAAGATGTAGGAGTGCCCGCTGCAGGTCCAAATTTAGGAGTGGAAGGTATTGGATCATCATCTTGTAGAACTTCTTGTTGCGGTAGATCATTACTCAGATCAGAGGCAGCTGCATGATCACGGGCTGCAGCTTCTTCATCGTGTCCTTTCTCCCCAAACTGTTTCAAAACTTCTGCAAATCTGACTTCCTTCTCGACAGGTTCATCAATGTCGAAACTGGATCCACTCTTGATGCTTGCAAAGCCCTTTCTCTTCTTGCCACCCGCTCCCCCTTCGGGAGCTTTTAACAGTGAACTCTTACGTTCAGGAGGTGGTGGAGAAGCCACGGAAGTACTTCTAGGACCTCTCGATGCCGAGTCTCCCTCTCCATCTCCCTTCACAACTTGTTCTAGTCGGAAGGGACCGTCCCCACTTTGACGAGGATCGAAAGAATTGCTCTCATCGTTTTGAGCCTCTACATCTCCTTGTTGACCTTGATGAGGTTGGGCTAGTACTGTAGCCGCTACTTCTTCCATATTTTTATCTTCATCTACTTCTACTTCTTGTTCTTCAGCAGGAGATGACGTTGCTTCCTGGTGCTGATGTTGAAGTTCTTCGACGTCTTGAAACAGCTGTTCGTCGCGGACTACACTGCTCCTAACTTCTTCGTCTAAGGGTTCGTCCAAATCCAAAGAGGACCCGCTTTGCAAGGAGGAAAAGAGTTTTCTCTTGTCTTTCGTAGGAGCTGAAGAACCTCCTTGCTCCTGGCCTACTTCCATAGTGAAAGGCTCATCGAGCACCATGCTGCTAATACTACGAGCTTTACTGAATCCGCCGGCTTTGTTACTCACCATACGACGTGTAGTTGGAAGAGGGGACTCTACGAGAACTTCTCGGAGCCGCGGTTCACCTTCAGCAGGATCTTCAGCTTCACCTTCGTGTTCGGCAACCTTACCCCCAACGTCAAATTCAACCTTTTTCGAAGCGGACCCCCCTGCCCCTCCTCCTCCTTCGGATAGAAGTTGTAGGGAATCAGAGGCCGCTTCTTCTTCTGCCTCTTCTTCATCAATCGGTATTGCTAGTGCAGACGAACGATGATTCATGAAACCCCCTCGCTTTTTCATTCCGGCGTTCTTACTAGCGGCGCCTGCCGTGGGAACTTCAAACTCAAATGGCTCGTCCAACATGATACTGGAGCCGCTACGTCCTTGCTTGAACATGCCACGCCTGCCACGTTGTGGAGCAGCCGTTTGTTGACAACTTGCACTATTTGCATCTGCAGGAAGATGAACTGGAAATGCTCCTCCACCGGAGACTTCTTCAGTTTGAAGAGCTTCACCTGCTGGGCCACCTGCAGCTGCCGCAGCACTTATCGTAGGCACAGTAGCTGGTGAAGTACCTGTGCCACTTGTACTATCTTCCTGGCTACCTCTCGGCTCGTCCCCGTCTTGGGGATTTCCTGAAGCAACCGCCGTAGCACTGTTTGCACTCCTGTGGTCGAAGGTGCCCGCTGTCATCACGACTCCAACCGCGCCAAGAAGATCTTTTTAGAACCATAACATAACTACAACAATCCATCTTTTCCCCGATCTGTGTCCGTCGCTTTTTCTACAGTTGTTGCAAGCAGCGCACAGATGGACTAAAAGATGGATTATGCGACATCAAGGCCTTAATCTTTGTTCAGGATATCAGCAGCACCGCGCAAGAGATACTGTTGCTCTACTGGAGGAAGACGAGTGCTGTTGTTTGGAACAGGTGACAAAGGACGTTGATAATTAGCACCTCCGCATTGTTCTTGTTGAGGCTGCTTCATCCAATTTTTGACTTCGTTATTTTTCATCCAATTCACTTGGTCACGGCCTTCAGGATCATCATCTTCCGCTTCTTCTTCTTCTTGTACTAGCATTTGTAGCCGAGCAAGGTAATTTCTCCGCTCTTGTTGTTCTCCTGTCACGTCCAGTTTTGCATAGTTGTAGTTTTGTCTTATTCCAACTGATGGAGCAACGACAACTACTGGCGGCAACTCCAAGAAGGGAGGCCCTGCTCCGCGGATTCCCGTTGCGGGGGAAGCGGGTTTCATTGGTGCAGGGCTTGGAGTTTTGTTGGAGGCCAGTTCGACCCCACCCAAAATCGTAGTTGGATAATCACTCGTGCTCGAATTCGAATTCAGATCCACTTGGTGCACAGGTGGAAACAAGTTGGTGCTCTTTCCACCTGCTGTATAATTGTTGTTGTTCACGACCTTGTTAGGTTGGTTCAGCTTGTTGGTTTCCACGTCGAAGCTTGTAGCTCTACTTCGTGTGCTTGTATCAATGTGAACTCCGATACTGCTAGTCGCGCCGCCAGTCGGATCTTCGCAGATCCGCACCACAGGTTTCGAGCCTCCCGCACTCAAAGCGACAGCTGAGTTTTTCGCTATGTCCCGATCCAGAGCACAGTGGCGCACATCGGGCGAGAGCAATCCTAGAAAGCCGATTTTGAACTGACAATGCGCGGGCCCGATCGAGATTACGTGGTATTTCGGCAGTTGGTTCACTGGACTGGAGAAGACGGAGCCATCACGAGCACGCACGTTCGAATTCAACATTACGCTGTTCGGGTTGTGGCTAGTGTTGCCCAGAAACTTTTCGATGGTACTTTCGAGATGCCTCACGCCATGATGGAACTCCTGCACACCGAAACACATCACGTCGATGGGAAACTTAGGTGCGGTTTCCTCCTTATAGAAGCCCAGCTTTCTGTGCGCATCCCGATCAGCTGCTTCTGGCGTCCAACTGCCGATGGCTTCCATGTAAGCCAATTCTTCAGGAGTTAGGGGTCGGTTTTCAGGAATGAGGCCTTGGGAAGCAGACCCAGGTCTTGGCTGAGTCAAGGACTCAGGCGGAACCAGATTTTGCGACCCCGCTGTGGTACTAGGCCTACTCCTACTTTTGCCGACTCCACCTAATTTATTTGCGAAACTAACTGCACGAGCAGCGCCACTGAGCGTTGACCGCAAGGAGCGAGCAGAGCCAGGACGGATCAGAATACTACTGCCTCCTGGCGTCCTAGGAGCCGAGGAACTGCCGGGACCAGAGGAAGAGGGAAAAGTCCCAGTCCTGCTCTGTTGAGGAGTCCCAGTCGTGCCTCCACTAATCGGTCTCCTCCACCCTGCTCCTTCACCATCCAATACAGGCCTCCCTTCTTCGTCTAGTTCAACAATCATGTTACCATTCTCATCATACTGAGGCTCAAAAACGCCTTCTTCTTCACCATGATCCTCTCGGCTAAGAACAGCACCACCTTCATTTGTTCCATGATGTTGCGGTGAGTTGGAGTTGTCTCCTCCTGCGCCGTCTCCTGGTGAATGATCATCTAGAAGATTTTTGTTCACATCTACTTTGCCGTCCTCGTGGTCCGAGCCACATCCACTCTGCGGCTCTTCGTCTGAGCGGAGCGGCATCATTCCTTGCTCTTGGCGCCTCTCGTTTTCGGCCGCGCGACGCCTATCCTTCTCCAGTTGCAATATGAACGTTTTCTGCCTCATTTCGAAGGTAGCTCCTGCCTTCACAACCTCCTCTTCAAGAACATGATCATGATGGTCATGAGGCTTTGATGTTGAACTACGTCGCTCCTTCTTGCTCTTCTTTTCTTTTTTCGCAACATGCAGTTTTGAAACTTCATTTTCAAAAGATTGATGCTTCGTTTGCGGTTTCTCCAATGCTAAACCAGCTAATTCTAGGTCCCTCTGCTTCGTCATTTTGGCCAAGGCCAGCCTTTTGTCGAACTGGAACCCAAAGGCCTCAAAATCGAAGAACGGGTGTCGTTTCCGAGTTATGATTTCTTTTCCATCATCCTCCACTTCCGTGACCACGCCATAGGCGAATTCCTCCAGCCGCTCGCGCTCTCCAGGCCTCAAATTGGGTTCGAAATCCTTGGCAAACTCCGTCGAATACCAGTAGTTCACATTGGCACCGGTCCAGTCCGGGTTCTGAAGGTAGTCCCTACTCGTCTCTACTTCTTCTTCGGGGACTGCGTTTAGCGACATGTTATTACCTGAAGATGCGAAGAACATGTTGTTATCTTTGTCAACCTCGCTGAAACCGACGGTCAGAGGAGTCCCACTCCGTGAAATAGTGGGTAAGGTTAAGCGGCCAAAGCCTTGGGAGCCAGCGGATCCCGGAGGCTCGCCTGCGTGAGCACCTTCGCGACCTCCACCTTGTGTTCCAGGTACTAGTCCATCCACTCCAGAAGGCGCCAACAAGTCAAGTTGATTTTCTTCTAAACTGAAATCTTTGATCTGAAAGCGGTTTGATGTCTTCGCGACACACCTGGCGCCAAAAGGTAAGGCAGGAGCTTCGTCTAAATTCATTTCCGCTTGCTGCATATTTATTATTTCAGCAACACCTTCATGATCTCCTTGTTCTTGTCCAGCATCACGACCGAACAAAGAGAAGCTACTCTTATACCCAGCGGCTTGTTTGTCAACAGCTGCTTCCCGTTCTAATGCTTCTCGAATTATCTGTTCCTTGCGCCGCAGTCTTTCCTCCTCTCGCATGCGTTTCAGTGTTTTTTCCGAGAAAATATTGAACACTTCTCCCACATTCTGATAGAGCAATCGCTCTTGCCCACTGATAATTCGGTCGCGAGTTCGTGCTTCCAAACTAAGCCTAGAATTGTCGAAAAAACCAGGTGGGTAATGCCGATCTACAAGGTCTCGGAGGCTGACTTTGCTATCCGGCTTCAAATGGGTTTCCTGTTCTGCAGCGAGGGTCGCCACCATGTCGAACTTGTTTTGGCCAGCTTTTGGCGCAATATTGCTTAGGGGTAGTTGCAAGTTGACCGATCTAGCTCGCTGCATATCAATGTAAGGACTATCCCTGCTTTTCCCCCTTGGGAAAGTCAGAGATATGCTCCTCTAAAAAAGACGATCTCGCGAAGATCGGAGTCAACGTCCAGGCCTTAAGTTAACATGTGTGGTTTTCTTCCTTGACAGGACTTTCCCAACTTTTTCCAGCATGTCCCTACCAGCGTTTCCACTGGCAGCTGCTTCCCGTTTGGCCAAAAGTCGCACTTTTTCGGCTCTAGAAAAGCCATCGCTGCTCACCGTTCGCAGAGTGTCCCCGATCACACTCAGTTGCTCACGATGCTGACGCTCAGGGGATCCACGAGTCGAGGGAGAGGAAGCTCCAAATGGTGACCCTGCTCCAAGCCCAAAGGATAACGATCCTCCAAATTTCCCACGTGGTCTGTTATTTCTGTTCCTTCTTCTAGGGGAAGAACCAGGACTAGAAGAACCTCCAGGACTGCTACCAGGACTGAGGGTACCAGCTTCCCCAGGTACTTGCTGCCTCGATACGATGTCCACGAGTGAGCTTCCCTTGTCCAGGAGGAATTGGAGTGCGCCACCACTAGCACCACTCAGCGTGACCATGGTTTTGTCAGGCTCTTCGCCTTCCTTGCCGTCCAAAGTCTTCATGCAAGTGCGCAGTCTCGCCAGCGTATCCAGCGACGACAGCTCCGAAAGCGCATAGATCCGGAGACAGAAATCACCGCGTCGCGGGTAAGGCGCCTCGGCGAGCGCCTCCGCAAGCGCGTTATCAAAATTCAGCAAGTCCGCCATTTTTCAAAAATAAACTTAATCGTTGTAGAGGAGGCGCGTGTTGAGTCAAGAACTACGACAGTTGTGTAAGTAATGTAAAAACAAAAAGTTCAAGTTGGAGAAATCGGAAATCATAAAGGAAAAAGAGGGACATTAAGATAAGGGGGAAGGGGAACAAAAGGAAATATGAGAGGGCATTGAATGGTCAAATGAACTGTGGTAAGAGTTTTTGCAAGAATAAAAACTTCGAGAGCAAGGCTCTATTTAATGAGAGATACAACCAAGTAGCCTCGGTAGAGGGGAGCAGTTGTTATATCTCGAAACCAACTGTCTCCTCTCTTATGACAGACAAGGTAGTTGCATGGGAACAGCTCCCTCTCCCCTCACAAGGTATTTTCATGACAGACAAGGTACTTGCATGATCTCTTCTTCCCTCATAAGGGAACAGATCTCTCGCTCCTTCAACATCGACTCCTACAGATCGGCAACTACTGAATAGACCGTCAGGCAATCGCAATGACATCAACAAGATAGAAAAGCATCATCCATCTTTGACAGCACTCCTTTTCCATCAGTCATTCACTCTCTGCTCTCACACAGACATGTACATCCTAAAGCTCGCTCACGACTGAGTGCAGCACACCAGTTGCATGATCGTTACACTACATGATCTTATCTTTCAACACTACGACGCACGGACTGTGCACGCCATATCAAAATCTACTTCGATCTAAGTACTGATGCTGCTCACTCAGTACAGCCACATCATGGGTCTCACTCTCACATTGTACATGCCATCCGTCCTCATACCGGTTTCTTGCTTCTGATTTCGCACCGAAATACTATAACAGCACCGCTCTTGTTGATGTTTTCAACGTGGCCACCTGGTGATGGATGAGGATTTCTGTGGTTATGCTTGAATGGCATTGCTCTGCAAGACTTCTTCTAGAAGCAAAAAAGTTTATCGTTAAATTTTCACCTGTGATGTTAGCTGCAGAAGTGCACCTCCAATGTCTGCTAGGTAGTAGTCATGCTGCAACACTTTCTAGTTCATGATTATCCTCGCAGAGGGGCTTCACCCTCGTCATCCAGACTTATCATGCTGATTCCAGAATCCGACTTCATTTTCTTATGATGTTGACGTGATGCCACCTGGTACTACAGCTCAGTAAAACCTGAAAGGCAATTTTCTAGTTTCATCCAACGCTCGTATCCACTGTTTTTTCCAAGTTATGGTTCCCGGGAGATCGGTGTACTTCCTACTATAACGCCAATCTGGAATGAGCAAGGCCATAGTCGCTTTTCGCAATGGGAGTAATTTCGCTTGTAACGCGGGAATTAGAACGGAAAAGTGTCTGCTAGAACTACAGAGAGTACTTTCCACCTATAGTATAAAAATGTTGTTCCTCAGGAACTTAGTACAAGTGGAGGTTTGAGCCGTCAAGCAGAAGGACGAGGAAGATCACACGTGACGAGCACATCAATTCATTGACTTTGTGACTCATTATTAAATATTATCATGCTCGCACGTGATCCTACCGCCACATTCTTGTAGAAAACCGCATCCTTCTCTCTGTTCTCCATAACTCCAGTTCCGCGTGGTTTTTCTCCATGGTGACACGCCATGCAGCCTTACTGACACTCTCAGTGTTGCCCAGTCGTCGTATCTTGGCATCCAACACCTTCTGCTCTTCTTCCAAGTGAAAGCGCTTTGTTTCTAAAACTTCTCGCTCTTGCTGTGCTAGAAGATGAAAGGGGAAGGCAATGGGTGGGGGATGAAAGGGGAAAGACATGGGTGGGGGATGAGAGGGGAAGACATGGGTGGCAGATGAAAGGGGAAAGACATCAGTGGGGGATGAAAGGGGAAAGACATGGGTGGGGGATGAGAGGGGAAGACATGGGTGGCAGATGAAAGGGGAAAAAAATGGGTGGGGGATGAAAGGGGAAAAAAATGGGTGGGGGATGAGAGGGGAAAGACATGGGTGCCGGATGAAAGGGGAAGGCAATGGGTGAGGGATGAAAGGGGAAGGAAATGGGTGGGGGATGAAAGGGGAAGGCAATGGGTGGGGGATGAAAGGGGAAAGCAATGGGTGGGGGATGAAAGGGGAAGAACATCCTGAATGATGGGGTCCAATGACGTCAATCAAGGATCAATTGTGATCATGTACTAGATTGTCATTTATGGGCTTATGTCCATTTATTTTCGTATTCGCACGTATAAATATCTCTACTTCTGACTCCTAACTGAGTACTTCTATAACGCGCTACTGCGAATTTCTGACTCCAATCTGAGTACTTCTATAACGCGCTACTGCGAATGAATCAAGTAAAAATATGTCTTTTTGAAGACCCCCTCTAGTTGAGTATGCGGCCTTCTAGATTCCTAATTGAGTATTTCTTTTGCTCGGAGCGCTTGTTCGTGGATTTCGCGTCGAGACAGCACCGTAAGAATCCGTTTCATCGTCAGTTTGACTTTCTTCAGCCGACCGTGATTTTCCCACACGTTTGGGCTGTGCGAAGCTTGCCGTACGAAATGGCGTTCCCCAAGTAGAAAATTCTTCTCCTTCAAGCAAACGTACCATAATTTGTGCAAATCCTCAAAGCTTTTTAACCGCAACAGACAAGCGGGAAGGATTAGAACGAACGAGAGTTCGTGTCAGGGACAACGACAAAAAGACGAAGTCTTGCATCTTCCTATCAAAATCAACCTTTTCAAACAAGTAGAATAATTAAACCAAAAATTTAAACGAACCAAGAGATGAAGATATCAAGCCTAAGTGGATCATAACCAAGGATCTCCCGACCACGAAAGCTTTCGTTTTTCAGTGAAGTCCGTCTCCGGATCTCCTAGACCACCTCGCCAAAACTCCGCCAGATTAGGTCTATAATTCGGGTCCGCGGTTGGCAAAACGTGTTTTGATGAGGCAACCGGCGCGTAAAATGTCGGCGCGGCCTGCTCCTTTTTCAGAGTTGACTTCATTTTCAAGGTCGTCGTGCTGAAGGCCTTTTTGCCAAGGTCGTCGGCGTCGTCTTGTTCATGGTCAATCTTACTACTTTGACCATCATCATTCAGAGTAGAGTCCCCGTCGGAGCAGGAGGTGAGCGTCGTGCTGGATGTGCTTGACGACGAGGGGGTTGACACTCCAGTACCGGGACTTGCTGGAGCAGATGTGCTTGACGACGAGGGGGTTGACACTCCAGTACCGGGATTTGCTGGAGCAGGACTTGCTAGCAACCTCGCGAACGGGTCGGTCAGAATACCCATGCTTCTCCGACCACACAAAATTGCAAGATTCTGGACAGTGCGACTACTAGCAGGAAGAGTGCAACTAGCAGAAGGAGGCCTTCTTCCTAGGACGCTGCTGAAGTGGTTGACACGTACTTGACTCATCTTGTTGTTCTTGTTGTAGTTTCTGGCCTATTATTTACTGTAAAATAGTCCTCCACACAGAAGAAGCAGAAGTGTTCAAAGTAACGCTAACAAGACTCTTATCAAAAACAAGATGGATGATACTAACTTACTTGTTACAAAAGACGAGTTCAGCTTAATAGGTCGCTCATACTCTCGGTTCTTTCCTCCTTAGGGCGCTGAATAACGTTCACGTACACGTTGTTGCATCCTTATCCCTCTGAGAAACGAACAGGAGGGCGCTTCAATATCCAACCTGCACAAAGTGGAATCATCATCATACTAGTGAACAAGGGTAGAACTTAGTGCGAACACAATCATCAAAGATCCTTTCAACAACGAGAAAGATGATCAGCAATTTTCTTCTGTAAGGAATGGCTCAACATCTTAACTCCTGCGAGTACTTAGTTGGACTTCGTATCAATTTGTCGTGTGCTGACGAGGGAGGGCTTCTTTGCTTAGGATTTAGAATTGGAAAACTTCATGAAAGTGAAAGTCCTTAGCGGACGCATCAAGCCCCTCGCCAGTGACTGACTCCCATACCTTGCCACCATAGATAGGAGATGCAAAGGTAATCTTCTCGTCTTTAATATCACTGGAAGAACCACCAGAGCTGTCCTCGGAGGTGTCGGCATTTATTTGATCTCCCCTTCCTCGTCGACCAAAAATTGCTTTATGTTTCCAATCGCACTCTCCAGTAAGTAGACCTCCTGTAGAAGTTCTACCGTCTTCTTCACCTGGTTCACTTGAAGATGTCGTCACATTGCTGCGCACGTTGTCTTGACCAGGTTCCGCCTCAGTCTGTAATTGTCTTCTAAACATTGACTTTCCTGGCTTGCCTGGCTCCAAGTTTTCCCATAGCGAAATCATCACAGTATGGCGATAGGCTACAACAACCTCTGTAGTAGGTGCAGAACTTTCTTCTACCTCTCCTGAACCTGAAGCTGATTCTCCTTGTTGAAGGCTGCTTACAACACCGTGGTCAACATACAAATTATCATCTCCAAGAATCTTTCCCGGCACAACCCCGTGATACAAATCACCCGAAAAGCACACTGCGCGATTCTCTTTGGGAAACACTAAATGGCACGTGGCTGCATCCAACGTCGCTGCTTCTGAACCAAGCCGTTGAGTCGTAATCACAGTCGGTGGACATGGAGGGCACGTACTTGAAGAAGAGGGATTTGTAGTACTTAGAGAAGAGTGATTTGTTGAGTCGTTCTGGTCATTTTTGATCCAACTTCTCCTTCTTCCTGCTTCCTCCTGCTTTGCTTCATCCTCGTGATCATCTGTACCCCCATCACGACACTGCAAAAAGAGTACGAAAGTTGCGATGGGATTTTCTACTTTGCCAGTTTCAGGATTTAAAACTTGCCCTTCGTCTTTGCTGTCCACATGCAGCTGGTGATAGCCTAGATGGCTCCTCCGATGAGTCCAAGTTTCCGCATAGCGCACGCGCTGTAACTGAGAGGCGAAATGTTCCAATCTTTTTTTACGATCTTCTCTTACTTCTAAAAATCTTTCTGTTGAGCCTGATGCAGGGTCGTTCGTGGTTGATGTTGACCTCGGGCTTGTAGTTGAAGACGCAGGTGAAGATGTCATCTCGCAGGTTGCTGTACGAAGATCTTCTTCGACTTCTTCTCGTCCTTCTCTCACTTTTTTTACAGAAGTGCTGGCCTCAACGTTGCCACTCCCTTGACCTCCTTGTTGAAGTTTCTCAATGACTCTTTCCAAGAAGCTCTTTAGTACCTTGTCCACGCTCGTTCGTGGTGCAGAGAGATCGTGAAACAGCGAAAAATATGCGGGATTTCTTCTAGCCAACCGGCAATCGTAGAGTAAGGGGTCGTAGTTGTGAGCAGTGAAGAATTTCCTATCGAATATCCACCGCAACTCTGATAGCGAGGTAGCAGACAAGGCATTATCGAATACGAGGAGGGGCACTTCATCCTCGTCTTCTGGTAGTTGCTCTTCTTGTCGTGGGTCAAGTCGTTGCTGAGTAGATGACAGTTGTCCTCGTGTATGATCGAGTTGTTGTACAATGTCCTCCTCTCCGCTCGTAGTTAAGGGAAAATGTCTAAAGCGTGCCTTATAGCCCAGGAAAGTGAGAAGTTCAGCTGCAAATTCGCGGTCGTCTGTCCCTTCCTGCAAGAGCAAGGTAAGCAAACGTTGAGACTGCTCCCTTAGATGCTGCACGGATTGGGTTCTTTTTGCTGCACCACCACCAGCGAGGAGGAGAAGGTTCTTTCTGTAGTTGCGGAGAAAGTTTTTCTCCAAAACCGCGATGCAGTCGCGGCGTTTGCCTTGTAGAGCATAGATTTGCGCTAGGTTGTGGGCAACCTGATTTCGAGAGACATCAACCTCTACTTGAGTGTTGACGCCTTTTCCACCTGAAGTAGAAGTACTTTCGGCCAGAGCTCCTTTCTTTTTCACCACTCTCCGTTTCTTCATCGGAGGAGGAGCGTCTTTGGGAGGCTCAGCACATTGCTGTAGTCGTGAATCCTCGACAGAATCGTCCACGACAGAATCGTCCACAAGAACGACCTTGATCACATCTTCTACATCTGGATCTCGGCATCTAGATCTAGTTTTACCACTGGAATCACTACCACTGGAAGATGCTAAGAATGGCTGAATCTCATCCATCGCCTTGATCAAATTCACGTAGGCATTGGAAAGTTTTGCAAGTCGGTCAGAATCATCTACTTCACCCTGCTCTGCGATGCGTATGCTTTCTACCTCGTCAATCGCAGCCACTGCTTCTGCTACACGTTGTAATGGGGCACAATAATGCTTCGACAGAAACGCCACTAGGTGAGAACAACGAGTCAGAAAAGAACTATTTATTGTACTCTCCTCCTTAGCTGCTTGGCCCTGCTCTTCATCATGTGACTTGTTCGACAGCAGTTCACTCTTGTGTCCCCTGCTTGACAAAAACATTTCTTGTCTGAAAAACTTTCGTACCAAGGCTCCACTTTTTCCATCTTTCGTCGTCGTCGAGGCTCCTGGTAGTTCTACTCCAGCTCCTGAACACGGTCTTGACGTTGAGGAAGAGGAACAAGACGTCGATGTTGATACTTTCATCGCTCTTCGAATTTGAGACCTTGTTGATGTCGTGTCTCCTTCTAGTACGCTCTTTGTGTCCAGCGTTCTAAGTTGTTGATCTTCAGTGTCATCAAGAACGTCATCTTCTACTACATCATCCGCTGCTTCTCTTGTCAACACTCGCTCAACAAAGTCCTCCAGGACCAAAGTTGAAGCTGCGACAGAAGATATAATCTTAGTTGCTTTTCTTCTACTTCCTGAGCTTGACGACAGGCTTCTTCTTGTAGTGTCGTGTGTTGGAGTTGGAGTTGTTGTACTTGTAGAGTCGTGTGTTGGAGTTGGTGTTGGAGTTGTCGTACTTGTACTTCTTGAAGTACTTCTATTACAACCAGTTGTAGTAGAGCTACATATTTTTTCACGGAGAATGTTCACCACCCAGGGTTCAGGAACGCGACTTTTATCGTCTTCGAGGCAATCCTCTAAAGAATCCCCAGCCTCATCTTCGAACGCTGCGCAAATGCGCTTCCAGGAGTGGCCATCCTTGACCTCATTTACTTCGTCGGTCAGAGGACCACCCGACTCGTCAGCCATCTTGAATGAATATTCGAGTCTCCTGTATGTAATGTCACGATTTAAAAAGCTCAAGTTCGTCTCAAACACGATTCAGTAAGTTCTTGTGAAAATAAAGGAGCGAAGTAGTACTAGCCGCGTAAATGTCTCAGGACTAAAAATTTAGATGGCTCAAGTATGGCCATCAATTTGTCAAAAAATCCGTGTTCTTCGTCCGAGCACTACTCCCCCTTATGAAGATACTTATCCCCGTCATGAAAATATCCTGGAAACAAAGAAGAACGATCGAGGTATAGTCTCGAATAATGATGAGAGTCTGGAATAAAAGAAAGTATCTTTCCTAGAAGATCGGACATTATAGACCAGCTCAGACGGATCCACTTTTTGTTTGACCACTCTAGTACAACCATCAGGATGGACCTTCTGATCTTCAGGAGATCCCATCAAACAGTGATCTACTTTGTAGTTCTGATACACCGCAGAATTTGTAGAGTGGAGCACCCTCTACTACTTATGAACAGAAGCAACAGATATTCTGGGAGTTCTCGTCCATTAAAAAATGTTGTACTTAGTGGAACAACATCTACATCTTCGCACACCAGGTAGCGTCCTTTATCACTGTAGAAGAACATCTTCACACAGGTAGCGTCCTTACAAGTATCACTGTAGAAGGACATCTTCACACAGGTAGCGTCCTTACCTTGTACGTTACAAGTATCATTGTCCAAGGCTACTTCTAAGTGTTTTTACATTGAAGCTCCGTAATATTATGGTACATCGAGGAAGAACAGATCAGCGAGAGTTATCAATCGATCATGCACACTGAGGACTTGGATGGGGACTCACGACGAATTCACGGAAGGACTACTAAGTAACGGTTCATTTTAACGATAATATGAGGTCAATTATGTTGGGTCTTCGGACAACATGGTGGTCCCTTTATTAAGTAGACCTCAATAGGCCTACTTGTTCTCGAATAATTCAAATTCAAACGACTAATTGCGGACACAGACAAGAACTACATTCTTAAAAAGTGATTAAGCGACGAACCACCTTCATGAGTATCGTCAGCTACTCGTACTCGCATGTCGTTCGCTACCATCTTTCCAGGAGCCGGAGAAATGCAATCGGGAGTGGAGTGAATTATGCGATGAAGATATTTTTTCCCTCTGGTTTATGATAAACTATCAACAACAACAACAAGGATCCTCTACATTTAGAATTAGAATTAGAATAGCTCCTGCCTCAGCCCTGTGCTTCAAGCACCGGATCGACTTGGTCTCAACATATTACACTCGTCATCCGTCGACATCGCTTGTATTAATGTCGATGTAGTTTCATAAACGCACCAGTTAAAATTCAATGTCTATCAATATCATGCACCACCACCACTGCTTCTGCTTGTACATACTAAGACTAGTACATGATGACTATGAACAAGCACGTTCTTTACGTTTTTCGTTCTCTTTCTAGACCACTAGCTACGTTTCTAATTTCATGCAATTCTCGACCAGTTTGCGTATGTGGTGGAAAATAACGCTTCTAGGGCCTTGGGGATCACGATTATTTTCAACCAGAAATACTTCAATAAATACGAAACTTATCATGTTCTTGCATAATTCTCTAACTCTAAGTAAGTACAACAACTACGAGTGGAAAATTCTACCACTACTTGTTTCTCTTTCAGGTACATTTGTTAGGTCGTGGACTTGAATCATATTACAGATATTGAAATAGGAGAGGTTTCATGATACTCAGATGCGCGTGTATTGAGGTATCTTGTAAGACCGTTTGTTTTGCTTGGCACTGATCATACAACTAGCGAAGATCATTCTTATGGTCTCCTGGTCGTGGTCAACGAATTCTGTAGAAAAATTCTATAACTCTGTTCTATTCGTTCTTTGACGAATCTTCATCTTCATTTTGGATAATTGTTGAAAGTCATAACATGCGATAGTGATCAACTAGCCTTAAACTACTCCATATAGATACTCCCTTTAGTACTCCTCATCTCCATATACCGAAGTACATCATTAGATGCCCAATTCTTCGTAGAGCAAGGTGAGCAACGATACTGTCGCGTCGTAGGTTTTGTAGACTCGTGGGCCTAAGCTTGCCCGTTCGAAGCTTTTCAGCGTTGTCTCCATCTCTGTTTGTTAGAAGAGCTCACTCAACCACGTAAATGTAATTCATCTTTCAGCTGAGGTAGGGCGTGCATGATCCTGGCGGAAAAGTGCGGGTACTATGCAGCATAAGGGAGTACTAAGAGTATTACTTTTTCCCTGTGATGAAAGACAAAGATTTAGATTTACTTTTACTTCATCTTCCCCAACATACTTATTTTCTTCTTCCCCAACATACTTAAGCATTTTCAGGAACGTCCTCGTCTCCAACGCTCTCTCCCCTTCTGTGGTGCAGTCAAGAAAGATGAATTACAATTAGTGTCGAAGCCTTAACCTTCCGTCCATCCGCCCTCTGGGCCAATGCATAGCGTTACTCGAGGAAAGTTGCGCTTTCCCAGAAATCCTCCTCGAAACGACGCGTAGCATTCGTCGCCTACAATGTCGCTCAACTTGCGCGACTCGATGCTCGGGTGAGCAACGATATTCAAATTCCCGTAGCCTCGTGCCAACTTTCGCGCGTGTCGTCCACCTAGCTCCGTCTGCTTGGACATTAGTAGAGCTAGGTGGACTTTTGGGTAGGATTTTTAGGTAGAAGAAGACCACTGGCGGACTCTTTCCTGTCTATAATGAATTGGACTTGTTCCGGGGAGACCAAAAGAAACCCGATACATCTTCTCAAACAAATGGGAGGCAGAGTGTCTGTGGTCTATGTCTAAGTCTAATACTAATTGTTGCTTGATGCCATAAAATGATTTGCTCATCGGAGATGAATGTAGTGTCTGGATCGTCCCCTTCTTCACAGAAAGTTGCTTTGTTCGTCAGCCTGTCGTTACTAGCACCACCTACTTCAGGTGCAGCCGGGGGTAACTCGGGTCCGCCACGACTTGCGGCTGCCACCTCTCTTTTCGGCGCTGGGCCACCATTCTCGATTTCAAGACAGGTATTAGATGACTTATTTTGAGAAATCTCGACTATGTTGAGATGAATGAGAACTAGTAGACAATGAGAACTAGATGATGAGAAGAAATAGAAGATGATAATGTAGACTCTTGAATAAATGGGTTGTTGATTCCAGCTAACGGCGCTTATGATCCTGCGCTATTAATCCCATTGTCTTTGTTATTGAAGGAAATGTGGTGCAGCAATTCTCCGTCAATGCGTGTAGTATTGTCCTCCTTTAATGTCAGTCTTAACAGTGAGAACCTCGTGCAGCTTGAGCTTGGGTAGGATCCTTACGACAGGAAGTCGCGTGTAGTAGCTGCTCTGCGACAACCCTTCAACCATGGCTTTTTCGATTACATCAGGTTGCAGTTTCTTTCCAGCAAAATACGATGACTCGACCTGTGTCGTGATAAGGAAGTTTGAAACGCGATGATTCAACCTGTGTCGTGATGAGGAAACTTGAAAAGTTTCTTGTCCTCGTTTGTAATATTATCCCTTGATGTAAGTCTAAGGTAAATAGAACGAGTATAACAAATAACAGACAGTGTGCTCCTGGGAGTGTGTAGCCACTGTAACTTTCCATGAAGGGAGAAAGAACTCCGAGGGAACCCTAACCGGTTATGTCTCTCTAAGGTGAAGGTTAAATAATAAGGAAAAGACTACTATCAAATATCAATTTGTACCTTTTCAGCTCCTCCAATGAGGAATATTCTTCGGACGCCGAAGGTTGCGAGCGTGGTGAAAATACGTTCCAGGACTTTGGGTCTAGGACAGCATAGGATTACGTCAACATTCGGATGAATATCCCACATCGGTGCTTTATTTTAGAGGTTTCCACATTCTTGCATTCTACTTGAGAACATCTTTTTATGACTTATTTTCTTCTTAGAAAAAGTCAAAGATGCTAGTCGTGCAGAATGCTACGTGCTGGAAGCCCGTAATTATTGATTGCTTGCGCTCCAGCTAGACTAGTTCGTGGTATTTGCTTCTTTTTCTTCGGCGATTTGCCCTTCTTGGGGGATGGCGGCTGCATTGACTTCGTAGCATCGCCTTCGATAGTTGCCGTTCTTTCTGTCTTAGAAGGAGAGAAGAAGAAGAAGAAGAAGAAGAAGAAGCTCTTGTCTACTGAAGATGAAACAGTGAGCTTCGTTGTCTACCAAAATTTTTCCTGTCATGGTCACCATCCACGGAAGTCTTGCTTGTTTTATTCAACCCTCAACTTCAACGTCTTGAAATACATGATACCGATAATTATATGTGAAGAAATTCCTAAAGAAACTCACAGTACAGACAGTAGAGACAGGTATCTGTGCAGTAGAGACAGGTACAATCTTTACAAATTCGTCTGTGAGACAGTAGAGACAGGTATCTGTGAGATAAACCGAGGAAGAGCTGCTGGGGACTTCACACTTCTTCAATTGAGCATAACTTTTTTCTCCAGCAACATACTGGAATCGTTGTTCGCTTCTTTCATTTCTACGTCGGCTGCTGATTCGCCGTCAGCCGCAGACGAAGTCTCGCCCCAACTAGACGTGCCACTTCCTTGTCTCGACAATTTATCTGCTGGGTCCTGAAACTTAGAGGGAGAGGCGGAGGTGGAGGAGCTTTAAGAATGAGAACTATAACAACTTTAATCACGTTAATGTTGATCTACTTCTACAATTTGCACCTTCGCCAGTTGAAATGAGATGTTGAAGAGCGCCGTGACGATACTTATACTTCTTCTAGTCGTAGTCGTCGTCGTCGGTTCCTAAAAAATCCAACTTTCTGTGAACAGATTCTGTTATTTAGTACAATAAAGTTGAGAGGTTCATTAAATTCTTTGAGGACCAGCACGGGCCTTAATTTTTGGAGAACTCGTGAGGGATTTTCGCTTAGCTGGTGGTGCAAGTACTCTGCCGCGGACAGGAAACGGCGGACTCTTTACGGCCTTTTTGTTGTTTTAGAAAGCTTTGCCCGTCGCGCAAAGCAGGATAGCCAAGAATATCTGAGTAGAAGAAGCAGCTGATTTTATAATATGTATCATCATAGTATGCAGTTGTCTAGTTCGTGGTCTGCCAGGCGTTGTTGTTGTAGATGTAGTCATAAACAACAACATGAAAATTTCTAAAACATGACTGGCGCGTCTTGGCAGTATCAGCATCTATTACAAGTTACGTGTTGTCAGCAAGGACATAATTAACCGGTCGCTTGTTCACTCCTGGCGCAATTTCCAATAAGGCACTCAGATCCGCATCTTGAAGCCTTTCCCCGCCATTAGAAGTTGTTTCCGTGCCATGATTCGCGGTGGTCGATCCGTTTGCACTCCCTTCGGCGAGAGAGATGGAGCGCATGCCAATGGCGGTTTTGGCAGCTTGTGCAGCTACTTCACTCTTGGCCTGTAGGTCTGGCGTTGAGGGGATGATGACGCGGTCGCTACCAGTGGCAGCATTGTGGATGGTCTGGTTCTTTGGGATTCCACCAGAATTAGAGGTTCCGACATAACTCATTGCACATTCTTCCACTCCAAATAATGTCCCCGACTTGTTCCTTCTTCGTGGGAAAAGAGTCAGGGAAGATCTTAGTGCAGAATGCAATGTGGAAATCCTTAACAGCAGGAGGCTGCAAAATCTGACTGAATGCGGTGGCTGGTTGCCCGTTGCCTAGTGGATCCAAGCTACCGGAAGCGCCAAAAGCTTAGAAGATGCTCTTGGTGTTTGTGCGTGGTGACATATTGAAGACGAGAGGACTACTTCTAGAAGAATCTCCTTCTTGAAGATGTGACTAGGACTATTCTTCAAGGAACTGAAGAAAGAATAGCCCTATTAAGCTAGCTCTCTGATTTCAGTCACCAAGAACACTCTCATAAGTGAACACTCCCCCTGCTTTTGATTGGGCTCCTCGGACTTTGGAAGCGCTCGACCCCTCTTCCGATTCACAGGCTGAGCCGGAGGAGGACGCGGCCGCGGACGAGAGAAGCTTGTTCGGGCCATCGTCTTCGGACAAAACTATGAAAGAAAGTAAAAAGGATGCTCATCATGGCCCTCAAGAACAGAAGCACTTTCTGAGCAAAAAGAACGGAAATATTTTTAAGCTGCGAGCCTCTGTTCTTCTTGAGTACTCTTGAGTATGAGTACTATGTTGAGAAACAAGCGAGCCTCTGTTCTACTACTTGAGTCCTAACTATGAGTATCTTGAGTACTATGAGTACTATGTTGAGTCTTCTACTTGAGTACTAACTATGAGTACGACACGACATGACCTTGACCAAGAACTGTGAACATAAGAATAGTCGCCGTGACACCATCATTGTGGTAAAACAAACGGTAACGCGTGCTCTCATCGTACTGGTCCGTCACGTGACTACCCAGTCTTGGTAATGTAGCGCCCTGAAAATGAATTAAATAAAACGTGACTACCCAGTCTTGGCAATGTAGCGCCCTGAAGATGAATTAAATAAAACGTGACTACCCAGTCTTGGCAATGTAGCGCCCTGAAAATAATTAAGTAAAACGTGACTACCCAGTCTTGGCAATGTAGCGCCCTGAAAATAATTAAGTAAAACGTGACTACCCAGTCTTGGCAATGTAGCGCCCTGAAAATAATTAAGTAAAACGTGACTACCCAGTCTTGGCAATGTAGCGCCCTGAAAATAACAATTTTCATTTTGTTCTACTTGAGGCAACTTAATAGACTTTAGCTGTACTATATTTGGTTTTGGTGGAGATGGAGAACAAGTACAAGCCGTACAAGAAGATGTAATTGTGACTTGGAGTTCGACTCCAACTGGTTGTGTCTTATCAAGTTGTGTAAGTACTTACATACAGAAGTAGAAGATCAAGATGCAGTAGCCCTTGTACCTTGTAGTAGATGTAATTGACTCCTTCCTTTCGTGGTCGCCCGATATTCGTTTGTTGAAAAAGTGGGCTCATGGGAACTTGAACCGTCACTTTGCTCCCAGCACGGACAAGTCCAGCCTGATGCGCCAACGCCATTTGGGAGGCGAAACTTCCAGCATGATCGAAACCCACCATTGGAGACATCGAGGACATGTTGACCAGTGGGTCAATTTTGCTTGGACTGTTGGGTGGACTGGTCACTCCGTTCGAAGAAAGCTTAGAGATTCCTGCAAGATAAATGACGAGATTGTTTTTGATTTATCTGCATCTTGGAGACAAAGATTCCTCTTCTACTCAGAGAGATTGCTGGGAATCATTGTAGTTGGGAATCATTGTTGACGAAAGGGTATGGAAGTTAGTAGGACTAGGACTACGAAGATAGAAGTACTAGGACTAGCACTAGGACTACGAGATCATGTATCTTGTTGATCGTCATAAGCATGTTCGTGATTTCCGCAGCAAGCTGCATGTTAACATCGCTCATCGCACCCAAGGTAAAAGCCGGAGGCACCATATAACTGGCTGCAGCCTCTTCACCAATAGCTAGTGGCGATCGAATAGGTTGCGGAGTTGGGGGTTCCGCATTCGGGTCCAATTTCTGTAGTCCACGTAGGAAAAATTAGAGCTAGCAATACATAGCGCATCTCTCAACTTCAACGACTACAGAAATTAGACCCGAATGCGGAACCCCCAACTCCGCGCATTCGGGTCTAATTTCTGTAGTCCACGTAGGAAAAATTAGAGCTAGCAATACATAGCTCATCTCTCTAGAACTTCTGCGTCATCCTTGAAATAAATAACAATAAGTATCGTACTCCTTGAAATAAATATGTTGCGTCATCCTTGAAAAAAATACTTAGTATGTCACAGTAGAATTTCCCATGGATGTGATGCTCCCCCATGCAACTCTTCAAGGACGCAGCAGTCACAGCTGCATTATAGTGAGAGCCATAAAAAAACGTCTTACGCGTCAAAGGCATCTCATGGTCGCCATATAGACGCTCCGGAATGAAACGAAACTTCACTTTCAAGCTGTGATGTTGTAGTTAGTGCTAGAAAGGAGTACCGTACACAGGAGAGACACAGATTCTTGACGATCATAAAGCTGTTTGTGTTTTCAGCAAAGAGATGAGACGAGAACTTCTTCTATCTAAAATATACATAGATTCTATCTTCAACATAACCCTCATGAAATTACCTGCGAATGAAGTATTCGAGTCTTTTGTCTCCACGATAATCGGTTCCATTTCCACGCTGTTTCTTGGGCGCCGGCTGCCCTCCATTGTCATCGTCCCTCTTGCTCCTCGACGCCTTTGCGGCAATGAAACCGTCGAGGTTGAAGCCTGGTTCCTTGCGACCATAGTGTGGACCCACACGCTTACACACCATCTTCGTAGGACCCTCGACAATGTACCTGTGGTTTCGTCGTTGTTTTGTTTTGGTGTAGTCGTGATACTTCTATTACTTGGTCGTTGTTTTGGTGTAGTGATACTTCTATTACTAGGTAGTTGATGTCGTAGTTGCTCGTGTGGTCGAGTGGCAGTTGTTCTTGATTTTTTGGTCTAGTGATACTAGGTAGTTGATGTCCTAGTTGCTCCTGCGGCTGTTGTAGGTGGTAGTATTAGGTGTAGAATGGTGGTAGGCGGAAGGTGGAAATTTGTCGTAGTTGTGGTGGTAGAAGTAAATGTTGAACAAAAGATTTCCCAGAAGATGTCCTTTTCCTTGTAGTTACTAAGAGTGATAAAATAAGAATTTAGACATCTCTTCAAGTCTCAACTGTCGTGCAACATCAACAAGTATTTAATATCAAGGAAGTACGGCAAGTCTCAACTGTCGTGCAACATCAACAAGTATTTAATATCAAGGAAGTACGACAAGTCTCAAGAACTGTCGTGCAACATCAACAAGTATTTATTTTTTTTATATAATATCAAGGAAGTACGGCAAGAAGCTATCCTCATCGTCCTCCCGACCGCGGCCACGGTTTGCCAGTAGCGTCTTTTGGTCAATGTCATCCTCTCCAGCTTCCTCTTCAGACCCCTTCGGTGTTGTAGCATGATTCGCGCTCGTTACGTGGCAGTACACAGGGTATTGGACGTCACCATTGTCCAATTTTGCCCTGGTAGTTGGAGAGCGGGTATAGGAGGGATAGCAGGTACTATAGGAGGGATAGCGGGTATAGGATTGGGATTGCAGGTACTGTAGGAGGGATAGCAGGTATAGGAGGGATAGCAGGTATAGGAGGGATAGCAGGTATAGGAGGGATAGCAGGTATAGGAGGGATAGCGGGTATAGGATTAGGATAGCAGGTATAGGAGGGATAGCAGGTTGGATAGGAGGCGGGATAGCAGGTTGTATAGGACGGATGGCAGGTATAGGATTGGGATAGCGGGTATAGGATTAGGATTGCGATTCAATTGGTACAACAAGAAGTATAGGATATAATACACTGATCTTCACATATCGGACATGATACAATGATCACAAAATATCCTTCAGCCATATCGGACATACAATCAATGATCACCACAAATAAATGTGACATCTGTGAGCACGCAGTACCTAAGCAAATCGTTTCTTGGATATGTGACCCATTCCATCTCTGCCAAACCCGTGTTACCGTTGACAAGTCCGACTTTCGCCACTTGATCCACGTGTCCCGATAGATTCAGGACTTTGGATTAGAGCAAGACCAAGAGCATGAGCAATGGTGCTATAAAACGAATAAGGGGGTTAGAAATAGACGAAAGTTAAATTATAAAAAAGTTGCTGCTCTACAACCACCTACACCATCTACTTGACAAGTAGTACTTGTGCTCTTCAAAAGAAGCAAGGGCAGAGTGAATGTAAGAAAGACCATCAAAAATAAGACGAGTAGTAAAAGTAAAAATAAAATATCAAATGTCTATAGAGTGCCATAATCAAATATATGTGTGAAGCGATCATCCCCAGGAGGGATCTCGACGAACCAGCCTTTCCTCCCCTTGCTGTCCACATCCATCTGGAGCTCCGAATACCAAAATAAAACCAGATTCATCTTGTCTGATTGTGGGTTCTTGTGTGTCGCTGGTTTACTAGAAGAATGTATGGATTGAATCAAGTTGACTACTCTATTTTTAATTCCCACGCAGCTGCAGCAGACGATCGTAGTACAAGTAGGACGACCTCGACGAGTAGTTGATGATCTGCACGTGGTGTAGTACTAGAAGTTCTGCTTGATGATTTCGCTAATTGAAGCCGAGCGACTGGGGACTGAGACTGGGGAATACGTTGTACACGTTACGGCGTTAGGTTGGGACACAATACGTACTGGAGATCCGCGTGTGTTCGTTGTGTTCGCTTGTCCTCTTCACGCTTAGTAATATGGGGGAACGCGGCCGCTGAGAGACGAGGACATGAAAACTTCTTTTACGTCGATGTTCAATGATTCAAGGTTGTAGGGTAATGATGGGCAAAAAATCTGAAGAAAAGAGATTCTACTATGATCGAGGACAGAATGAATCACTTTCGATAGGGAGATGTGAGTTGATGATTGTACCTACTCTTGTCGAGAGGAAAAACGGTCGTTGTGGAACAAGTGGTAGTGGTATCTACTAGGTGGAAAACTTTTCCACTTTCAAGAATTGTTTCTATGTGTCGGTGGTAGTGGTTAGATGATACAGAGGATTTTGAATCATGTTGTTCGCAGACTATTGCGTGAAGAGGATTTTGAATCAGATCATTCACATTCGATACCAAACTAAAAAGCTTTCTTCAACTGTTCAGTCATCATGATTGCTTTGGGCGATGAGCACCAGGCCTCTATACAACACTAGAAAAAATGTCAATGTGTATAACCAACATTTTTTTCACGCCAGTCACTGGTTGTTATCTGAGTAAATAAATAAGACGGATGTGAAATGATATACGATGTGAATGAGGTCGTTGCTGGAGGTGGGGAAATTTGGAGGTGAAATGGCTTCAAAGGTGGAAGATCAACTTCTTGAGATTCAATGTGACCGATTTTCCACAGCGAGCGCACCATCTTCTTCAACTCTCGTTCACCATCATTACTTCTTTGCCATCATCAACTCCTTTCGCGCACCATCTTCTTGCTCAACACATCCTTATCCGCCACCTTTACTAGAGCAGTAGTAGATCTACTTTTACTTGATGATTTGCTGCAGCAAAGCAATTCTGTAGTGAAACTTTGAAGGCACGACGATGCATGTACTATGAGAATCAAGATGAAACCGAGGACGACGACGTAGAAATTCTGATTCTACAATCTTTTAGACGACGACGAGGATTCATCTGGAGCTCAACGCAGACTGTCTGGACGATGATCTTCATCTTCATCCTGTTTCTCGAGCACGATACCCAACGACCGAGCTGCACGACATTAATTTACTTCTGCCAAGATCATCGAGTTCAGCACCGTCCTCTTCTTTTGTATGTCTTATCTAACTACTTAGAGGTGGACGTCGTACGTAGTTGTATTTTCATTTTGTATGTCTTATGTAACTACTTAGAGGACGTACACGTATAAGTAGTTGTACATGACGATGTTGATCACTCGTACTCGTCAGTTGTCATGGTACCTATGTACTACTTTCCCTTAAAGGAACTACAATTGGTCGTTGTAAGGACCTTTCGTTTGAGGAATTCGAACATCCCTCTGGTGAGTCTGGCAGAACAGCAATTGCAGTCTTGGAGAACAACACAACGAACTGATGTTCTTAAACACTTTGTGAGGTAATTCGATTAACACGTTACTGTGAAAGGTTGCAGCATTACATTCTTCAGAACATCGCTCACCTCTTTCTTACTGGAAAAAGAGTGAGGAATGGTTGTGGGGGATGTTCATTCATTCATGTGCATCCCAAGTAGTCCTTCAAGCCTACCGGCGGGATGATACAGTTCCAACAGTGTGTCTAAAAGACGGCCGTGGAATTGCGCAACCTAGTAAGGGTTAACCCTTAATTATACTACATCAATGTAACACCTAACACGTTTGTTACTACAACAACACGCATCTCATAATGTGTTGATCCTTCCTGTTCAAACAGAAACATCGTGTCCCCATCGTTGTCTTCAAATTATCATGTTGATGAAGAGGCTTTCCCCTAACGAGTCAGTAGAAACCAGTCAAGTCCTGTCCTCGTCTAGTGTCGTTGTATCGGACTTTCAGGTGCTGGGTTCACATTACCAACGACCACACGAGAAGCTCCATGTTTCTTGGCTTTCTTCGCTTTCTCAGCTTCCTGCTTCTCCTCTTCGGCGGGCATTTCGATCTGAACAAGAGCATTTTTATGTTGTCATTTATGCGAAATACGGAGCAGCTGATTACTATTGAGAGCTAGCAGAAGTAGACTAGTACTGCAGATTATAATTGCGAGATGTTGAGTTATTTGAAGCGGAGAGGCCAGTACTTGAAATGAGAGATACATCATCTACTTACGCCTACTAAGTAATCAGCAGGTAGACCTACCTTAGACAAAAAAAAAGTTTACTTCTTTAGAACAACAGGAAGAGTTTTTGAGTAAACCAAAAATAAATCTGAAAAATACGTCAATCGCATATCCGATGTATGCTGAAAGGTACTCCCCAACCGACCCTAGGAATCCGAGCACCGCTATTCCAAAAGCCCTTGTTTAGCGCTAGTTTTTCACTATGCATCCCTGGTTGAGCTTGAGTGAGATGAGTGAGCTCAGTTTCCCCTTAGTTTCCACGCGACTAAGTAGTTTCTTTCCCCTTAGCATAGTTCACTCGGGAAAGTCAGAGCTTCTATCCCCCTGGATTCTTCCTTTCCCCTTTAGAATCAATCAAGGGGAACAGAGAGGATTCTATGAGGGGAGGCAAAAAAGTCGCAAACAGTGGAGGCCGAAAGAACCAAGCCATCATGCTCAGCACGACGCGTCCTTCTGCTGGCTCTAATTAAGGCTACGTATCTTGTTGATCGGGGGGATCGGGAAAGTAGAGCGGGGCGCTATAATCTTCCAGGATCCTAATTGAAGGTATGTGATGAAAGAAGATCCACATGGGACGATAGTGAAAAACTAGCCTTAACTTGTTGCGGTAGAAAATATTTCGCGGGAACGCTCTTTAGGAACCCCGTTTTTCCCGCCTTTATTATTGGCTCCTCCTGCTTCAGCGGCGAAAGCGGTGCTTCTACTAATAGCTCGTGATGTTGGAGTTGATATATTTGCTCTAGTTTTTCCTTGTGTCACCAACACTTGTTCATGATGGTCTCGGTCATGCGTCGGTAGTGGAGGTAGTACGTTGAAAGCGCCTTCTTGTAACTCCTGAGCAGTACTTATTTTCAGGTTGGCATTTCTTGCTTCAGCAAGATGATGCCTGAGAAACGAGGTGAGAACCGTAGTATTCGTTGATGATTTGCTGGCAGAGGATGTCGAGCTACAGGAAGGCGTTACAGCAGCTTGGTCGTGCCAAGCAGTGTTAAGATGTTGCTGTATGAGAAGCGATGCCATCTTGCTGTATTCGCGGATACGCTTCTTGATGTCGTTGTTTTCGCTTGAAGATGTAGTTGTTTCGTTGTAGTTGTTTCGTTGTAGTTGTTTTCGCTTTGCTCTGCTCTCTTAAAGCAAGAACATGAGTAGGTACTTACTTGATTTGAAGCGTGTTGTACTAGTAGTTATTACCTAATCTCGATGATCTTCTACTTCTCCTTCTTAAAAAAAAGACCAAGACCTCCTACAAGTTTAGCAGATGCTGAAATATATAATTGTAGTAGACTGTATTTTGGTAGTCTTATTAGTTTGGTATCACGACCTTAATATCGATGCCCCACGAGGAACGATCGAAGTCGGAGGGTGAATGAACGAAGCCAAGGGTTATTTTTCCGCATACCTATCACCATTGCGAAGCCGAGCAAACTTTCTCCCTTTCTTGACAACGATGTGTTGACCACCAGATCGATTGAACAACGGCTTAATAATATCTTAGGCCTCAGGCGAAGTTTCACATCAGCGTGAAGATGTTGACGAACCTAAAAATTTGTCCTTCCGAGGTGAAAACAAGAAAATGTCTGTACTTCTAAGCTCAGGTGCTATATTAATTCAGCAAATTGCTCATGATTTTCTTCATCTAATCTTCCTCTTCAATTTGATTTCCACCCGATAAAAGCCCCTCCACGAGCGGAGGCACGAGGTGCCGGATTGGCATCTTTTCCACTTGATATTCCAGTCCAGCTGCTGCGTGCGATCTGTTGTCCAGGAAGAGAAAGACGACCTGACACTCCACCTGAAACGCCTGATGGTCCGCCTAATTCTAGAAGATTTCGACCCGCTGGCTCGACGTCCTCCGTGTTCTTGTAGGTTGTTGTTGTTTTAGCAGGAGGAGGACGTAGCCTACTGTCAATATTACCATTTTTATGAGTTCCTCTGGTTGACTCCATCCTCGAAAAGGGATCTTCATCTCTTCTGTAGTCACGACTCGCAGAAGGAACTTGAGCATTTCCCCCCTCCCCACTACTTCCATTTCCTCCTTCGACTCGCCTACTAGTTGTTACTTGACCAGTCTGCGGATCGCATCGTGATGTTTCGATAATCACAGTTCCATCAGGCTTCTTGATTCGTGTCGTTTTTACGTCCCAGTTGTTTGTAGTTGCTAGTGCACTTCTGGTGGAGCTAAATCCACCTGCACCTGCAGATGCTGCCACTGAAAAACCATCAAATGGGTCATGCCCTCCGAACATGCTGTCAAAAAGCGAAAAAGCATCGTTCAGGGTAAAACTCCTTGATGATGGTCCTGTCCGCCCTCTTCTATTTCTAGCAATAGATGAGGATGATCCATCAGACGAGGCGTCGAGATGATGACCACGCAAGTCCCCGTGGGATCCAACTCTTGCAAAAGATGCATGATCTGCATGAAAGGACGGCCGCCTAGTCGTGCCAGAGCTACTCTCGAAATCGAAGTCAAAAAAATCGTCTGGTACACCTCGACGTCCGTAGTATCCTCCATCTGCAGCTTGGGCCTTTCGCGGTGGACATAACTTAGACCTAGTAGGTAGAGTCACATTATGCGATGGCGTTAACACTCAGTGGTTGCGGTTGTGGTGAGCAGCCAGTTTGACTTTTGACAAAAACATCCCTCTATGAAGATGAACTACAAAAATTCATACAACAACAAGAAGGCTGCCAGTTTCAACAACATAACGAATGGATTCACGCCTGGTCCTTCACCGCGTTGACGACCCCAATACTGGAAATCTGCATCTCCTGTTGGGTAATGATCCCCTGGGCAGCCACCACTAGAAGAGGAGTCACGACCGGCCGCTAGAATTTGTGCATCATATTCTTTCCGCTTCTGCGCATCTTGAAGAACAGAATACGCTTCCGCCACTCGTTTAAAGGTTTCCTCTGCTTCACGGCTCCCCTTATTCTTATCTGGATGCCACTTTAGGGCAAGCTTTCGGTACTGCTTTTTGATCTCATCACCTCCAGCACTCTTGCCAACACCGAGAGTGTCGTAGTGTGTGCCGCTGGACTTGTTCGGAAGAGGCGGAGCACGAGACGAGGATGGGGCCATGGTGAAACTGAAATTTCAGCAAGATAGAGTTGTTAGTACAAGTTGATGCAACACTTGTTGATCTTATAATATATTCACAATAAAATGGAAGACCTAGTGCGATTCATTGTATTTGTCGCGACGAGAAATAGAAGAAGTGTAAGTTGTGTAAGTAGGTACGATTTTACGTCCTTCGTTTTCGTAAAAAATCTCGTGTTTTTTTGGATAGGTCCGAGGGCGGGTAGCAGGGAAAGAAGGAGGGGTCCGTCGACAACGACAACAACTTGCTCGACAAGAACCACAAAACGGTTGTTGTGTCACAGACATAAGAAGGACCGACTACGATCTTCGTCAAAAACCTGGCCATTATTTATTTTGGGACGTTATTGTTCTCCGTGGCCTCTATCTTCGTGCTTAAGAATGGCTTCAAGTCAGAGGGAAGGTTTGTTGCAGTGTGTCTATTCACGCTCAGTTCAGAGGGAATCCGACGCTGCTAGATCTCATCATGCTTGCAACAGCGCGAGACGCGTCCAGAGCCGCAAATCGAAGCAGAAACTCCGCCTCAAAAAGACCGGGGGTGTTGATGTATACAAAAGGAATAGAGCCCGCAAATATCAGTTACGGGGGTCTACAACGGTCTTTCGTGAGTCTCCTCCTCGACGGTGAATGTGAAGGTTAGTTTAGGCCAACATGGATCCTGCACATCGAGCTCCACCGACACCTGCTCGATTCAAAAAACTACAAAGAAATTACCCCGGGGGAACAAACACAATTTCTGTACCCTCTTCGTTCTTGAATAAGCCTCATCCTCTACCTCATTATGCACCGACTTCCCACTTGTTTGAGCCCGAAGCTTAATTGACATCCCGGTTGTTCTCCTTGTCTAGTACCAGCTAAGCATCTGATGAAGACTAGTGAACCTACTGAAAGAATAAACTGCGTACCTTACGACTGCGTGACAAGTTGTAAGAAGTTCTACGTACAGTCACCTTCGACTGCGTAGCGTTACGCCAGAGAGTTGACGCCTCAAGCTGGCACTTTTCTAAGACTACTACTTAGCTACACAACACGACCCAGCATTGCAGATTCGTTTTAACAGCGTTCAGAACCAAGAACAAAACGACACTCACTGTAGCGCATGCATGCCGTTGTCCCTGTTGCCGTCGTTCATGATTGCCGTAGAGACGTGGTCTGACAGTAAATCAGTGTGAGCGTACTAAAGCAAACAAAACTCACAGCTTCGATTGCTCCATAATTTCCCGACGTCTTCTACAAGAACTATCTAGTACGCTGTTCCCTTTTATCTTCTCTTCAAGTTGAAGGTGCAAAAAGCTGCTTCATCATGATCATGCCAGTTCATTCTGGTTGTACGGCAATCCACACCTCACGTCACGACAGAGATGAATCCACCAGCCACCACAATCCCCGCAACAAATCCGCAGTTGTGAATCGCGTGCGATGGAGTCATACTATCTCCGTACAACGCTCCCATCAATACGCGTCCTATTGTTTTAGAGCAGCAACTTTTAAATAGAGGTGATCTTGAGAAGAAGACACACTTAGAACTGGTGGAGACACACTTAGAACCCTAACCCTAAACCCAAGGCTTAGAACTTCTTAGAACTGACCTATATTCCTCGTTCTCTCCGCTTGGGGGCTTAGGGCTTAGCACAAGACCGTGGTGGCCTTGCTCTACTTAACGTGCGTTGATTAGTGGTCAGAAGATGCCTTTCCCGAATAACAAGATGGAGCAATTTAACCCCATTATTAAGATGGATTAATTTGTTAAGGGAAGCAACATAAGAACTGGAGGGTCCGGCGCGATGAAGCTGATACATAATCCCACACCAAATATGCGCAAGCACAACTCTACCAGGTTTGGATACTTGAAAAGGGCGTCGTCCAGGTATGTCTCCCTCTTTCTGTCTTCGTCGTTCAATGTTTCTTCAGGGCGTTCTTCTTGATGCTCTTCCTCTTTGGACGAGGACGACTTGAATTAAAGCGCAGCATTCCTTGGTCATCATGACTCTGAACGGCAGGGACCCCCTCCAAGACTCGTCTCCCCTTTCCCTTCGTTTTCCCTTGTTCTCTCCAGGGGGCCTTCTTCGATTTCAGTGACTCCAATCTAAATGGTGACCAAGGAAAGTTGATCCTTAACTGAAGCTCGTCTTTGAGGCGTTTTCATAGAACATGCTGATGCTCTTCCACACCACAAGCGCACTAGCAGCTCCACAGAATCCGGCTACTATTCCCGATGCTCCAAGCTCCAGCGGCGCCGTCGGATGCGCCCAGAATCCGATCGGAACGGTGAACAGATACATGAGCACCGTGAAGGAGCACCAGACGAGGTTGAGACTGGGCACTTTTTGTTTTCCATTTCCATCACCATGAATGGTTAAAATTCCTGGATCGATCTACGAGGGATGTCATGTGTGCATCTCAAATGACTACCCTCAGTCATTAGTGAGATGAAACAGTGGTCCCTGAAGGCGGGATCCAGCTTTTCTAAGTCGTGACCATAATAAACACCACAGCACTCTTGTTGAGAGAAAAAAATCTTCTCCACAAAGAGGGAAGCATACAACAACAAGGCGATGTTGGTCAGAAAGTGCGCAAAGTTTGCATGCGCGAAAGCTCCTAGCCATCGGTGTTCGCCGAAGAAGATGACGTTCCAACCTCGAATATATACAGGAGTCAACGCTGAAAACCGTTCTACATCAAAAACGTCGACAAATCTCGGGACTGGGAATGGAGGCCAAACTCTGTCCGGGATCGGATCTCCAGGATTAGAGCTCTCTCCACCCTTGTGGATTGGGGGGGGGCGATCTCCCATCTTGGAGCTGTTTTCCCCTTAGAAATATGGGCGGGCAACTACTCCAAGTTGTAGAGCAAAAATATGCTTCAGGAGATGGATTGTCGTAAGCCTTAACAGGAGGAATCTTAAGCAGCTCTCCGTACAGTGTTTCGTATATGCCCTCCGTTTCCTCCATGACTTTTGGCCAAAGTTCTAGGCTCTTCCGGTACCACATCAAGTCGAACTTCAGAAGAAACTCTTCCCAAGTTGTAAATATGGACGTTGTACTTGTAGTCGTGAAGAGAAATCGAAGTGTCTCGAGTGATCGGTAGAAACCGAAAATATCGTCTTCGCCTTGATGTGGTCTGGCTTGTTCAACATCATGCAATTGCTTCTGTTTGTTGATCTTGTGTTTTTGATGTTCATCTTCCTCAGCTGGTTCGCGTTCAACTACTTCAGACGTTTTCCCAGTTGTATAGATTAGAGTCTGCTAGATTGCATCTCGGCTGCCTCATCTTGACCCCTTTACTACCCTTGTAGCATTTCATAGGAATAATACAAGGGAAAAGGGGACCAAGATGCCGAGAATGATGGACACTAAATGTTGACCATACGGCGACATCAGAATCAACTGGAACGTACTGCATGTTCTTCTCTTCTAGGACACATGGAGGAAAGTACTGCATGCTCTTCTCTTCTACTTCTCCTGCTTGGACGAGACCTCCCAGAAAGTCAGCTACTTCTCTCCTGCGGTGACGCAGGACCTGTGATCCGATATCTCTGTAAACGCTTACTGCTTTCCTGATGTTCGGGAAGGAGTTGTGGTGTGCGTTAAATTCACTATCCCGCAGGTAGTCTGAGAAACGATAAGGTAGTTTCTCATTTTGTAGGAATTCCGGAACGTCGCTTGCTGGATTGCCCACTTTGTCGTAGCAGTTCGATGAAGCAGAAGCCGTTGAAGTACTATCCCTCGCTGTAGTTTCGTTCACTTTCGATTAAAGCTCAGCACTCAGTGGCCACGGACTCTGAACGGAAGCGACCCCCTTCAAAGCTCTCCCCTTTCCCTTCGTTTTTCCCGGTTCTCTCAAGGGGTCGCCTCTTCGATCTCAGTCACTCCAATCTAAATGGTGACCATTGAAAGTTGAGCCTTAATCCGAGGTTCCCATCTTTGCTGTAGTTTCGTTCACCTCCAAGGTTCCCATCTTTGCTGTAGTTTCGTTCACGTCTCCCATCGTCTGCTCGTCAGGTTGTTGTAGTCCTACGTCGCTTTCTTCACATTCTTGCAGTAACGACCCGCGTGCTTTCCTCGTCTCTTCAAAGCGAGTCTGCAGCCGAGCGACGATCGCATACGAGTGGAAAACCGGTATTTGATTCAACACTTCGAAGGCAAGCAGGAAGAGAATAAGCAAGGAGGTCAAGTTGGAGCAGAAAATAGTTGTTCATCGTACTTACTTACTTGTTGAGTGAGGACTCTGATGCTTAACCCGCGAAGTTTTTTCCGACAACGAACCCTTTAGAAGGATGTCTCCCTGTCACACAAAAGTATCACGCCAGCAGTACGATGAAAAACCAAAAAACTGTTCATCTTTCTTAATATGGGAAAAGAAAATGGGTCTGATGTGCCGCCATTTCAAGCGCGGGTCCCAGTGGTGGCCAAAGTAGTACTGTGTAAAAGCTTTTTCGTCATGAACCGGGTAGGAAACTCGAGGTTTTGTATTTTTGGAGATCATTGATGTTGTTGAGTTCATCTCCTTTTGTGTTTGTCCTTCTGCTATCTTTTTACTTCTAGATGAGGACCCTTCTCGCAGAAGCTGAGGTTCATCTTGCAGAATTGTTGTCCTATCAAGCAAACTGGGTGATTTTACCAGCATCGTAGAAGGCTTATGCTTACCCTTCTTGTCCATCATCGGCAAGTAGAGCCAAGCTGCATTGTGCAGTAAAAGTCCAAGGAGGACCAGAAGCCGGTCGCCAATCTTCAGCGTTGAGTGCATGGAAAAACGGTAGACTGCGTGCAATAAATGCCCAAAGTTTGCCGGCAGGTGCATCCTAGTTGCGCTAACCGTGACATATCCATACCCCTCCAAAGACTTACGAATAAGCGCACGGTAATTAGAGCTCACCCTGATCCACCTTGGGAAGCATCCTGTTCCTCTTTTTCCTTTGCAGGATGCTTCAGTAGAGCTAGAACTGTTCTACAAACATCAAGATGGATTACGATTATCTATAGCTAGGGTACTCGTTAAGCCTTAAGATAATGTGCGACAACGGCCTCATCGTTCGTCAAATCAGGCTGGCCGTCGAGAACAGGGACGCCACCAATCGCACATATCTCCGAACCTGCCAAGATGTCACCGAGGTAGAGGCGTTCTACTTTCTTCCGTTTTTTTTTGCATAGCTTTTCATGCCACGACGTCGCGATGTGGCTGGCATTTTGAAATCTCATCTCCTTGTTCTCGCCTTTCTTAGCTGCTGAATAAGATTCTCGTCGTCCTGCGGCACCGACCTGATCAGAAGAGGAAGACAATTCTGTACTTGTTCCAACATCTCCATGAAGATTGAGATTGTCATCAACAGCAACACGACCAACTACTTCCGTAGGAGGAGTTGTCCACGACGTAGGATACAGAAAAGCCAAGCCCATGTATCGTAGGAAAGTCTGGAGTTTCGTCTCTTCCTCTAGTGGGGCTGAACCGTGAACATGGTAAACCGGAAGTCCAAACCGCCTCTTTGCACCTGCGAAGTTCAACTTCCCAAGGAGTAATTCGATTTCAACATCAACTTTTACGTATGACGCGAAAAAGTGTACTCATACTCAAGAAAAGAGGCTTCTTCCTACTTAGAAAGTGCCTACTTTCTTGAGGATGAGTACACTTTTTCGCTTCATATTACGTTCGCAGTCGCATTGCTGGGATTTTCACCTTTACATTCACCTTCACCTTGTTTGACGAGAGAAGTAGACGGCGTAGTCGGAGCTCTGTTACTATCGTCCTCGTCTTCGATGTACGTGTCATCTTCCTCACCCTTGATGAAGCCAGTTAGCTCGCTGTTGTAGGGAGGATGATAGCACTCCCATTTCTGTCCGTCGATTTCGAATTCGCGAACGAGAAAGTTGGAAAAATCGATCTCTTTGGAGTGGTCGGACATCTTGTTGATTTCCCTGTAGTTTAGCTTTAGAGTTGCACGCGGGTTGTCGTTTCTTAGTTTACTTTACGTTTAGCAATCGGGTGAGTAACATTATGTAGATTTGCCTGGGTGTACTAGAGGATGATGCTGAGACACACGATGTATATTCTTTTGATGGCTACAACGTAGTATTAAATAAACCAGTTTACTAGTACAAGAATATGGAGTATTATGAAGGTGTCCTTCTAGTTGTCCAGTTTACAAGAAAAAAAAGACAAAATAATCGACCTGTGTAGCGAGAATAAAGCATGATCGACGCACGCAAAGAGTATCCTTCAAGGATTTGCTAACAGATGAGGAGTAGTGCGCGCCGCTCTCTTGCTGCCATGAGAGGAGGGCCAATTCTTCTATTTGCTGCAGGTGGAAGCGTCGTGCTTGCCGCCTGCCTTTCTTGCATGAACATGACGTTCTATGTTATTTGACACCATAACCGATCGTGATTGTTTTTTCAGATCAGCCAACATCTTTGACGAGGAAAGTGGACCATGGATGGATCATGAGATCAGAATCACATCAGCTGCGCCACTCTCTTGCTGCCATGAGAGGAGGGCCAATTCTTTCATTTGCTGCAGGTGGAAGCGTCATGCTTGCCGCCCGCCTTTCTTGCATGAGCATGACGTTCTATGTTATTTGACACCATAACCGATCGTTGTTGTTTTTTCAGATCAGCCAACATCTTTGACGAGGAAAGTGGACCATGGATGGATCATGAGATCAGAATCACATCAGCTGCGCCGCTCCCTTGCTGCCATGAGAGGAGGGCCAATTCTTCTATTTGCTGCAGGTGGAAGCGTCATGCTTGCCGCCCGCCTTTCTTGCATGAGCATGACGTTCTATGTTATTTGACACCATAACCGATCGTGATTGTTTTTTCAGATCAGCCAACATCTTTGAAGAGGAAGGTGGACCATGGATGGATCATGAGATCGGAATCACATCAGCTGCGCCACTCTCTTGCTGCCATGAGAGAAGGGCCAATTCTTCTATTTGACACCATAACCATCTACAAGTAGGTGAATGTTCTTCAAGACATCATCCACTACTCATATATTAACGTCGTGTCCCTGATGTCCGTGCTTCGCGCAAAAATAAACCCTATCAAGTAGTCAAAACTTACGTGGTCGATCCTCAACACATCTGGTGTTTCTCTAAGTCTCAAAAGGTCTCTGACTCACCAGTATCACGGTTCAGAACTGAACATCTCAAAGTACCTAAAGGGTTTGAAGCCAGATGTTGGAGATCTCGATCTGGGAGGAAAATGCTAGTAGAAGATGCGTAGAAAACATCTTCGTCAGAGGAGTCGGATCCATGTGGCATCCCGTTGGCAAATGCTCGAGTACTTGTAGTTTTTTGTCGTTCAGAACCGTTGTTGTTGGAGAGCGTTGTTCGAGACTGTGCGGGTGACGCGGGTCGTCCTGCTCTTGAGGAAGGAGAAAACAAATTGTTGGCATTATTTGTTGATCCTTGTCCTTCTGCAGAAGTTCTTTCACGAGCGGGAGGTCCTCCGTGTCCTTCTGCACCCGCTGCATGTTGTTGGGGCGGAACTCGTGTTGAAGAGGAATTTGATCCTTCACGATTTGACGAGGATGAAGAAGACGACACGGACACCGAATTCCTGATAGATGAATTAGGCGGATCTCTCATCTGACCTCCATTCGCATTCCGCTGAAAGTCGGTCTCATCCACCGCTCGTCCTCCAGCACCACCTGTAGTGGTCGCAGTACTACTGCTGCTCGTCCGTCTCCTCTGTAATATCGGGATACATAATGGCGAACTATTTGACGCCTCTGGGCTTGTATCTGGGTCTTCATCGTCTGCTTGTGCACCTCCTGCGCCTCTGGATATTTCTGTTCCACCAGAAGCGCCAGTGCAGCTTTTCTCCGGCAAAACCTCTACCGCCCAATGACTGACGCCAGCATTCAGGTCTTTCCTTAGAGCTGCTACCGCGTCGCATCCCTGAGACCATCCGGCCGGGCTCTTTTTTCCCTTGAAAAAGAGGCCAACGATGGAGGTGCTGAGGCGATGGAGGTGCTGAGGATGATGCTCGCTTGGTTGCCTTAACTTGGCGATGACTAGCTTCATCCTTTCCCTGCGTTCCTCATCAGAGCTGGTTTCATCGAAAAATTTGTCGAGAGCTGCCAGCAGACCATGGGAGACGGGGAAATGAGAGAGAGCCGTGTGCAAGAGCGCCTCAACATCCCAATTCTTCAACAATTCTTGGGGACTCATCCAGGCAGGAAGCTCAGAGTTTTCGGAGGTTCCTAGCAATTTTGAACTAGAAGAGCTACCCCCACCTCCGCTTCTTGTCGAAGTTGTTGCGGGAGGAGCACCTTGCCGTTGTCCTAGGTCCTCTTGTCGTTCTCGTTCTCCTAATTGACGAAGCTCTTCTTGGTTCTGGGGCTTGATGTGCTCCTGTTGGCTTGATGTACTTTGGTGCTCTTCATTCGGACCTGCTAAGGAAGCCGATGACGAGGCCCTCGAGAAAGCTCCAGGTTTTTCATCTTGTCTGGACTGGGAACGTTGTAGGTCACCTGCTGACGTCGAACCGCCACTCGTTGAAGATGAACTGAGGCTCGCCGAACTGCTACTGCTCGTAAGACTGCCATAACCCTGTTTCAAAAACGTCTTCAGGAATTTCAGAAGGTGCTTGAATTAGACGAAAATGGGACGTCGCCTACTTCCCTTATTTCCGTTGATTTATAACAGGAGGCAGTAAAAAAGCCAACAAGATGAAACATCTAGCACTACTCAAATCAGTCTACGCTGTGTGTTCTTCTAAATCTTCTCCTCAAGTACAAGGAAGTTGTGAGTACTCAACACACTGCAGTAAACTCAAAAATGCATAATCAAAATTTCCCGCCAACGCAACAATATCTCGTTGAACCCTATACAACAACGCCAGCGCTACTTGATGGATAATGCGTTCACCGTGAGCGAAATAGAGGTCCCACACGCGTCTCACGATTTTCTGCGGCAAATCTGCCGAAAACAAAGTCATAAACCATGACAAGGCGTAGTACACAGCGGAGACGCCGTGTTTCTCGAATGTTGCCGCGACAGGGGTTAGAGGTATCATCTAGGGCGTTGGGCTTGGGGTTGGAAGACCGCATGTTAAATAGTGCACTATCATTTGGGACAACTGGAGGAAGTAACATCTTGCACACACGTCCCACAGCATAGTCAACTACATTGTATTGTTGAAAGGGTTACACGCTAGAGCTAAAAACGAACCGGTTGTTTTAGTTTTATTTAGTCAACCACATTGTGATAGTACAAGACGAGCGCTCCAAGACCTCGACATGCGTCGTCGCGCACGTTTCCTGGTAAAACTCAAGTCAGCAACATAACTTCGGCAGCAAAGCTTTGACCAATTGGTCGAATTTCCAGACGGTTGGTCGGATCTTGCGAAACTCATTGGAATAAAAATCGATCAACTGGAAACGCCACAGCATTGCGATGCTCGCCTGAAAAGCAAGCAGCTCGTCTCCGAATCATTAAAGAGGCCATTGCAGAGTAAAAGTAGAAGTACTCTAGATGTGAGGACTACAACTTAATATTTACGAAAGAGGGAGAACTAAACGAAGTAGATAAGGAACCCCCGGTTATCCGCTCACCAGAGTCCACGTGGTTGTCTATTATTTTCAAGCTCGTTTTACTTGTTTCAAGGTTGTACGTATTCGTAGTGAAGAAGTAGCACAACCAGCCATCTTACTCAAATTGCAGCAGGAGCGTCGCCACGACGAAATTGAGGCCTTGGCAATACCCCACTTCCCACAAGCGTCTGGAAACAGCCTTGAGAACTCGAAAAAGTCTTTGCTGACCTTCATGCGTTTGAAACAAAGGCTCCGAAGGTAGCGTTCGATTCACGTCACGCTTAATCAGCGACGTGATGTTGCGGTCCCGCTCTGACGACCTGTCACGCTCTATCTTGTTATCGGAAGTACTTGCATTAGCGCTAGCTTCATTTCACTATGCGTGGTTGACTGAGTAGAGTTCACGTGTACCCCACCTTGTTTCCGCTTGATTTTTTTTTTCCATAGGAGGACTATATGCTAATTCTAACTCTAAGGAGAACCCACTGCTCAGTATAGTAACTTGACATGGAATAGCGAAAAACTAGCCTTAATTGCAGTTTTCCTATCACTTGTAGTTCTCGTAGATGACCTAGTGTTGCTGTCTTTTGTTGGAGTCCTTGTTACATCCTCTGTGTCGACGTCTGTAGGTCTTTCCTCTTTTCCGGCTCTGGTGGGCGATCGCCGACGTTGCTGAGAAGTTCTTTTCGAAGTGTCTCCACCACTATCTCGTCCCGGAATTGAGTCTTCTCTACTATCTCGTTTCGAAGTGTCTTTTCTACTATCTCGTACTCGTTTCGATGTGTCTTCTCTACTATCTAGGTGTTCTGAAACTAAGTCCCAATACTCGCAGTCTTTAAAGGTGACTCGTTCGAGCAAGAGTGACTTCCAGCACAAATTACGCAATTTCTGGATTCGCCGCTCCTCATCTTTCACATGTTCCAGATAGGATCATTAGAGCTAGTATGATCGCCGTTGCATCTTAGCATTCTTGACCTCTTTTCCTAGTTGAAAAAGGAACCAAGACCGACATGGAGGAAATTCTTGACCTCTTTTCCCAGTTGAAAAAGGAACCAAGGACGACATTGAGGAAATTCTTGACCTCTTTCCCAGTTGAAAAAGGAACCAAGGACGACATTGAGTATGCACCCTGCGTTGCCTTAATAGGTGGACACTCTTCGTGGTTCAGCATCTTGTGATGTGACTTCTGTTGATGTAGAAGATGTCCTCCGCGTACAACCAGGTTTAGTATGTTGTAAGGCTCTTGATGACGACGATGAAGGGCTTTTTACTGCGCCGCGGTCTGCGGCTGAGGAGGACGAAGACGAAGATGCAGACTCGCAACTGTGGTACGGATCATGATCATGATCCGGAGGCAAATTATCTTGGCTTAAATCCTTCACATCATCATCAACTGCAGTTTCGTCTTCGACCGAGTTTGTAGTAGAACTAGCCCTTTGCAACTGAGACAGAGCTGCGGACGGCCGACTCGAAGGACCCAGTTGTGTCGCAGTCACAAGCCTTACGGCGATGGAGAAAGCTCTTCTGTATTTCTTGCCCAAAGCCTTACAGCTCCAAAAGTCGGGTACATGTAGGTATCCGAAAAAAGCTTCCTCGATGAAGACTAACAGCGGATGCGGTCGGCGACTTCTCTCAAGAACTGAGAAGTCCTCGTTCCTTCGACTATCGAACGCGTCTTGAGTTAGAGCTCACCATAATCCATCCCGAAATGCATCCTAGGTGCCTTTTCCTCTTGAGAAGCCTCTTGGGGATGCTTCCGGAGATGCATTAGGGTAAGCCTTAATTGAGCGCTACGCTTGCTGAGACACTTGCGGATCTTCAGACAGGAAGCAACCAACTGAGGAGACGGATCGCTTCTCATTTTGGTCGTCATGTCGTTTTTGATGGTGTGCTGTAGTTGATAATAGTGTCCACATAGTCACTGTTCTATTGATGTTGTTCTACTATCTTCCTCCCAAAATTTGAAGATCATGCGTCTAAAAATTTCATGGACCACTGCCCTAAAAATTTTCCGTTTGAGCACCAGTACTACCAGAGAAACGGCACATTCTAGTAGAGGCCCCTTTATTCTTTGTAAAGCTGCATGCGAACCGATTCTGAGCTGCTTTTCCTCAAGTGTCGTACTTGCATCCATGAGGCCGCAAGAGGAAACTGCATTTTTATAGAATCATGATCCAACAAGATTAAGACAGGCTTGGGAGCTTAACCGTAGTACAAAACAATCCGCCGCACCATAACCACGTGAACAAGCTTTCAACACCGGTGCTCCTAGATTGCTTCGTCCTGACGAACACCGCTCCATACTACTCTTATGCTTCCAGCTACTGGAAGGCAAGTTGGTGGGTGTCTCTCTTTGGAATGGTCTTTTGATCTTTAAATATCTCAACTATCTCAAGAACAATTTTTGATCTAAATTGGCGATAACTATCTCAAGAACAATTATTCATCTTCAAATCCATCGCCAAGTAGATTGAACGTGACAGAAGACGGAGGACAGGGGAGCCATATGATCGTGGTCTTCCACATTAATATGGGTCATCATGATCATCTTCAATCATATCCACATCGAATATCATCCCGTGAAATTGACGCAACATAGTCGGTCGTCAATCAGATCGAAAATCCTCCCGTGAAATTGAAACAGCATAGTCGGTCGAGCCTAGTACATAGCTCGACCTAGAAGTACTTACTCATCAAACCAGCCACCACCGCCATCCCCATCGCCGCCAAACCAGCTGCTCTCTTCCTGGAAGTAGGAGCCTCCCTCATCGGATGCAGAAGGTGGTGGAGTAGGTGGTGCGTCAGGCGGTGGAGAGGATCCATCTTCGTTGCGGTGGGTTACCTAAATGATGTCTAGTTGTATAATTAAAAGGGTACTAGTTGTAATGATGTCTAGTTGTATAATTAAAAGGGTAGTTCTTGTTAAAACGGGAGATTGAGGAAAAGAGGACATCGAGTTTGTTGCTATTAAAGAGGTTGTTGCTGTTGCTATTAAATAGTAGGCAACTGTCTGAATGATTGATACCTGCCCGGCGGAGGTCAACATGATTATAGTCATCATACACTTTTTGATCAAAGGATTGTAGTACCTCAACACTCCTCGGTCCCATGATCCCATCCATTGCGCGATGCATGAGACTGGAACCAAGCCCGAAGGCCATCCCGTCTGCTATCGCACCCATCAGGCCACCACGAGTCACTGCTGGAGGCTGTGCGTTTTGTGCATTAGCCAGCTGCTGGTTATCTGCGCCAGGTACTGGCTTAGCCGCACCAAGTGCCGTTACCTGGTTAGTCTGCGTGTTCCACCAATAGGTTTTGCCGCTGCCGGCTGGGTCTTTCACCTGACATGCGACAACGTCGTTGTTGATGTACGAGTGTATGTAAGTACAGTACGAGTTGATGTAAGAGTGTATGCAAGTACATCAACATGAATAAGAACGATGTACTAGTTGATGATGTACATCTTCAACATGAATAAGAACTCGTAACCAAGCGTGAGATACTTACATTCATGCCTAATTTGCTCATAAACTTCATAGTACCTCCTTCCACGGATCCACCGGTTCTGGCGCTGGTGGTGGTGGACTAGTCGCTGCTGGTGGAGGTGCATTGCTACCATCATCTGCTCCTCCTGCTGATTTTCGTGCAAAAAACCGGGTCTGTTCTTGTTGGTGGACCGATATTGATTTTCTACCAGAAGTTCTAGCTCTGAATCTGATGCTCGTATTGTTGAGCGGACCAGTTGTAGCAGTATCACGACACGGCAAAGCGGCCCCTCCTCGTGCGGGGACCAGCACTACAGGTCGCGACGTAGTTGAAAGACTGCGTTTAGACGAGGCCGCGGAGGTGTGACAAGACACTGCCATAACCCCCTGTGAGGAACGTAACAAGCTACGCTGTGCTGGGATCAACATCTTTGTTATCGAAGGTCTGTCTGAACAAGAAGACAAAAATTGGGAAGGTTATCGAAGTGCTAGTCGCAAATTATCCGAAAAAGAAGACAAAAATTGGAACGCTTTGTTTTGAAGAACTAGCGACACATCAACGCAACATGATCAACTACAAGCGTGGCATTGCCGGTGGCGGTGACGTTGTACAATTTATTTGCTACTAAAAAAACTACAAAGTGCTTACAACAAAGAGAATGCTCGTATCAATGGACATAAGTCGAAGGGATCGATGCTCCAGGCGGCCCAGGCAGGGGTGGAGCGAGGTTCTTTACAAATAACTTGGGACAAGATCAAATCTCCTGTTATCACAAGTAAGATCACGAACCCGTTCATCTTCCATCTTGTGCTGCCACTTCTAGTATCATCAGTGCTGCCTCAGTATCTTCATCATCAACACCAGTGCTCACCATCGAGAAAAATACAAGTACCAATCTTCTCTCGTCGAAATTTAAGAACACACCATGACCATTACGAACACAATCTGCACGCAGACATGTCTTTACCAATATCCTTCTCAGCATTTCAAGTAATCCGCAATACTGTTGATCACATTCATCTGGCACATTCGAGTCGTGTTTTGAAGTGTTTGTGCCTTAAGCTGAGGCGTGTATCTTGCGTATGCGTGGTGTGATAAAATGACTAAGTAATTATGGTAAATGCAAGCACTACATGTGATTTACTATGTCTACATTCTGAATCTGAAGAAGATGGACCCTAATTTACAGTATTTAGTATTCAATGAGAAGACATTATAACACGAACAAGTGTATGTTTGGCTCAATACTGGAATAATTTTTCAAGTATTCATAGTCTTCAATATGCTTTTGCTTACTTATGCACATTCGTTCCTCGTCGTTTTACGAAATAGAGCACAAATTCGGGTCATTTTCGTGTCACTATTCAAATCTATGCAGTTAAGAACGAGGGGCTCTTCACTAAGGCTACTTATAATGCGGTACTTGTAGTTCTTTTGGTTCTTTGGTCTCAAATAATTGCTAAGAGAATCGCAAGACTTCTTCCATCCTAGTTTCCATACTAGAGGACTCAGAAGATTTCTTCGGTCGTAACTTACCTCGAGCAAACTTAGTACTCCTATTAGAAACCACTACAATTGACCATCTTTTCCCTCATCTGTGTCCCTTTTTCTACTTGAAAGCAGCCCACGGATGAGCTAAAAGGTGGATTACGTGAGGCCGCGATCCTAAGTGTTTGTCGCGAAATGTTTGTCCCACGTGCTTCCCGGTTGCGCCGTGTAGTGCACTTGGGGCGGAATATCGCTTTCCTTCGCCTTGAAATTGCTCATGTCCGTTGGCGCTTTCACATTCGGCTTGTACGGCACTTCGTTGGTCTCCCATTCGTGCGCTGCCCAATCGAAAGAGCCATACCACTCGTGTTTCTTCACGTTGTCTACGCCACCTGCCCTCATGGGGAGTCGCTCGTGCGGACTTCGCTTCAGAAGCTGTGATTAGAACTTGCAGAAATCCATGATTGGTTGAGCAGCATCTTGGTGCTCCTGGTTTCAAGTCCTTTCACAAACAAATGGGATCAAGATGCTTGTTTCCCTTCTGATCAAATTCAGGTTACCAAATACCGGAACCATTCATTCTTCTGAAGATGGATTTCCTCAAGCCTTAATGTATAACTAAATCCTTGCAATGGGGCTCTTTTGCGGCGTAGGGAAACTTCACGTACGAAACGCCTTTATTCACTTTTTGGTATATCTTCGACGGACTGGAATCCTCAAAAGGCGTGTGCCCGCACATCAACTCGTGAACCAGAACTCCAAGAGTCCACCAATCAACCGCAAAATGGTGGCCAGCACCTGAAGAAAATTTAGAGAGAGAAGCAAGTAATTAGTGGAAGTAGAAGAGGTCATTTTTTTACTTGATAGAATAGATTATAGACACCCGCTATACAACTTAACACATACAACCGAGCAATAGTTAGTGGAATACAGATAGAAATACCTGCAATGACTTCAGGCGCGAAGTAATCTGGTGTTCCACACGTGGTCATGGTTTTCAGCTTGGTTTGTTTTGCGAGGCCCATGTCCGTCAGTTTGCAGCGACCTCTATCGTCGAGTAGCAGATTCTCCGGTTTCAAGTCTCGGTATACCACGAACTTTCGTTAGAGCTCAAAACAATTCATTCCACCGTAGGCTCATTCACGCAATATCCTTATAAAGGAAAACAGTGAAGAATGACACGTAGAAATAATGAGTCATATTTTCAAATATTGAGCCGTACTTTTGGTGCAGGTGCTGGAACGCGAACAGCACTGATGCGGCGTAAAAACGTGCCCTTGACGCGGAACCGTGCAGCTTGTGTCGATGGTAGGTTGCGTACAATTCGCCGCCCAAGGCAGCTTCGAGGAGGAACCAGAGACTTTGGTCAGTGTTGAACGTGGCGTAGCACTTCACAATAAACTTCGAGTCGCAAAGCAGTAAGATATTGCGTTCATTCATGGTGCTATCCTCCATGTGCTCCTGGACTACGTAGCCCTTCGACAGCTGTTTCAGTGCATAAACTTGTCCATCCGGGGCTTGCTCCAAGGTCACAGCGCCAAAACCGCCGCAGCCTAGTAAGCCCAAACGCTTCAGGTCGGACCGCTTCAAGCTCGTCTGCATGCCAACAGGAACTGGAAGATTGCCTTGCGTCCTCCCTTCTCCACCACCGCCTGCGGAATCCTGCTTCCGAGACGCCGCCGTTAGACCTTGGTCGAGTGGCGAAACACGTTTTTCGCCTAGAGTCGCATGTTGCTGCAAAATGTCCTCGAAAGGTTGCAGTAACTGGTCAAAATCGTGCTTCGTCAGACAGGCCACGAGTACGTCCGCAGAATGGGCAATGACGGTGTCTTTCACTGGGGTTTTTCCGATGAGACTCTTTTCTCCGAAGTAGGTTCCGGGTCGGTCCACCACTTTCCCAGCTACCGCGATCGCGCCACTGAGGAGGATGAAGAAAGTGTCGCCCAATTCTCCCGCCGTGAGCAGACGTTCTCCTTGCAAATAATGTTGCTCGTACAAGGTTTCGCATAATGCTTCGCGCTCACTCTCGTACAAGCACGAAAATTGCTTGATCGTGTCCACGCACCGTTTGTACTCTTGGATTTTTTCTTTAAACGATTCCCGCAAAACTTAGACCCCAATATTCATCCCCAAATGTTGCATCTTTGCCGTGCTTTTCCCTTAGAAAGGGGATCAAAGATGCCTCTTGAGATGAATTACGATTACAGTAAAAAGCCTTAAATAACGTGCTGGAAAGTGGCCCGATCAATCACCCAAACTTTGCTGTTCTCCACCGCCTGCACGGTGCAATGCCGTGCGTGCGCGTGCAATAGGGTGACCTCGCCAAAGCTGCCGCCACGACCGCAGTCCTTTATCAACCCAAACTGATTCACGCGGTCCACTTCTCCGCTGCCGTGATGCTGCTGGACGTGGAAGTGAAACTTACCACTCTCAACTACGAAAAACTCCTGTTGTATTGTAAAAGAGGGTTGAGTGGAACTTACCACTCTCAACTACGAAAAACTCCTGTTGTATTGATGTGGAACTTACCACTCTCAACTACGAAGAACTCCTGCCGTTAAAATGTTGACACAGAAAGTAGTGGTTCCGCATTTTTTTAGGGTAAAAACTTGTTATAATGATGGTCCATCTTGTTCAGCCACATGTACATAATCTCATAATCACAAGGTATAGCATCTTCCTCTGCTAATGCGGTCGTTCTTAAGGCATCGCTCAAGTAGGATCGGAAGAATCAGGGGGGTCCATCCGATCCATCCGATCCATTCAAGTCCATCCTACATCCGTTCTATAAACTATCCTACATCCGTTCTATAAACTACTCTACTAATATTAGATCTTGTTTACTAAGTTTGCCGGGACTGAACACTGTTCTTAAGGCATCGCTCAAGGAAGACCCTAAGTCAAGGAGTTTGGCCTTACGCTTACCTGCCCCGCCACGTCTCCTTCCTTGCATAAGACCTCGCCGGCGCGAACCGTGCGCGGCACTGCGCATCCTGCTAGTATTTCGCACTGTTCTTCCGTGATGCTCACCATTTCGTGCAAGTATTGGTTTTCAGCTAGCGCGTCTATGATTAGTTGTGTCGCTTCTTTGCTCTTCTGCACAGGAGTCAACTTTAAAGGTTGCCACATTAGTACATTCTTCAGCACATCCCCCACCTCTTTCCTACTAGAAAGAGAGTGCGGGATGGTTGTGGAGGATGTAATTGGTTAACCCTTAACAACTGGGCTAGACGATGAGCTGCGATGACTGCATTCCTCTTCGGGAAAACGACGCCGTGCCGCAAGTCAAGCGCATCGAAGCGGCTCTGTAGTAATTTATTTTCAGCTAGTAAATTACATTTTTCTTCTTTATCTAAAGAGTGTAAGCGATTGATTATCACAATCAACTCAAGAGTCGCATGTTGCTGCAAAATGAGTTGATTATGAAGAAAATTTTCGACTCTTGAGTTGACTCCTGTTTCTTGAAAGGGGCGCGAGGGTGTTCTCGAAAAAAAAAACGACGCCGTGCCGCAAGTCAAGCGCATCGATATCATGAGGAAAGAAAAAAGTCGAGAATAGTACTTTTGCTAATCGTGCTAGACGCAATGTCTGTTGTGGTCCCGCAACGACCGTAGCTTGCCTTGTGGTGTGCTTGATGAGTGCAATTTCACCGAAAAATTAGAGCTTGATGTTTCATCCCTTAGACTTAATATTGTCCATGATCCTAAGATACAGCAGATGCATCTTCTTGGTGTTTCTCTGTACTGTGTCCTTAACCTTATCATGATATGCTTTTGAAGCATGATCCTTCTTCAGTGAACAAGCATCTTCATTTAAGCATGCTACTTCTCAAAATAAAGATGCTTGAGATGCTTCGAACAAACTCTCAAACAGAGTTGGAACTAACAAACTCAAATACAACAACTCAAATACAAGAACAAGTTAATCTGAAACAAAGTTTCCGAACAAACTCAAATAGTACAAGAACAAGTTAGAGATGAAACAACCCAGAAAAGCACAAACAACCCAGCAGAAGCCTTAAAAGAAGTCCCCTGCACGACAAGATGCGAGCACCTTGTCTTCCTTCCGCTCTGGTGAGTTATTTTCGTGCTCTGGATCCAACTCTAATTCCTCTGGACGCACACGGCCACGATCACCCGATACCGGCAAGTAGATGTTAGAACTTCTAATGGAAGTTAGTAATCTCCCATTAATTTTGAGAAGCATCTTCTTGGGTCTCCTTTTTTGTTTTAAAAAACGGGACGAGGACCAAGATGTTGATGACAGTGAAGATGATCGGAGATTTCTTGTACTGCCCTTAAAGATGGTAAAAGGAAACGCCCGTCCGCCATCGAAGTTGTCTACTACCGCTGGTGTCCCCTTCGGATAGAGTTTTCCTGCAACTTTCGTCCCCTTCGCGAGTCGGCACATATCTCCTACTTGCAGAAACAAAGTGGAAGAAGCTTTTACGAAGGCTTCGCCCTCTAGTATTACGTAGAAGGCATCGCCCTCATCGTGCTCGCGAAAGATTACGGCATTTCGAGGGTACTCTTGGACTTCCATCGACTCCGCGATCCGCGTCAACTCCGACTCCGGGAGGTCCTGAAACAGCGACACATGCCGCAAAAAGCCAGCAATATCTCCTGTACACGACATTTTGGATTTGCTTTGTTTTCCTCGGGATGAAGGTGGGATATTACAAGATGAAAATGAGCCAACTTGCAATTGCATTTTATCAGATGACAATTTGAATTTGGATTAAGGAGGTTGACATATGCAAGAAAAGGTATCAGTGGCTACGATCATGCAACGAACTATCGTAAAACTAAAAAAATGCTCGTGGGGATGTCGAAGAGGTGTGATAGAATCGAAGAGGTTTAAGGTTAAAAACATGGAAAGTTAATGCAGGCGGCTGCTCGTGATGTCATTCATAATAATTGGTAAAGGAACAGCCTCAAGAAATGTGTTGTACAACAACTAGAACTACAACTCTCAGTTAACAGACCATAAAAAATAGAATTACAATTAGCCTCACGTAAATGCCAACCGAATACTGCGCAGCTAGGTCTTGGACAGACTGAGACTGCTCAACAACTCGGGCTTAGACCACAGATTAACCTCTTCACGCTGCTCAACTAGGTCTGACAGAAGACAGAGTTTATTGTAAGCACCCGAGTCTCTCCTCACCTACGGCTGTTACACTCACCTACGGCTGATACAGACTCAGATACTACATGACAGAAGATTCTCGTTCAAGCGTACTCTCAGAGGCACTCTCCCTCTTTCTTCCAGACTACACTCAGATGACAGACGATTCTTCTTGCGGGCATGGCCTGGCTTCTATCTCACGTATTCGAAGAACTGGAATAGGCAAGTAGACAAATAATGGAATAAGGGAGCTACTAAAGAAAGAATAGCCTTAAGCTACCTCGCTTATTTCAGTCACTAACTCCGATATTTTCAGTTTTCGAGTAATCACATGATTTGGCAGCAGAACAAAAGAACAAAATTAAAGTCATTGACGCAACCAGACCAGTCAACATCCCAAATATCCTCAATATCCTCAATCCGCATCGTCATCAAGCAAGTCGCGACGAATGCGTTCGTGGCGCTCCAGCTTCTGTAAGGCTCTGAAAGTGCTCATCAGATCTGTCGCAGCAGTTGACTTTGATCTAGAAGCTGTAGCAGCAGCAGGAGGTCCTATAGCACCTATCTTTGATAGTTGTGAAGACGAGTTAGGCTTAGAGTCAGCCTCCATGTCGATGTCCTCTTCCACACCTCCGCGTATGTCATGCTCATGTGCTGTCGCAGAAGCTTTCGCCACAACAACGGCTTTTGTAGGGGCAGCTTTTGGCGCTGGTGTCCCACTTACAGCGACTTTTGACGCTGGCGTCCCGGATAGAGAGGAAGCGGCATTTGACTTTTGCTCTTCTAGATCGCAGACTAAACGCTCGTATCTACGCAGTTGCTCCTGAGCTGCTTGAAACTTACGCTTCCACTTTTCTGTGGCTTCAACCTGTCGTGGAAGATCTAAAATATTTCGAGTAGGACAAGAGTATCTGTAGTGTCTTCAGTTGTATCTCATGCTCTTCTAAGTAAATCTGTATATATAATAATACAGCATCCGCCACTCGTTCCGTGAGAGCCTTTGTCTGACGCGCAACCTGGGCCTCTGTATCAGGAACAACTTCTGCTGCCGCAAGACGCTGAATTAAATCGGACTTGTCCTCCCGCAGTCTATTTATCGTAGCATGCAATTCCGTGATTTTGCTTGCCATGTTCTGATGCTCTGCTATAGATAGAAGACCAATTGTTTGGGCAGCACTCGAAGATGTTGTCGGAGGTGCTGGGGCGAGGACTGAAGTTGCGCTTGTGCTGGCTGCAGGAGTTGAAGTTGACCTACACCTATTTTGATTTTCATCCTTGTTCATGTCAGAAGCACGTGCTACTTGTAGTGCTTGAGAATATTTAGCTCCAGCGACAGTGAGTAGGGTCTCCAGTCCTCGTAATCTCGCATCCTGTGCCGAGAGGCGTGACGCGACAGAACTGTCATGAGCTGAAAACGCTTCTAGGATTTTCTTCTCCCCCACTTTGAAAGCGCTCGATATTGCATCAATTTTTCCCTGCAATTTGTCCTGACAGTAAGCCGCGAGGTCACTTTCATCAAAGAGAAATTTCTCCTCATGCTCATCTTCAGTTCTTCTGCCAGCACTGCTCGTCCGTAGTTGTACAAGTGCCCCATGAGGAGCCCCTAGTACTCTACTTTCTCCATTCCCAAGTACAGCTGCAGCTGCTGCGCCAACTTCTTGCGGCCGCTTGATCTTGCTCGCTGATCTTGACCGTTCACGTTTCTTCGCCAAGAGTGCACTCTCACCAGCTGTCGGGGCATCGTCATCCTCCTCGTCACGGATCCTACTGTGTCTCCTGGAACTCTCTCTCGGTCGCGAACCCCTATCTGTAGAGGAGGAGGAACCGCCTATCTGTTCCTTATGTTAGAGCTTCAACCTCTAAAAATCCATGATCTTGAGATTCATCTTGAAGCCGCTTTCCACCCATCATGGAAGGAGCCTAAGTTGTCAGACGCTTCTGCCGATAAAAGAGTATGGGAAGCCTTAACGATGGTCATCCACTCGCGAAGGAGACAAAGCAGCAGAAATTTGGCGACTCGTTTCCAATTCGAGGCACTTTTTCTCGACTGCAAGAGTCCAGACTGCTTCTCGCCATACCTTCATTTTTGGAGAAGAACGATAACAAGTGTCAAGAACCTCAAACTGCTACTGCTATTCTTTAGCTTTAGCTTCACCGTAATTAATAAATCGGTAGTATTTGAGTAAATACTATAATGTTCAGGACTAGCTAGTACTTAAATTCTGTGTCCATCACTTCATGATTCGATCTTTCCAATCTTCATCTGTAGGAGCAGGCATTGCAGTACCTCCTCCTTAGTAGTGGTTGCAGTACCTCTTCCTTAGTCGTTCCGCGTGCGACTTGTGCATCGAGGCTGTCGAGATACTGCATTGCCCAACGATGGACATCAAGGACTTGCTCGAAGGGCACTTCGTTTGCTGCTGGCTTGCTGACCACAGACTGGCTGTGCTCGTGTTGTCTTATTTAGCGGTAGTCGCGACACTGCCTTCTTCAGATCATCCTTGACCCATTTTCCTGTACTGGAAAACATCAAGTCAAGGATGCGGTAGTGAAGAATGCATTATTGTGGTAAAAACCCTTAACGTATTTGCTCATACAGTTGCTGCAGTCTTCCTTCGTCTTGTTGAACTATCGACGAAGCTGCGGCATGGGGAGCTGGACGAGGCTGCTCTTGATGTGGTAGCACGACGCGGTCTTCAAAGTGATCTGCGCTAAAGAAACGATGAGGACGACGTGTTGTTGACGTAGAAGGAGCTGCAGCTCTACTGGTAGCAACGTCGGGATGATGCTCTGCCACCTCGAAACGTGTTTTGTGAAAGGTTGTACCACCACCTCGAGAGGCTTCATGTCGTCGTGGTGGTTGTATACCAGATGTGGTATGAGAAACCGTTGCTGAGGACGATCCACCACCGAAGGTTTCCCATTTTGACCTAGGATCGCTGGCACGTTCTTCCTCACTATCCTCTATCACAGGAGAAGGACACAGGCCCATCCATGATGTGGAAGACGAAGATTTTTTATTTGCAGTATCTGCAGGGTATACGTTGCCCTTAGTGGTCGTTGCCGCTGTACTACCTGTAGTTCTTGTAATATTATTATCGAAGCCAGTTGTATAGTGCTCATCCTCGCTAGCTGTCGTCGCGTTACCCGAAGTGGTGGAGTCGCAAGCTCCCGACGTGTGCTGACTTTTACTCCCTGTAGTAAGGGCGTTCGAGTAAATTCGAACGCTATTCAACAAAGAAGTCGAAGAGTCTTTTGGAAGGCCAGTCGGGTTTGCATTTTGCTGTGCCGTTAATGCTGGTACAACTACTGGCCTTGTTTGATATTGCTGTACTAGTGCCGGGGGAAGAGCAGCCGTTCCTCGCACAATAAAATTGTACACGGCCAGTTGTGGCAGTTTTTCGAAGACATAGTCTTGCCACTCGCTAGTCTCCACTTCTGAATCCTGCTCGCTAAGGTTCAGGTCCACCAGAGAGTCAAGCGTTTCGAAAGGGGTATTAGAATTGTGAAAAAGAAAGGACGAGGTTACTGTAAAAAGTACGAGGGGGAGTAATACCTACCACAGCATGCGAGTATCATGATGATGATGATGATGATGATGATGAATGTCATGTCAGGCCATCTTTGTTCCTGAACTACTGGTCAGGTCTAAGGCCTTTCAACAAACTCGTACCTCACAACCAAATATTCGATAAACTGAAATAAGCGAGTAACTAGACTTAAAATAAGCTACCTCCCTAACTGTAACCGTCGACACTCTGTCCGTGAGCTGGTTATTGCTCAGGTCCAGACGGATGAGCTGCTTGAGGCTCGTGAAATTCGTATGCGACAATGATGCGATCTCGTTGTGCGAGAGTACCAAACACTTCAGGTTGACCAAGCACAGCAAACCAAAACCCACGTCCTGGATGCGGTTCCAGCTTAGGTCGAGCGAGACCAGGTGCTCCGCAAGTATTTCCAAACTCGAGATTTCCGAAATCTCATTTCGAGTTAGAGCTCCTAGAACAACCGCGTTAGCATCTTCCCTGAGAGGATTCATTTGGATTATCTTTTGAGCAGGAGGCATTTTTTCCAGTAGAAAAAGAGCCACGGATGGCGCTCAGGAACAGGATGCTTCAGCGGTAGCCTTAAGCGAGCTAGGTTCAAAGTGCGAATATCCGGATACCCCTCCTTAATCTCGCGCACCAAATCGCGCGAAAGCGATGTTATCGGCATTCTTTTTGTTGTAGCTAGAAGTACAAGTATTGTACGATGTTTGTACTTAACTAAGTTGTAGCTCGTTATTTACGTTTAGTTCTTTCCGAATCGTCCGAGAACTACGAAAAAATGGATGAAGTGGATTTCTGTTTTGCGAATATTTGAGGCTTCAGCACTTTCGCCACTTTTATTTTTCATCCTTTCGTCACGTGGGTCACAAGGCATCTCAGCTGTTCGTCAACATGTTTCTGTGCCTTGTTTTTTCTATGCGGAAGCGGAAGAAAGAGTAACTCCGTCAGTTGTTCCTGCACAGAATATCTGATGATGTTGTTTATGTTCTGATGTTGAATGAAGAGGGGTGGCCTTAGTGAGACTAGATGCGTTGTCATAAACTTGTTCGTATACTGTTAATTTCAGAAGTCAGCATGCTCGAAGAGATCCGTGAAAAGATCCGAGGTTACGTTAAAGGTGGACCATGTGGCATATGTGAATCTACTCCACATGCACTTCATTGCCTTTGAGTTGTATGGTTTACAACGAGGCATAATTCTATGTATGGCACGAACGATTCAAAAACAACTCGACAGAATATGATGACAAAGCAGCTACAATATGGACAAAAAATTACACAGATATTGCTTAAGAAGTTCAAGTATCTCAAGATTTTCACTATTTCCCAAACAAAGACTAAAGTTCAGCAGTCAGTGGTCACTGATTCTGAACGGAAGAGACCATCTTCAAAGCTCTTCCCTTTTCCCTTCATTTTCCCCTGTTCTCTAAGGAGAGCCCCTGCTCTGCGATCTCAGTGACCAACCCCAATGAGGAATGAAAGTTGAGCCTTAAAAAGAGCTCTACGATGTTCAGGTATTTACTCTAACAATTGCTGCTGTTGCTGCGAGGTTCGACGATTGGCGGCTGATCGCTTGACGATCACGCCCACCCCCACGGCTACACCGGCGATGAAAATTAGAGCTACAACCGCGTTCGCATCTTCCTCTCATCTGAGAGTCATTGAAATTAATCATCAACTTGCTTATTGAAAAAGGGTCAAGGATTGAGGAAGAGGACGCATCAGGACCAGTAGCCTTAAGAAAATTGCAAGAATAATGTGCCACGGATCGACGTAATCCATGAAGCTCAACTTCGGTGCCCTCTCACTACGCTTTCGACCTAACAACAGCTGATTTCCAGTTTCTCTGTTTACCTGCTTGTTTGAGGTTTGGTTTTTAAAGTTTCTTGATTCTCGAGGTTTCTTAGATGAGTGACGTGATGGAAGATGACGTTGTACTTGAATGTGAAGGACGAGTGGCTTTAATATTGTTTTGCTCTTTCATTTTCTCTTTGTTTTGTAGAACTACGGTTCTATGTTCTTGAGCAGGCCTAGTTGCAAGTTATATTACGAAGGTGTAACATCATCATGATCATAAATCTTATAACGATATGAAAATAGTACCTTGATAATCGCCGCAGCCTCATCAGCATCTTGCGGGCAAGCACCAGTGGTCTTGCCGTATTGCCCTCCGAGCATCTGTCTATTCTTCAAATCGTCATAGCCGGTGCATGTTTGAAGAATCTTAAGACAACAGGGTATCATCTGCGCTCCGTATCCGATGTGGAAGCAGCAGCCGGTGTATTCCTTGTCTGCTTCGGAAACTTCTTCTAGCAAGCTTAGAATAGAAGATGTTGACACTACCTCTCAATAGGAATGTTGTGGAAGATATTTGCTAGACAATAGGAGGCACAAGGATAGGTACAAGACACTACCTCTCAATAGGAATGTTGTGGAAGATTCTTTCTAACCTAGGAGGTTGAACTACTTTGCTAGACAATAGGAGGTACAAGGACGAATCCTCTCAATAGGAATGTTGTGGAAGATTCTTTCTAACCTAGGAGGTTGATCTACTTTGCTAGACAATAGGAGGTACAAGGACGAATAACACGTCGCCTACTACTAAGTAACTTACGATGAAATGAAGCTTCTTCATCATATGAACGGGACTCAACCACACTTAGGCAAAAATTTATCAATCCCGGAGTAGGACACTTTCTCTCAGAGGAGGCCATAATTCTGTTCTTCTTGACAACGCCAGAAGTCGTGTTTCTGGTTCCACGTCGTCGTCACTTTCCTCTCGAGAATCTTCGGCGTCCTCGTATTCTACGCCTTAGAGATTGATAACAAGCGGTTGTCAGAGGACATAGATGTTCATACAACTAGGAGTCTTAATCCTAGCCGCAATCGTTTGAAGTTAACCGGAGCTTATCCTTGATTTCTTATAAAGGTAGTTGTACTTGTCATGTCATGTGCCCTCCTTATCCATATGGTCTAATGTATTTGAGGTACTCAACATGATGCATAGATCAGCATACAACAAAATATTGAAAAAGAAATCCTCGCGACCTTAAACCTGTTCTAGGGCTTCTGTCTCGTCTTCGATCTCTGGCGCAGCATCGTCATCTACTACTTTTTCTGGCTCGAATGATTGACCACTTTTTCTCCTTCTCCTTCTCCTATCCACAGCTGATGCTCTCAGTCTAATTCTGGTATTAGAAGTGGATCCTTTTGAAGTGGATCCTTTTGAAGTGGATGATTTTGAAGTATTATAAACCTCATAGCAACCCTGATTTTTTGTGCTTGAAGATGAAGTTGGAGCAACAAAGGTGGACCAGGGTCTTCCTCTCACTCTCCCTCTCTTGCGACCCAGAGAGAAAGAAAGACCCAGAAGTAAAGTTCATCAATCTCAGTGTAGTCGTTGTTCCTTAATGTTTTCACTAATCAATCTCAGTGTAGTCGTTGTTCCTTAATGTTTTCACTAGGTGAAGAAACTGGTCCTCGCTCGTTTTGCCGATCAGCATTATGTGAGATATCGGCGCTTGCGACTAGGGTGCTCAAAGCAAGAAGGACAAAGACACTATTCTTCGTCCTACCTTTTGGCCTCGTCGGAGATGTCATGGTATTTTGCTCTTGGTTTCGTTTTCAAGATAATGATAAATATATTTATTCTTGTGAGTACTTACTTACGCATAATGTAACTGAATGTATTTCTTGGATATTTATTAGTCAACATGAACTATCATTTTTTTTGGTCGTGCTAGCAAATTTAGAGCAACATGTTGAGTCGCCAACCAGGGGAAAAAAGTAAAAAATTTTGGCAGATGCTTGCTCAGAGCTCCTGCTGAGACACGGCTTTCAATTTTTCAATTCCACAATCATGCAAACACAGTTCAGTTCATCGTCCCAGTACTAGCGTTTGTGTCTCTCAGGCGGGTCTGCGATCTCTATTTTGTTGGTTATCCTACCTTCTAAAAAACGAGTCTCCTCGCGCGAACACTTCTTCGTCCTTTTCCACCTCGGCAATCGGCATAAAAAGTAACTGCGTTGAAAATGAATAGAGCGCTGAGCACCTGGAAGGAAACCATTCTGCTTAGAACGCACAATGACGATTGACACCCGCATAAAGTATTTCCGCGGCTACGCGCCTGTAATACTTGTCACCGCACCTGCGTTTTGATTTCTCAATGCTTGACGTGCTTTTTTCAATGAAGTATAGTTCCGATTCTCTTCTTTCGCTGCATCCATTGCGGATTTCAGTGTATAAAAGAGCTCCTCACCTCGTGCAGTAGTTGCCGTACAATCTGCATCCTCAGGCGGCGGCGCAGCATTTTCTTGTTGTTGTTGTTGTTGTTGAACATAGTCTTCAACGATGAAGAAACCAGTTGGTAGCTCTATAGGATGCGCGACTAAGGTCAACCTCAATTCCAAACGCACGCCCATGTTATTCGCGATATACCGTGTCATCACATGCCCTGCATCGGACCTGGAAGTTAGAAATGGAGAGGGTAGTACTTCTAGTAGTGTACCGTCGTGGGATGGTAATATGCAGAAGAAAATATGACAGAGTAGTACGAGATGTAGATCGAGATGTTGGCTGACTGCAACGTGCTACATTCACGAGATGGTAAGTAGATCGAAACTTGTTGTTCCACAATAAATCTGCAAGTTCCTTATAAATGATCATTGTGACAAGTTATTAAGTCCCAGTATTAGTACGGCGTCATCGTCTCCGTCCCATAGTCTGCGCAGTATAACCAGCCCTCCCACGCGCAGATATGTTGTCGAAAAAGATCGCGACAAACCGCGAGCGGCAACATCATGTGGTACCGCGGAAGGGTCGTGTCCTCATCCCCAAACAGCTGAATTTCCCAGACATCGTGCTTTACATTCCCCGCTATGAAACCAAAATATGTTATCATTATCATACTTTTCTGCTTAAGAAACTTGATAATGATAACAGATTTTCTGTTCATACCCGCCTCTAGTACAATATTGGGGTCGTCACCTCGTCCGCCACAAGACCTCCAGGCTTTCGAAGACGGGGTTCTGTCTGGAGGATCCTCTACGGTCCATGGAGAAACAATGAGAGCGCCAGGACTGTCGTGATCTTGTTGTTAGAGGTTAGGGAATTACTCTAGTGATGGATTGAGTGAACTACCCATGTTAAAGTCAGATTATAGTTTTTCATCTAAGGCACAACTACAATTACAGAAGCGCTCGACGCACCAGCTGGGGTGGGCGCAAAGAAAGCATGCGTTAGCAGTGTCTTATGTTGTTGCCATTCAGATGCTTTCCTTACGGTGCCAAGGCCTCTTCTCTACTAGGAAAAGAGTCAGGGAGGGTAGTGAGGAATGCAATTCGGAAACCCTTAATGTTGACCTTGTTGTGGTTGTCCTTGCGCTTGTAGTTGTCCACTCTCGCGATCTGGATCTAATGAAACTTCTTCGTCTCCAAAGTACCGTCGGTACACGCAGAGCCTGCGCACACCTTTTGGTATGGTGCGTACCTCGAGAGTGAACTCGTACATTCTGATGTATTCTTTGGATCTCTGATGTATGTAAAAATTGAATTGATGTTGTAGTTGTAGTTGTACTTGTCCCAGTAGCTATAACGTAGCTAGAAGTTCTTGTACTGTTTATCAGTTACTTATGCTGGAGAAAGAGTTCTGCCCAATGCATAACATGGACTTTTGTTCTCCTACGAAAAATTTTTGTCCAAAAATTTCATCCCGAGAGCGAGAGCGTTCTTCACCTTCAGCGATAAAGAATAGATCATCCACAACTACAACACAGGGAAAACATATACACACCTCCGCCAGAGCCAGAGGAGGCCACAGGTCGAGTTCATAAAACGGGTGAAGGGTTAGGATAGGATTTGATTCGCCGTCCACAGTTTGACCTGTATCCTCGATCGAAGTAGGTTGTAGTGCTTCATCAGCAAACGTAATATTGCAGTTTGATTTGTGCAGATTTCTGAAACAAGGTGAGTTTTGCTAGGGTGGTGACGCTCAAGCGGGCATATATAATTGCGAACGTTTTCATGGACCTAAGGCTTACTCGTCATATGAACTATTTTAAATAAACTTTCGACTGAATATTGATGCATTTTCATTTTGTTCTATTTCATCAAGGTAATAACTCATCTTTCAACTTCAAGCCGAATTCTATATTGTGCGAATAATAATGGCTGAACCTGAAGCTAGCGAATGAAGCTCTAATGCAAATCATGTGTATGTGTAGTGCTCCTATGATTATGCAGTGGTCGATATGTCTTGTAATTGAGCGTGAGCCCGTAGTTCATTTGACATAACATGTATGACACCTCCTTGTTTTTGAGATGCGTTTTTCGTCTCTTCTATGTATTCAAATTTTCTTCAGTACTAGGACTAGCACAATGCAGGATCACTAGTATGCACAGAATGACGACCACAACTCGGCGCTTTGCATTAAACTTCTAAAATAATGAAGGTGGCTTTTAAAATGACTAAGAAGTACAATACGAAGCTAGCAACCACCTCTAACAGTGTTATTCTATAATATTTCTACCTTAAGCACCGGAATTTACGACTTGTATCTTGCACTTTGTTGGTTCACTATCTAGAATAGATGACGACTTGTATCTTTCACTTGTATCTTGCACATTTCTGTCTTTATTGGTTCACTATCAAGATTCATGACTTACTCATCTTGCTCATTTCTGTGGTCTCTATTGGTTCACTATCTAAATCTAGATCTATTTACTAGTACTGTTACATTGCGGATGCAACTATCCTCGTGCCATCGAATGCACTCTTTTCAGTCCTGTTCATAGTCTTCATCTGACAGAGGCGGATCGTAGATATCCGCGATCCGTTGCAGCTGCGTTCTAGTTGGACGCAAAAGGGCATCAATCTTTCGATTTTCACGTTTCGATTTTTCACTCAGCCTAATGCGTCTTCGGAGTGGTGATTCGAGTTGTCCAGGCTTGTTGTGATTCGAGTTGCCTGCTCGACTTGCCTTAGCGCTGACCCCAATCCATATCGAAGGAGGCCGCTTCTGAGGCCGTCTCCCCTTGAAAACGTACCTCAAAAATGCTTCCGAAGATGGATTAGGGTAAACCTTAATTGCCGCAACAGCAGTTTTCTTGCTTGGAGGCGAAGCGCCATTTTTTTAGAGGTAGGCTATTGGTGTTCGTTTAATACCCCGCTCGTTATGCCTTTCCCCCTTCAGAAAGGCAAAACGAACGGTAACAGGAACACCTTTAACCTACCCTTAAGAGAATATGGTAGCCCTACCGCGTCCCAGAGATCGCTCGTGCGGTTCGTAGCGTGCACCGAAGGCAAAAGCCGAAGCGTCAGTCGATGATGCACGTGGTTGCCTGTTTTGCCGGGTTCTTCGAGAGGAGTTTTTGGCTTCTGAGGAGTCTTTCGTTGTACTCTCTACTTCACGAGTAATATTATCAGTATTCTCCTCGCCTTTTTTTGCGCCAGATGTTGTTGATGATGTTCTTTTACTTCTACTACTACTGGTTTTGTCAGTTTCTCCCTCCTTCTCCACCGCTTCTTGTGTCTTCTTCATCCGCAGAGGCAATACCCCACTGCCAGCGGTGAAAGAGGCTCTGCGACGACGCAACAGGTCATCAGCTGCTTCCTTCGACACCTCAAAATCCAGATACGCTACTTTACGTGGTAAGATCTGGTCTGCTGGGTTCCTTAGGTCAGCTCGAAAAGCAGCCGTACCTTGTCCTTGCTGTGCTTGTTCATGAGCTTTCGCTATCGCCCTCTCAGCATACTCCTTTTCTTAGAGGTAGGTTTTTGGTGCTCGCTTACCCCGCTTGTTAGTATGCCTTTCTCCCTCCCCCTTAGGATGAGAGAGGCATAAAAAGCGGTAAGAAAAGCACCTTTAACCTACCCTTAATTTTCCCATCCTGTCATAGTATCGTCCTTTGGCGCTCCTCCGCCAAGCACATTGCCTCCAGACGTACCATCCATCTGTTTCAGTTAGAAGGAAACAGAGGAGCAGCACATTTGTAGAAGAAGAAGTAATTATAATCTATTACAAAGTATGCGATGAAGCCCTAATTCAATGTAGCTGCAGCATTTGCGCGATCTAAGAACGACTTTAGAGCGTCAGCCTGCCTACTGCGGACGCCAACCGCTGAGGAATCGCCTTCGTCCAGGACCAGAGCAGCTATGTCAAGTTCCCCAGCAGAAGGGTCTGAAACCTGAGCAGGTGGATATACTAGGTACACTTAACAAGCAGATAGCCCTCAGACAAAAAAGAATCGTGTACAAGTACTAGGTGTAAGAAAGAACAATAATGCAAATATACCGATGAAGATACAACATACAACACTTCTGAATACTCCGTCGATCAAGAACATAATGTCACAATTAGGTCAACTACAGTACCTTATGCGCCCTACCGCTTGTTCCTGGGTGTGTTGGAGAGTCGTTTACTGTTCGAGCGGCTGCTGCGCGGCCGGCTCTGAGCCATCTGTGATGCTGTATCGGAAACTTGGCGAAAACGTCATCAAGTACGCCTCTCCTAGTTAGAGCTCTAAATTACTAATGATCCATCTCGAGTCCCGGGCGCAGCTTTTTCCCATTGAAAAGTCTATAAGGATGCTGCTCCACAAGATGGATTTTTAGAGTAGACTAAGACTACTTAAATAGAGCACCGCTACTAGCGCACAGCCGCGACAGGTGACAGTAATGTTACTACTCCTACCGAAGAGCAATAGGCTCTCATGACTCAGAATGGCACCGCCTGCATTGTACTGATGAGCGGCTGTCGAAGCAGGGTTATTCATTGAGGCTCCAGTGTTAGTAGAACTACTCTTAGACCTTCTAGGAATCCATCTTCAGAAGCATCTTCAGAAGCATCTCCTTGGACCCGTGATTTCCCCCCTGAGCACAGAAGAGGTCCAAGAAGATGCTACTTCTTCTGAAGAGGGGAGATTTCCGGAAGTCTTAGTACTAGACGCGGAACCGCCTGAAGCTCCTTGCTGTGCACCAATCGACATTACATGCTGAACTTGACAGTTTTGATGCAGATGGCGAATGATCACTCGTCTTATTGAAGTCGCGCCAGAGCCTCCTGCTCTACTTCCTGCTCTACTAGTAGTCTTTTTAGTCCCTCCGGCGTCAGATGTCGTGTTATTCCGACCAGGAGAAGTTGTACATTGCTGCTCGTTGTCTGACAAGGATAGTTGGGAAGCTTCCTCTGAAAGGACGCCGCTGGAACTGCCAGGAACACAACTAAAAGTAGCTAACCCACCTGCTCCATTTGAATTTTTAGAAGTAGTGTATTCGAAAAACTGAAATAAGCGAGTTGACACTACTGAAAATGAAAGCGAGATACTGAACAAGGAAGAGTAGCCCTGTCAGAGCTACCTCCCTTATAATTTCAGTCAGTAACTCGGTTATTTTCAGTTTTCGTAGTGTACTAGGACCTCTTCATCTGCGTGCCTTTTTCCTCTTGCCTTGTAGATGCCTATGGACGAGATGAATTCTCTACACCCATAAAATTTGTAGTTAGGAAACTTCCTCCAACTGCTCCACCTCCAGCGGAGCCACTAGGTGCGGGACCAGGCACAAAAGCATTGCCGCCACCACCGTCTTTGAGGAATGAGAGGTCTCCAAAACAGTCTCCATGCTCTGCGAACGAGCCTATATTAAAGCCCGAAAGTCATTGACCACTGATGCTGAACAACGGGAGAGACTAGTTGTACCTTCGAAATAGCTCTCTATTTAAAAAAACACACTAGTGCGTAACCCGTAACACGAACCTCAACAAGTCAAAAGTACCCATTTTCCCCTGATGTTCTCAGGGGGCAGTCTCCTCGTCTTCAGAGTCAGTGACCAACCCTTGGAGGACACGGAAGCGAACATCGTGGACCATGCTAGTCCTACGGATGCGGCTTCTCCTGCGACCTCAGTATCCAATGAAGGTTGAGCCTTAACTATAACGCCTTTATCTTGAGACTTCTCCAGCGGGCCTCCTTGAAGAAGCACGAAGAGCGAAGAAGTCGTGTTCCTTTGGTGCTCTCGAAGCACTGGCTCCCCATTTTGATAGACGCGAAGTCTTAGAGCTCTATGTCATTCCAAACGTCGCGATACTTCTTCCAGTTGTAGATGGCACTTGTAGAAGTAGAACAAGTTGCTTCATTATTAGTTGAGGAAACAAACCTGGGTGCTTTTTCCCCTTGAAGAAAGGCCTCTCCAGGACGTCGCCTCGGAAGATGGATCGATAAAGGTAAGCCTTAAAAGTCTCAAGTATTTTTGCTGTATCAAATACCAAATTAGATCATCTGGCAGTCTGGAGACACGTTGTAGCGCAGAGTACAGTAGCATGTTCATCAGAGTTTCGTTGCTGGTAATTTTCTGGTCGTGCATCGCGTCGAGCTGACGCTGATTTTTGCCATGCAGGAAAGCGTGAAGGCGTTGCAGCTGGTGCTGTTGTGATTAGAGCGAGTGGAGGTGCCCAGGCTCACTATTTATTCGGCGCATATTTGACTAAAAAAAAAAAGTGCATTTCATGATGGCTGAACAGCAGCTGCTCTGCTTTTACCAAACTAGGACTGTTAGCCCAAGTAACATCGCAGGGGGAAAACTAGCAATAGTTTTATGTGCCTTAATCCTGTTGTGCTTTCATCTCAGCACTTTTTTCTCGATCAACCTTCTGGTCATCGTCACTTCTTGAACTACCACTGCCTTTCATCTTCACGCCAGAGGTACTCGATGTAGCGCTATTGGAGCTTTTGTCTAACTCCCCTCTAGGAGTTCCACTACGACTCCTACTGTGTGTCGCGCCACGATATGAATGGCGTTCTTTCTCCCCTCTAGAGGCAGACCATCCTGGCAGGTCTTCCCCTTGAAATGAGTGGCAGCATGACCCGTTAAAGTAGATGGGAGAAAAAACATGATCCATACAAGATTCAAAGGATCTAAAAGCTTGTTCCGTCGCTTCCCTTCTCCTTCGCTCGAAGACCCTGTCGTACTCGCATGACCAGAGACGCGTAGCATGCTCTTTCGCATTTTCAACGGTGTTTAGAGCAGTTGGTATTGCATTCGCTTCTTAGCCTCTGAACATAAACTGAAACATATATTTCTTTTTTCGAGAATGGTATTGCGAACTGTAACTTTATTTCCTCTTAGTACTTTTCGAGAATTCGGTATTGCGAAAACATCTTAAAGATCTAACATAAGTACCCCAGCCATAAGATCTAACATTGCTATCGCTGCTACTCTTATCTACGCGGCTATCCGACTCGTTTCCGCCTGCGCCTCCACCTGAGGCCGAACCAGAAGGATCCCTAGAAATGTGCGCATTTGCTGGAACTCGTTCTTGATCATGTCCACAGCCTTCAAATCCACCTGCGAACAGTTTCCTTTCCAAATTTTCTGTCCCAAGTAGCTCGCTTCTCAAGAATGTCATGCGATCTTGGACATTCATCTCGAGAAGGCGTTCGAGCAGGTTCGCAGCTTGATGTAGTCTTTCGATATCCTGTTCACACGCTTGGCGCCATGTGGTCCAGGATGCAGATGTTGAAGAGGATTTTTCACTTTCTACAACAGCTCCTGCTGTCCTACTAGCAGTACAGTTTCCAGATGCTGTTGAAGACGAGGCTGCAAAACTGCCATGGATGGGGTTGCGAGTTTGATTGCCTGTTCTGTTGTTCGCCATCCCTCCTTGTGGTTGTGCTCCTCCACGAATGGAAGGAGCATTAGTTCTCGTACTACCTGCAGCTCCTCCGAACACTGCACCAGCAGCCGCTGAAAGACGTGGCCTGCCTCTGAGAAGAAGCTCACCATCTGAGTGCGTAGGCTCTCGATCGGACAGCGGAAAGCGATACTGTTCGACATCGCTCATACTCACGTCAGAGTGAATTTGCTTGTCACGACCTCCATCCCTGCTCTGTATCAGAATGTCGATTTTTCTAGCGGAGGAGGTACTGATGTCTTTGTCTCTTTCTCCTGGCGTAGCAGATGCGCTACCATTGGCATTGACAGGAGTCATGGGTTCTCGCTCAGACACAGACAGGGACAAGTCTTCACCAAGGTGGGAGCCTGATGGTGAGCCCTGATCAGATCCGTTTTTCCTCTGCGTGCCCAACGAATTCTCAGTGTCTGAGCCGTAAGACGCTCTCTTAGTTGTACCCGTGGTTTTCGTCGTCAGATTTCGTGCAGCTTTCGGTGTAGTCTCTTCTTCGCAGGATGACAACCCCCCATGTTGCTGAAAATGATGCAAGTCTGCTGCTAAGAGCTGTTGCGAAGTCGAGAACTTCTTTGGTTCTACAACAGACTCTTGGAAGTGTTGGCCTGTATTAAAGGATGGCAGTCAGTGGCCACTGATTCTGAAAGAATAGGGCCTCACGCCTCGTTCTCCCCTTGTTTTCCCTTCCTTTTCCCCTGTTATCTCACGGGAGCCCCTCGGCGATCTACTCAGTGACCCCAATCTACTTAAATGGTGACCAATGAAAGCTGAGCCTTAACTGTAGCTTTATTCCTTTCACTGTGATCGTTTGACCGCTTCGTCTGCTCTAGAACTACTTGCTGCACCATGGATGTTGGTGGGACGGACATTCGAACATCAACCTCATCTGCATCAACTTGAGAGGAATTGGTCACATAAGCTGCTAGAAGTTGCGTATCAACAGATGTGCAAACATCTACCAAAAGTCTGTAAGCCGAACTGCAAGACGAGCTCGCTATAGAGCAGTTGGGCTTACTTTGTCGCCTGCCTGTGGTAGAGACTTCACTAGGTACAACATCACTACTGATCTCTCGATTGTGCGCTGCTGAGTCGGAGTCTGAACTGGGGCCGCCGACGAGTCCCGAAGTCCGCGTCCCCAACAGGTTGTTGTTCTTCTTTGTCTGGAGAATCTTCTCTTTCCCACTTACATTCGAAGAACTTCCTTCCAGACTGATTCCTTGGAAAAGGAGCCCACTAAGCAAGGGCCGAATCAATCCCACAACCCGTTCTTGCACTGAGGGTTGCGACTCTAGCACTATTTCCATGTCGTCCTCAGGTTGTTCGTCCTGAGCTTGTGCGTCCGATGTTGACGATGCTGAAATACGGCCACTAGTTTTAACGCTAGTTTTTCCCTATGCCTGGTTGAGTGACTCGTCCTCTGGCTCCCTATTCCCCCCTTCAAATCAAGGGGCACCTCAATCTTCCGCATAGTCCTCATGGGATAGTGAAAAACTAGCCTTAATAGTTGTCGTACCGGTTGCATTTTTTGGCGAGCTAAGTGACTCGCCGTTCGGTGCAACGATGCGCTTCCTGGACAAGTCAGTGGTGCCACGACCGCCCTTTGCAGAACCATGCTGAAGCACATGCTGTGATCCTTCGGTAGCAGAGGGCGTTAGAGACAATTTCTAGACTTTCGTTTTTAAGAACGCCTAGTACGCTGGTGTAAGTATTTACCTACTTTCTCAAGAAGTTTCATCAAAGTTTTTGTCCGATACAATACTGCCATAACAACGGCGACGAGTAACAACTACTTGAGACGGGAGACATTGTTCCACCAAGTCTATCCTTATCGACGTCAGTCGCTATCTCCGTTTAGAGCTTACCCGAATCCATCCTGCGAACGAGAAGCATCCTGGTGTTTCTCTTTTCTTCTTGAAAAGCCTCTACTTCAGGATACTCCTTCAAAGGATGTGAATTATTATAGGGCAAGCCTTAATCCTTGCTACCTTCGGTCTTTATCCCTTGTGACTCCTCGTCTCCTCGTCCCTCCATTTTCCTCGAGTCCTGTTGTTTCAGTAATCCCTCAACATATTCTAAGTCTCTTCTGACGTGTAGTAAAAGCGTGGGCAAAACGACTTGGTAACTTGCAGCCAGGAGTCCAGCAATAATATCAACGCGATCGATGATGGCATAGACACAGGTAACCGACTCGCAGCGGAGAAATACTCGACTCGTTTTACTCCCCTTCAGATGGTGAGGACTGCCTTCTCCTTGGTGATGAGGATTTTGATGTCCTAGTTGGTCACCTCCAAATAAATCGTTCGAGTTTGTCTTCCCTGCTGCAGCATCTGACTTCCATCCCTGGCCACCACCGCGTCGCATCGTAGATGATGTTGAAAGTGTCTTCAACCTACCTGCTGTGCTGTCACTTTCACTTGTCGCGTTGTTGCCTACCTCTCCGCTGCTGCTAGTTTCTTGCTCTCTCTGTTGCTCTCGCCCACGTGAACCAGACTTTTTCGTTCCGTCTTGGTTCTCGACGGTTCCAGAAGGTTGTACATTTGAAGACGTTGAGGAGAGGTCCAGTAATTAGCGCTCGCCCTTATCCATCTTGAGATTCATTCTACGCCTCTTTTCTTATTGAAAAGCCACTCCAGAGATGGATTAGCAGAGATGGATTATAGGAGAAGCGGCCTTAAAGTTGTAGGTTCTTATCGATGAATGTAGGCCAAAAGAACCTCTGCTCACCTAGCGTTCCCCCCGGCGCGTGAATAGAGTAGAGATACGACGGATGTGGATTCTGAATACAGCAGAAGCAGCTACCACTTTGAAGCACGAAAAGACCACGGCGTTGATTGTTTCCTAAACCGGTGGGGGCAGAAGTGTTGCCTGCAACATCGACGTTTTTTAGACCTTCCCGAAATCCATCTTGAAAGTCATCC